TAATTTGAAAAAAATAACAAATACGAATCATTTGAATAAAATATTGTTTTTTGAAGGCTAAAATTTAAGTTTTGAGCAAATGACGTCATTTCCGGTGGCAGCGCAAGGGGTAAAATGGTTTGACATAGTCCACTATGGCATTAGGCATCCAATGGCGAAAGAAAATTGAAAATCGAATAATAATTGATTCTTTTACAGCCAAAATTACGTGAAAAGTGACTCATGCAAAATTGCCTATTTCTCGGCAACTGCTTATATTACAAACTAATTTTCACATACATTCTCTTCGTATGGATTATAGCTACAAGTTTATAAAAGTTACGTAAAAATATTTTAAAATCTGAAAAGCCTGAATGAGTTGTAAATAGGTCAATTTTACGCCTTTTTTCAAATCTTAATCCAATTTGCTAGAAAATGAAAAAGAAATTAAAAAAACTGCTTCCGACATTTTTTGCGCCTTTAAAGGACACACTCTTTGAGTCATATAATTTTTCAAAAAAATAATATTTGTTTTCAAAAAATGGTACCTAACTGTCAAAATTGTAGTTTTTGGTAAAATTATGCCACTTCCGGTGCCGACAGATAACACTTTTGGTAATAAAAAAAATGACAATTGAGACAACGAAGCATATGAACTTTGTTTTATACAAATCGAACAATAAAAAATTAAGCTAGGACTGAAAAACTGAATTAGCCAATGGAGGCCAAGGAAAATTACTGAGACAAAAAATTTTAACATTTTTGCGCAAGTCAGATGACTCTTTAATTCTGTGCACAACACGAGTAAAAAATATTCATCAATAAAAAAGTTTTTTGTAAAATTTTAAATTTCCGAAATTTGGCGCCTAATATCTTCGAATTTTTGCTGAAAATCAAAAATCGAAAGTAGCGCAGCTATGTGCCCTGTCTCCAGCTATGCCAAAATGTATCGAAAGTTAAAATCCCATGATTATTGTTAAAATTACCGCAATATTTGTAAAAACGATAACTTCGGTGATTTCGGACATTTCGCATTGTCGCAGAACGTTCAAAATAGCTTTATCCTCTAAGTCACACCCACTTTCCCAGTAAAACCGAAGAAATCGTAACGATGCGACAAGTAGTTGCTGAGATCTACTCAAAACAAAAGAAGAATAATAATAATAATAAGAATAATAATTTTAACAAAAACAATAGTGTTTCACACAAGCTTCGCAGTGTGAAACCCTAATAATAATTTTAACAAAAACAATAGTGTTTCACACAAGCTACGCAGTGTGAAACCCTAATAATTTTAACAAAAACAATAGTGTTTCACACAAGCTACGCAGTGTGAAACCCTAATAATAATTTTAACAAAAACAATAGTGTTTCACACAAGCTACGCAGTGTGAAACCCTAATAATAATTTTAACAAAAACAATAGTGTTTCACACAAGCTTCGCAGTGTGAAACCCTAATAATAATTTTAACAAAAACAATAGTGTTTCACACAAGCTACGCAGTGTGAAACCCTAATAATAAATACATTCTGAAAAATGGACCCTCCAATGAAGTTGACAGATATTGCGTCTAACAACAGCGTACTTATAGCTATAGGTATCCCCGGCGAATACAAAGTTTTGAGTGGGAATTGAAACAAATTTTTGATAGATTGGTTACTTTGAATATGTTTTTAGTCCAAATATATCATCAAATCACAAAGTTTGTACGCGGGAATGTATCTTAATTGAATATCACGAGCCATTGAATGGATTAAAACATGTTGTCTGGAGCCACTCTACTTTGTTCGACATTTTTCGGGCATCGATTATTATTTGTGAATTCACCAGCGACAATCCGATTGGATTGTTGGAATTTAGATCGGTAGTCCTACATGGTGGGATTTCGGTCTCAAAACGATTGGAAACTTTGAAGTTGCTAAAGCAGGCTAGCAGAAAAACGCATTTGCGGCGGGTAAATTTTCAAAATCATCTTTGTAAAGGTGAGGCCCCCACATCCCGCAACGATTTATTGGTTGATTTGTAGCCTATGTTGGATAACATTGAAGTTACTGTATTCACTGGTTGGAATAGCAGGAAAACACGTGGACTGTAAACCATTGTTTGGTTGATTGGAATTTGAGTTGGGCTATATTAGACCACTTTGAAGTTGCTGTATCCATGGACTGGAATAACGGGAAAACGCGTTTCCGGCCCTCAAATTTTCTAAATTGTTGGGGGGGGGGGGGCTACACAGTAAGCTCGATCCGCGTCTTCGTCTCTCTCAGACGACCGGCGGAGCCTTCCGTAACTCGAAATTTTATCTGCCCCCCCCCCCCAACATTTATCGAGTCCGTACACCTATGCCCATGCCCATCAGTCCGTCCGTTTGTCGAGATTTTAACGGATTAATTTTGAAGCATTGCGGGATCAGAGTTATCCCCCTTTCCAGAAAACTTTGTTAAACCTACTTTGAACAGATTTCGAAAAAAAGCAAGGGACTATTTAAAAAAAAATGGGTCTGTCCGTCCGTGAGTCTGTTTTTCCGTCTGTCTGTCCGTCACACTATTTGGGACACGATAATTCTCCTTCTAACTGAACTAGAATGTCCAAACTTGATATAGTTGTTCATTCGGCAAATGCCCTGATGAAGTTTGAAGATGAGCATTTCCTGCCTAGTGTAAGCAGAGATAAACAATTTGATTGGTTGATGCTTTGGGACATGATAACTTTACAGGACGACCGCACCCGCGGCAATTGCGGTAGTATTTAGCGACATCTTTAGCCGTGGTAATTTTTTTTTAAGAATATCACGACGGTAATTCGCCGATGTTGACACTGAAATCGGGGATTTATTGTTTTGTTGCTTTCCTGAGTTCTCGTGACTGCACGTTTCTATGGATTTACATATCAACCACACAGGTAAAAATAGATCGAACGGTTTCAAAGTTTTATTGGATATCCTAACGACTAGACAGCTGTCCTTGTCAGACCCTCTGTCCTGCATCACTGACAAGGGGAACCACGCTGGAAAATCTGGATGGACTTTCTCGGTCAATGCAGGGATCAAACACCCGACCTCCAGGCTAGCGACCAAGCTTCTCCACTTAGCCACTGTGATACTTGTATTTGGTGGAATTCACGCGGATACAGATTATAGAATTGCACGAATCTTCGAGTTGCTGAGCCAAAGCACATTCACGGGCTTGCAAGAATTTTTAGGCCTTCTGATTTCGAAGAAATAAAACGGATTCATATACTATTCAAAAAAAGTAGGGGATATTTGATTTTGGGGGCATAATACTAAAATATGCAAATGACTACGAAAAAAGTCACTATAGAACCTAACAGAAGAAACATTTCCAGTTACATGTGACGCCCAAACGCACCAATAGCTACCGCATGGAATGCAGGTGATGCTTGGGATCATCATGGGGGTCCAACCCAAGATTTGCACGACTCTGACTTTGAATGTTACAGTCATTGTGGCATTGAATTCCAGGGTGGAAACATCAGTTTAATTGTTTTAGTGACCAGAAAACAAATTTTGATATGCGTCGGCTTACCCAAAATGAAAGGTTACGTGCCCTTGGCATGCTACAGATCGGCACAACACAGGCGGTTGTGGCGCGGACGATGAATGTTTCTCAGTCTGTCATAAGCAAGCTATGGTCCAGATACCGTGATACACAATCTGTACAGGACAGACCACGCTCAGGTCGACCAAGGGCGACAACTCAAGCCCAGGATCGATTTATCCGTACCTTGGCCTTGAGAAATCGAGTCATCACAGCAAATCAGATCAGCGCTCGTCTTCAAACAGACACTGGTGTGAGAGTGAGTGGCCAGACGATTCGGAATCGACTGCATAGGGGTCACCTTCGCGCCCGACGTCCTCGCGTGATCCCTTGTTTGAGAGATCATCACATTCAGGCAAGACGTCGTTGGTGTAGGGATCGTCAACACTGGGATAATCGACGCTGGAGCAATGTGATGTTTTCAGATGAGTCAAGGTTCACTGTTGATTTTTCGGACAGACGTAGGTGGGTGTGGCGTCGTCGAAACGAGCGCTTCCAAGACGTTAACGTCATCAGACATGATCGATTTGGGGGTGGTTCTATTATGGTGTGGGGAGGCATCACTGTTGCTGGAAGAACGGCTTTACATGTTGTTGCAGGGCGTGTTACAGGCCAGTACTACCGGGACAACATCTTGGCAGTCCATGTTGTGCAGTTCGCACGACGTCATGGCCGCCGTTTCATCTTCCAGGATGACAACGCAAGATGTCACAGGGCCAGGATCGTTACAGGTTACCTCCAACAACAGAACATCACCACATTACCTTGGCCAGCACTGAGTCCCGACCTCTCCCCCATCGAGCATGTCTGGGACATGCTTGGACAGAGGTTACGTCAACGTCAACAACGTCCTGCCAATGTCCAAGAACTTGCTGCTGCGTTGCAACAGGAATGGGACAATCTGAACCAAAATGACCTTAGACGTCTCATTAGGAGTATACCACGTCGGATCAATGCTTGTTTGGCAAACAGAGGAGGATTTACCCGTTACTGACTTGGTTGTGATGCTGTGGTAACTTTGCTGTTTGACCCCGCGTATCATTTTACCCTTATAATGGTCAGTCTGTGCCTTACTTAGTCTAACGATCATTTGGAATAAATCGATGAATGTGAACTTCATTTCATTTTGTCATTTGTTTCTTCGTCAGTTTCATTAGGTGACTTTAATAACACTTAAAAATCAAATATCCCCTACTTTTTTTGAATAGTATATTACGATATTCATATGGATCAGTATACGCAAAGCCCTAAACAATTTAAGGGTGTTTGTGGTGACTTAATTCTGGATTCGGTTTACCCCAAATAAAAATTCCGACTTGCAAAATTGTGAAATAGCATGCCTGGTGTAAACACAATATCTATTGTACCATTTCTGCCTAATAGTAATAGCTCACTGATTTTGTCAAATCGTGATATGTTTGAATAGACATTATAAATAAAAACGTTAAAACGCGGTGCTTATAGTTTATTTATTAACTTCCCAAATCTATAGAAACACGTTACTAACTTATAACAGTTGCCCCATTACGATTACGTAATGTGGTTAATCCCCAACAACTTGAACAATTCTAATTACTATATTGTTTCGTAGATTATCACGAGAACAGTAGTTATAATACCTAAATATGCAAATTTCAATAAAGCTTTTTCGGGTGAAAATGTACAATATAATAGTATTCTTGTTTTATGATATAATATTTCAGTCCTTTTTCTTCTTTCGTGTTGTATTTTGTTTTCTACAGAATATACAAATAAAACAACCTCGTATTAATCTATAAAATATATAAAGTATAATAGATGTAAGTAAAAATAATGTAAACCAAATATCTAACATAGTATGAGCTATTAAAGACATTTTACTAGAAACTGGTTTTAAATGATCACCACCAAACTTTAATATATGTTCTATAGCATTAGCGGCTCTTTCTTGTGGCGTGAATGGTGCCGAATGAAAAATAGCAGAAGCTTTCTTCATATTCTTCCTAATACTTTTATCATTTAATGTGTCTTTTATAACCTTCAGTATTTCATCAGCATCACTATTAAGTATATCTGCCGAACTTCCGACTTTATGATATTTGACTTTAATGGCCGTAGATAAAATTTCAGCATGAAATGGCGTACAAATGATAGGTACACCATGATAAAATCCTTCAAAGAAGCCATTTTTACCACAATGTGAAATAAATAGAACAGTATTGGAATGACCCAAGACGTCATTTTGTGGCAGCCATTCTACAGTTTTCACATTACCATAGTTTTCATTTTTAGTATGTGCCATTATTACATTATGGTTTAGATTTTGGAAAACTTTCAGCAGTTTTTGAAAAATGTGTGGCGGTGCATTTTTCAGAATACTTCCAAAAGAGACGACCACCACGCCATTTTTTGACTGCGACATGAACTTGTCCAGATCTTTGGGTAGAGGGTTAGGAGGACGGGTTGTTATTCCGCCAACACGGATAAAATTCGGATAACTAGCTTTCGGATATTCCAAGATGGTGTCCGAATTTTCTAAAAACAAAACAGATTCTCGAATCATTTCATCTTTTTCAATATCAAAGACTTCTGCTGGAACATATTGTTTTAACTTGGTAACATCAGTCGGATTAGCAACATACGCTAATTTCAAGGCCAGACTAAAGGCTAAAGTACCTAACAGGTTCAATAATCTTTGTGGAAAGGCCATTTCACTAGTATAGGAACTCATTAAAAGTGGATTCGTATTGAAAGTAAAGGCCATTCCAGAGTTACTTTCCGGTATAAAGCTACAAATACTGACAGCGGGGGTCTTTAAAAAACGTGGTATATAATAAATACAGTTACACACTATCATTGCGTCAACAAGGGCTATGTCGATTTTAAGAGATTGGAGTCTCTTCAGTTCCGTAGAAGACGTTAACGCCCCTTGACAATGGTATTCACACTCATTACTAATACCGAAGGCAAGACCGGAAGTTATCATATTGGCTCCGTTAAAAATTGCTTCAAAAATTCATAGTGGTAACCAATCCCTTCTTTTGACATATCAAATCTAATGGCCGTTACGTTGCTGCCATCAAAACAATGTGCTTTAGTTGTATATGATACGCTTTGTTAATTCGTTAGCGATGCCAACCATTTCCAGACAATGGCTGTGGGCAGATATTGGAAGAAGTAGAACATTTGCAGCGTTTGCAACAGCTAATGTCAGGACTAATGCCAAAATAACTCGAGTAGACATCTGAAACGAGAGTTTATAATATTAATAAGATATATTTGTGAAACTAATTTGTAATTTTATTTAAATAGATATTACCAGATGCGGCTTTGAGCTTAAAATTTTACAATAATAGCATGTTGGAATATCAATCTTTTTTTTTTGTTTTTCATCCTTATTCTTATTATATTACCCCTTGCGCTTTAAAAATTTTATTCAATACGATTCTAACACTCTAGTATTGGTTCCCTTTTTTCTGTTGTTAAAACACAAATAATCTAGGCCCTGAGGCTAAAATCCTAGTCCAGAAAACAGTAAATTGGGAACAAATTTTCTTCCAATCTGTGACAGCTATTCATAATATTAACTGCATTGAGAAAATCTAGGTAAATTTGGTGGGTCATTCCTTCTCTTGAAGTAAAGAATGAAATAATAATCCCCCACCTGCCTAACCGCAACCACCAAAAATATCGAGAACCCAAACCTTAAAATACAACTTTCAGTTACAGTTAAATCATTTGTTCAGTTTCTTTATACTTTTTCAGATGCTTGTTCTGTTCTGTTAGGGTTAGTTATATTAAGAACAACAGAACATACTGATTCAAGTATAAAAAGATATATTTTATCGAGATGAAGATCTAGAGAATATAAAAGTACTTACAGTAAAGGTGACTTATAATATGTTTTATAAAAGTGCTCGTCTACTGGGCAACCACAGTCATAAACAACTCCTCTCTCCACCTTACTTTGTGGCAATATCTAGTAAATCCAGGGAACGGTGGATGCGTCAAGTCGACGCAGTGAGATTCAGCGTAGCTTTAAGTTACTAGAACGCGTTTTATCACACTGATCCGCAGTGAATATTTGCTAGGCCGCTACAATCACTGATAAGGATGACATCGATGCGGCTTAATGAGTCAGTAATATTAACTTTTTTCCTGCGACAAATTAAATTCTAAAACATTTTTTTTATGTATTTTAAAAATAAATAAAGGCGTTTGACGTATTAGTAGGTAAAAATTATTTCCTATTTCTTGTAAATGGATATTAAAATGACTAAAATGCAGCATTCTCTCCGAAGCAGTAACGTCTTATGTAAACCATGCACGCGACATTCAGCCAATGATTGACGCCGCGTGCTGTGACGGCACGTGTTAAGGCAGTCATCTTTGACAGAGATATATTACAAGACTTTATGTGTAGTTAAGTGAATAGTAGTCCCATAAAATGACCCGCAATCACAGTACATTGCACGCGTATCCAGTTCAATAAATAGGTCTCACAACACAGAGAGAAAATAATAAGTCATTTATTTAAACATACATTATGCAAGAGCTAAATCTGCCTATTTCAGGTCTTTCGTTAGGCCTGAAATGTTACCTAAATTATTACTAGTAATTAGACATTAATTAACTTATCCAGACCATAATCAACTCTCGGTGTCATGCTAGCCTGCGATATCTACTGGATTAGAATTCGATTTGATGCTCAACTTTCATTTGTGATTTAATCATGAAATGGATAATCGAGACTATGTTTTTGTATCGTACCGACTTTGGTAATGATGATCGAGGCTAGGCCGAAAATGAAAATCCAATCGCTAAATTCTGGGTTCACAGTGGATCAATTTTACTGAAATTTTCAGCAAATTCCCTTTACAATATCTAGTTTTTAACTATTATAGTGAGAACTGCCAGCTCAAAATGTATCTTTAAAATTCTGAAAAATTTGTTGCAATGTAGAAATCGTCCTGGTGCCCGAATTTCTCTAATTTTTAATGAAAATCACCAGACAACAAATTTAGCTGAACAAAAAGGTGACTTTCATAGTGGGTTTTGTCTTTTTGTTACGACACGGCATGAAATGGGGTTTAACGTCTTACTGTTCGCGTAAAATATTGATTCAATGATCAACTCCTTAGAAATGTAATGTAATGGGGTTTGACATTCTACTCTTCTTCGTCAGTCGAGCTATATATACGCCATTCTGTCAAGTAGTTCACGATAACAACATTTATAGGACCATCTCCTTGGTGAAAGAAATACTGTGAAACCTGTTGACTTTGTGGTCATTACGCACAAGGCCCATACGATGTAAATGGACCGGAGTACGGAAAAATTTCAATGAGATAAAAATGAATACACCCGACAAGATATATCATTGTACAACCTAATATTTCAAAGAATTAATAAGTTGGTGTGAGGCATTGGGTGCAATAGTGTAGAGGCATCTTCTAATGATATACAGAATGCCATGGCATCACCCAGGTGAAATCTCAGCAGATATCGTATGCCATTAGCCCTGCCCATCGCCCATGCAGGGAAGCCTAGTCGAAACGTCATTCAGTAATAAGCAGTTAAGTAATAGTTTTTGGTTGTCGTTTTAGCAGTGCCAAATTAAGACTAATTGATTGCCCTTGCAATTGTCTCCTTCGCTAAATCCCCCAGATCCAGACCAACTAGTGTTTAAAATTACATTTTCTGTAAGGTTCTGCTGAATATCACGATCAGGAAGTAAGTAAACAGGCATAAATTATTGAAATGTTCTACTAAAATGACGTCGCTGCCTAGGCCTAGCAAAAAATCAATATTTTTATCCAATGATTATTGTGCCATGTTAAACTCTATGTGTTTATATAGATTAAGACCTGCGAAATCTCAAAAAATGTTATAGGCCAAGAAATGTCATGGATTTAATTTAACATTGAAGCCAACGAGCAGAAAGTTTCAGGAACGGTCTCTGATCTGTCTCTATATAGCTGTAATATGAATATACATGTACCACTCTGTTCTTATTTTTAGGTATTTTCGAATCCTTACGTTCTAATTTTCACCGCGATTCTCTATTTGTCACCTAAAGGCAACATCATTCCTCGCCACATCTGACTCAAATTTATAATAATTCTACATTATTTTCAAGTAGAATTTTGCGATGTCCAACCTCGAGGGTTTTCTCCGGGTCCCCCCCCCCCCCAAACACACACACACAAATGCTAAAGACCTCCACGAGCAAGCGAATTATTGAAATAAAATTGAATCATTATGACCTAGTTCTCTCTCTCTCCCTCTTCTCTCTCTCTCTCTCTCTCTCTCTCTCGCTTGTGGGCTATTTGTTGACCTATTTATTGCTCGAATGGGTCATTTTATAGGACTGTTATTTCGTAACCCAGTTATCAATTCGCAGGAAAATTTGACGTGCTCGCAGTGCAAAACCCACTTAATACTATAATCAAAGGAGATTACTGTAAGTATTTTTATATTATGTAGCCATGTAAAGTAAGTAAGTAAATTTATTCCATAAAAACGTAGGCGTGCATTTAGATCAACTTCCTCGTTTTAAGTCCTTCAACTGAATATGCACATAAACGAAAATAAAGAGTCAGCACTGTAGTCTAGCTGGATAAGGATCAAGTTTAATTGTTTTTGGTGTTTTATTATTTGGATGGCGGGGGTCGCACGAGTGGTATTGGTTAGAACTAAATATAAAAAACAAACAATTTGATATTTCAACATGCTATTATTGAAGCATTGATAGCTCATAACCTCAACTTTTGACCCAATGCAAATAAGAATGCATTAATGCAACCGTAATCAGGGGCGAACATATCGATTTTGTTAAGGAGTGTGTGTGGGGGAGGGTTGGGGGGGGGGGACAAAATGAGACCTACTAGTGCAAGCTTTCTAGAAGGGTTGGGCGTATGCCAGGATCGTGGTGACCCAGGATTTTGCATGGGGAATAAGACCCCGACCGGCCCCCCCGAAAAACAATATTTATATTGTGTGTGGGGGAGGGGGGCTCCCAGTGCCGCCGGGTACTATAGGCTATGTGGAACATGCTAGAGTCGATTTGTAGCATATGTTTGGCCCACGGAATATGTTTGACTTTGGCTAAGCATTATGATTATGATTATAATGTTGATAACTGCATTGAAACCGCGTGATTTTTTGCCATTTGCGAGGGGGCACAAAGCCTTACGGTGGCGCAAAAACTCAAAAACATGACGCATAGCTCATTATTGCGTCCCTTTCTACTTAACCCCTGGGATATGCTCCCTCGGAGAAATTCTTAATTCTAGAGTCCCTGAAATGCCATTTCTTGGATATTGTAGAATTCTGATGGTCAGAACACACTTATAACATGTTATTTATCAAGAATTTTGCAAGAACGTACAAACTAAGTACTGTGAATCTGTGACAACTTCTGAAAGGGATAATATTTACATGGACCTATATCTTTGATATTATTGTTGTGGTGAATATATATAAATAGGCATTTCATCAAGCGTCCGCGCTTAGTCAAGTTTGACCACTGATCGGCGATTTTGTCAAGATCGATCATGTCTGTCAGGCCAAGCTCAATAGTTCATTGAGGAGTTATTGTTTCATTACTGAACGCAAAACAGTTTTTACTTAGTTGAGCTTTGAAATTACAGTAAAAACAGAAATGATTGAATATAAATCAGTTTATATACATTAATATTACCTTATTATATGCGTTGCGCCCCATCTGTGTCCATTTCTAGGTGCCAAAAGAATAGCGCTTTAGCTGTTTTAAGTGTTTGGGCGTTTTCTTTCCTTTCTATTTGGGAATTGTTTGTTTACGTCATTAATTCATTTAGTCGCCGCTGCATACTTTTTGAGACCGACTACACTTATTTTGAGACCGAATACACCCCACACCTTTACACCTGACCATAATATCTGACAATATCCATTTAAATAAGATTACAAATATAACTTGATAATTTTATAACTTCTCGTTTCAGATGTCTGTTCGAATTATTTTGGCATTAGTCCTGACATTAGCTGTTGTCAAAGCTGCAAATGTTCTACTTCTACCACAATCTGCCCACAGCCACTGTTTGGAAATGGTTGGCATCGCTAACGAATTAACAAAGCGAGGACATTCCGTTTATGCCTACGTAACATATGCAACTAAAGCACATTGTTTTGATGGCAGTAATGTTACGGTCATCCGATTTGCTTTGTTAGAAGAAGGGGTGCAACGCCGCTATGAATTCTTGAACAAAACGATTGAAGCGGTTTTTAACGGAGGCAATATAATAACTTCCGGTCTTGCATTTGCTATTACTAAAGGGTGTGAAGACCACTGTCAAGGGGCGTTATCGTCTTCAGCAGGACTGAAAAGACTACAATCTCTTAAAATCGACATAACCCTTGCTGATGCAGTGCCATTGTGTAACTGTCTTTATTATTTACCACGTTTTCTAAAGACCCCCGTTGTCAGTATTTGTAGCTTTATACTGGAAAGTAACTCTGGAATGCCCTTTACTTTCAATACGAATCCACTTTTAATGAGTTCCTATACTAGTGAAATGACCTTTTCACAAAGATTATTGAACCTGTTAGGTACTTTAGCCTTTAATTTGGCCTTGAGATTAGCGTATGTTGTTAATCCGACTGATGTTACCAAGTTAAAACAATATGTTCCAGCAGAAGTCTTTGATATTGAAAAAGATGAAATGATTCGAGAATCTGTTTTGTTTTTAGAAAATTCGGACACCATCTTGGAATATCCGAAAGCTACGTATCCAAATTTTATCCGTGTTGGTGGAATAACAACTCGTCCTCCAAAACCTCTCCCTAAAGATCTGGAAAAGTTCATGTCCTTGTCACAGAATGGCGTGGTGGTAGTCTCTTTTGGAAGTATGCTGAAAAATGCACCACCTTATCTTTTTCAAAAATTGTTGAAAGTTTTTCAAAATCTAAACCATAATGTAATAATGGCACATAGTAAAAATGAAAACTATGGTAATGTGAAAACTGTAGAATGGCTGCCACAAAATGACGTGTTGGGTCATCCTAATACTCTTCTATTTATTTCACATTGTGGTAAAAATGGCTTCTTTGAAGGTTTTTATCATGGTGTGCCTATCATTTGTACACCTCTTCATGCCGATACTTTCTCTACGGCCATTAAAGTCAAATATCATAAAGTCGGAAGTTCGGCAGATATACTTAATGGCGATGCTGATAAAATACTGAATATTATAAAAGACACTTTAAATGATAAAAGTATTAAGAGGAATATGAAGAAAGCTTCTGCTATTTTTCATTCGGCACCATTCACTCCACAAGAAAGAGCCGCTAATGCTATAGAACATGTATTAAAGTTTGGTGGTGATCATTTAAAACCAGTTTCTAGTAAAATGTCTTTAATAGCTCATACTATGCTAGATATTTGGTTTACATTATTTTTACTTACATCTATTATACTTTATATATTTTATAGATTAATACGAGGTTGTTTTATTTGTATATTCTGTAGAAAACAAAATACAACTCCAAAGAAGAAAAAGGACTGAAATATTATATAAAACAAGAATACTTTTAAATTGTACATTTTGACCGGAAAAGGCTTTATTTGCATATTTAAATATTATAGCTACTGTTCTCGTGATAATCTACGAAATAATATAGTAATTAGAATTGTTCAAGTTGTTGGGGATTAACCACTTTATGTAATGGTAGTGGGGCAACTGGAAGGTTTGTTAATAAGTTTGTAACGTGTTTCTATAGATTTGGGAATCAAAGATATATAAATCCAAGAAACAGTCAGTTCTTTAGTTAGGTTTACTAACTATAAACTTATTAGAAACCTGACCAGTTGTTATGGTATTTAGGTATGTGTAAATATATTAGGTTTAATATCAAGTCATTTTGTATATATATATAGAAGTTTCTAAGAATAATTAATTATAGTTATTAATTTCATTTATCTTATCCATATTCAATATTATTTTGTAATACTTACTGTATTTTTATTATTCATATTTTGAGTTACGTTTTACTAACTATAAACTTTTTACAAATCTGACCAGTTGTTCTGGAGCTAGCCATTGTTGAAGAAAGCATGCAGCTCTTTGGAAATGAAATGAAATGAAATGGGGTTTAACACGCTACTGTTCTGCACCGACTGGACTAACGAGGATGAGAATAAGTCATCATACAGTGTACTATGAGCTTAACTCGTATATTGAATTACAACAAGGATCGAACACGGGTCCTCCGGGTTAGCGGACCAACGTCTTACTCACTGAGTCGCCGTTTAAGTAGAAGATTTAATGTGATTCAGTCGAGGTGGAAATGGGTGAAACCAAGTCCAAACAAATACGGTTATAATAGTTCTATAGGAAACCCAACAGTTCAGCTCATTTCATGTTCAAATTATCCATCGAGTCGTCAAAACGGTAAAAAAAAAAGTCATTATCTGATGAAGTCTTCGCCTGTTGAACTCTCATCCTTATTAACGGAATGGAACTTACTGAGTCTGAACTTGCGTTGGTTTTTCCCATTCCTGGTGTAGTACCTAGTCCAAATCGTGAAGATTCTGCCAGATTGTGCGTCCAAGAATGTCTCTGATATGCCCAATTGGATTTAGGCCATTGCTTCTGGTTGGCTACGTTAGTGTATATGAACAGACGCAGAAAATCAACAAGGACGCACACGTTGTGTTCTAGTTTTGTTGTCCATAAAGATTGGTCGTGTGAGAAGAGGATGATTGTCAAAGTGGGGAACCACAACCCTATCCACGATCTCTCTTTGGTATTAAAATTATCGGTAACTGTTACCAGTGGAAGCTTACAGTCATATGAAAGGCAACCCTATATCGTCATAGAGCCACTAATGAATGAAACCTGCTCTATCGGATGTCCCCATAGTGCAGCTACTATTTTATCGTTTTGTAGAGTCGTTTGACAGTTCACCACCAGCGTCCTCTGTTGTCACAATATTCAGGTTAGATGAGTTTGCAAGATTGGTATTTGGAGATTTGTATTTGAAAATTTATTGTACGAGATTTGTTTTTTGTTGTATATTTCTGGTGAAATGTAAATGTTTTTTTTTTTTATTTTCGAAAAGAAATTGTATCATTACATTAAAGTACAATTAAATGAAACAAAGATACAATTTCCAGGTCTTGAGTTGTAAAACAAATATTGATTTTAAGATACACACTAAGTGTTAATTTTAATATACAAATGTCGAAATGCGACAACAAATGAAGAAATAGGAATTAAGAACACTGAAAAAAGAGCTGTTCGAACTTCCACACAGACGTACGTGGAGGTCTGTTGATGTTTTGCAATAATCGACTAACAGAGTGCGTCAAAATATTTTATTTCAGTTTCGCATATATTTATTTACGTAATGAATTTCTCTCGAGCGCACAGCCTTATGTTGTTACATTCAAAATTGCATGATTAAGATGTATATATCCATATATCGGTTGGCCCAGAAAATACGAGTATACCATTCAAAGTGGAATAATTCATAAAGTATTATATCTTAAACATTTCACATTGTCATGTAGTACCAAATGGATGTTTGAAAACATCACTCCAAATTACAAATCCAGCGCTCAAATAGTGTTAAAACAGAACAAATTTTAAAAAGAACTGTCAAAACATGTTATTTTACTTTGAATAGTGTACTCGTTTTTTCTGGGCCACCCGATGTAAAAGTGTCTATAGATGTATTGATGACGTGAAAAGTGTAACGTCCTTAGGTCATTTACTAGGACTGTGTGGAAAGGTATCGTTCAATCTTGAATGGTGGGTTTTATTGGGTCTTGGTACATAATATATGGATGTGTCTAAGCAAAATTGGTGACGTGTAACGTTCATTTGGGTCATTTACTAGGTTTATATAGAGAGGTATTGGCTAGCCTTGAATAGTTTGTATTCGATCGTGTACACACGTCTCTGTTAATACAGTGTTATTGATTTCATTTAGCTATAAGCTGATTTCATTCTGTATTACTACCTAGGTAATCAGTAAACGTGAGTATTTCGATAAATAACTGATAAATATGTAGTGAGCCCCGACCATTTATATTTCTGTCCACCAGCTTTTGAAGAAAGTAGGGAACTTATAAAATGAATGGGTTTGTCGGGCAGTCAATCGGTTGGTCCGTCTGTCTGTCACACTTTTTAAACATATTAACTGTGCTTATGTCTGAGCTAGAATATTCCAATGATCATTTTCTGCTTTAATGTTAAGCAGGGTGATAAACAACTTGAAGGCTAAATGCTTTATGAAAAAGATAATTGTTTACTGAATGTCATCTTTTTATTTTGGGATTGAGGCGGGGGACACCAGTCGTGCACTTTTGCTTTGTCATATTGAATGTTATCTAATATATGCATTGCGCGATACTATAATCTAGCTGTCTCGATACATTAAAAGAGCGTGTTTATTGATATCGGTCGCACCAGGGCGACCTTCGGTTATCGTGATTTCTTGACTATGGTCGAACTAACTGAATCCTAATTTTATTTAGTCCGGACCATAGTCCGAAAATACTGAACCATCCTATTGTGGCATGGTCGGAGTAGTTCGAAGATTGGCGGTGTCGATGAAACGAAAGTATAGAATATGTAGAAAGAAAGAATCTATTTTTGTTAAGTATATGATTTTAGGAAAGCTTGAATGGATTTTAAATGGTTGGTACTTCTATGAGCAGAACATTTTTGTCTCGTATGTTATGTCTGAATCTATGTAAGTCTAAAAATTACGCATTATTTCAATATTTGCGCTATTCAAAAAGTAAAGTCAAATTACAAGGAATTTTGTCGTCTCTAAAATTAATTTGAGTCGCGCAAATTTAACTTCATGAAAGTATTATTTGTTTATTAAACTATATAACACAGCGATTCATTATCCTCCATGGAGAGATGTAAAGACCTTCCTGGAGCTTAAGGGCTTTTTCAGGGTTATGGTCGAGGTCTAAAGCAGAGTAAAATGACATTACCATGTCCCTGGGGGCAGCCATCTTTGAACAGATGATGGTCCAGACCATTCGCGTTCGGTTTCTAGTTCCGCCCACTAGCCGTGAAAAAATTATAACCGAAGGTCGCCGAAGTGGTTGCACTTGTAATATTTGCTGAGAGTTTTTTTGTTAATTTTAACCGTGATTTTCAAGTTCAACGGATCTAATTTTTGCTGTGAATGTATGTAGTGTAAGGAACTCAAGCCCAGTCTGGTTGAACAATTGGATCGACCGAAAAGGTTTGGAATCGTTGTGTGTTATTAACATATATTTTTCCCCATTAGTTGTTGATAAACTCAACCAGGCCTGAACTGTGAAGTGTCACTCATAAATTTAATTGATTGTGTTCTAACAGTTCACTTAGTTCTTCGTATTTGACTCACAATTTGATTTAGAAACACATATGAGTAATGTTTGCAGAACTACATGAACTACTTACTTTCAAATATGGAATATCCGCCAAATTAGGAAATATATTGATACTTAGTTCACGAAAAGTGTATGATATCGGGCGTTTATGATATCTAGATTGGGGACTACTGTAATAGTCTCCTTTACAGTTTAAATTTCCAACAGCTTGGTCGACTATAGCGTATACACAAAACTGCCTCCAGACTTATCACTCGCACAAATATCCGTGAACATATTACCTCCCGATTTGAACGGAGTCCAAAAAATAAAAGTCCGAGTATGTATGAAATTTAAGCGCCAAAATATAGAGGCATGGTGTATTCACCTTGTCTCAAAGTTTCAGCTCAAAATATTGAGTCGTTTGGACGTGAATGTCAAAACTGCTTATCCGGACACGTAACCCTTTTAAGATTTCGGGTCAATTTTTTCGTTGGGTGACCTAATAATCGATTCCCGTTCCTTGAGGGGTCTATACAGTGAATGACCCATGTGCTGTACTTTATAACGAAAGGTAAATTTCACCTACATATTATTTTTATTTAAAAAATGTCTGGCTTTATCCTGACACCGCATAATACAGCTTATGACACAGATCTCCATTTCCAGATGAAGACCGACGGGTTTAAGTTGTTTGAAAACGTGTCACAAATACTGAGTTAGTTGCTCGGCCCTTATTTTGGTGATTTTAAGGGATTTTAACACAAAATTAAGCAGTTTTATTCTCCAAAAGATTACCGGGATTAGCCCTTTAAGAGCTTACATTGGCTTGTGTTTTTAAAACAATCCACAATTTCGGCCCAGTTTACCTTCAAGATCTGTTCTCCTTTTACCAATCATCTGGTACTTTATTAAGATCAGTCGATGAACTACAGTTGGCTGTGCCATCCAAATCAAAACCAAGTATGAAGAACGTGCTGTTCAGATATTATGTGGTTTTATGGAACATAATTCCCATAGACATCAAGATATCCGAAACATTGAACACTTTTAAGTCACAGTGAAAGACATTAATTGTCAAGCAAACATATGACAAGCCCTCTTGGGTAGTTTACTTGAAAGAATTGCGCTTTATTATTATAAAAGAAGAAATTCTTTAAAACTAAATTTCTTTAGTCTATATTATTTAAGCGTTCCTGTGTACATTTTGGCATGGCTAACGTGATACTTTTCTGCACCTACTGGGCTAATGAAGACGGGCATGCGCCATATACAGGAAATTTTGACCTATGGCTTACAATTTTTATATCAAATTCCAGCTGTCAAGGGTTATTTTATTTGCACGCCAATGTTTTCACTGGAACTCAGTTCTTCGTCCCACTCGATTTACAAGATACTGTTTCTAACCAGGCCGGGGGTTGGATGACCGAATGGTTGGCACGTGCGCGCTGTATCCCAAGGTCTGCCATTGAGTCAACTGGCGTGGTTTCGATTTCCCGGTTGTACGTGACAAGGAGTAGGGTCGCCTGTCCAACCTCGTGGGTTTTCTCCGGGTCCTCCGGTTTCCCCCCACTATTAAAGACCCTACGCGCAAGCGAATTATTGAAGTAAAATTGAACCATTTGTTTGTCCCGAAATGACCTAGTTTGTGTCCAGTGGACGTTAAACCCCACTTCTCTCTCTCCCTTGCCAGGCCCCCTGTTCTGCACAGGGGCGTGCTGGCAGGGAGTTTAGGAGGACGGTGTCGTCCCAGGCCCCCATTAAACAATAAGTCCACCCGTATAAGCGGGCCCCCCGCTCTAATTTTCACGCGGAATCCCCTCAAAAAATTGAGAGTGCGCACGCGAAAAATCATACATACACAACGATTAGTAAAATATATTAGATTTCTCCCAGAAGTGCTTGCAAAACGCGTTTCCCGTTGTCAAATTTCAAAAATTTTCTGGGGGGAGAACTCTCCCAGACCCCCCTACCAGCGGTGCGCCTTCGGCGCGCGGGTCGCCTTTGGCGACCGACGGGCCCCTTCCTGGCCCGTCCTCCCGGGACCCTTCGGGGCCAGCACGCCCCTGGTTCTGCACCACTGAAAAGTTGACGTCATGTACGTAAAAGAACCCGTGGCAGTTAGAATTCGACAAAGAGTATTCGAAAATACCGCCCTCCGGGGAAAATAATTGATTGACCTCATTATTGATTCAGATAAGTAGGGCGTTTCATCTGTTTAATAATGGAAGCTCGGTTTAGAACAATTGATCCGTAAATCATTTAGCTGTAAGTAGTGAAAACTGTTGTTTACGAGACTGCTAACTAATTTTAGTGTACTTTTAGGCTTCATCAAATTACATGTAATTGTATATTTTTTTATTTAGGATATCAACCATGGTATTTCAAGTATTCCTGCTATTTGTTTTGGCATTGAGTTCTACGCACGCTGCAAATGTTCTATTAATTCCAGTGCCTGCCCACAGCCATTGTCTCGAAATGGTTGGTATCGCTAATGAATTAACAAAACGAGGCCATTTTGTTTTTGCCTATGTACCAGCCAGTTTTAAAACGCATTGTTTTGATGGTAGTGACGTAAAAGTCATTGACTTTCATAAGACTCGAGATCAAGAGAAGATTGCTGAAGATTTCCAAACCTCTACTGTAAAGGTTATATTTGAGGGCAGTGGTTTAATTTCTTCCGGTCTTCCGTTAAAGATATACAACTTCTGTGAAAGTCATTGTAGTGCAGCATTGAGCGCTACTGAAGAATTGAAGAAGTTACAATCCCTACATATAGACATAACTTTGGTTGATGCCATGCCGATGTGTGGCTGTCTTTACTACATACCAAGATTTCTTAAAAGCCCGTTTGTCAGTGTGGCTAGTTTCATATCTGAGACTGACAGTGGCATGCCTTTTCAGACAAATACGATTCCTTTTATTTTGGGACCATACACCAATAATATGACATTTCTACAAAGATTTATGAATCATTTAACTACTGTAGGGTTTCCGGTAATGGTGAAAATAATGGACGTTCTTTATCCAGTAGATATTAACAAATTTAACCAATATGTCCCAGCAGACACCATTAACACTAAACTGGTTCAAGAATCTGTTTTATTTTTAGAAAATTCAGATAGTATTTTGGAATATCCAAAAGCTACGTATCCCAATTTTATCCGTGTTGGTGGACTGACAACCCGGCCAACAAAACCTCTGTCTAATGATCTGAAACAATTCATGTCCCAGTCAAAAAATGGCGTGGTTGTCGTCTCTTTTGGAAGTATGCTGAAAAATGCACCACCTTATCTTATCCAAAAATTGTTGAAAATTTTTCAAAATCTAAACCATAATGTAATAATGGCGTATGATAAAAATGAAAACTATGGTAATGTGAAAACTGTAGAATGGCTGCCACAAAATGACGTGTTGGGTCATCCTAATACTGTTCTATTTATTTCACATTGTGGTAAAAATGGTTTCTTTGAAGGATTTTATCATGGTGTGCCTATCATATGCACACCTCTAAACGGAGATGGTTATTCCACGGCCATTAAAGTCAAATATCATAAAGTCGGAAGTTCGGCAGATATACTTAATGGCGATGCTAATGAAATACTGAAGATTATAAAAGACACATTAAATGATCAAAATATTAGGAAGAATATGAAGAAAGCTTCTGCCATTTTTCATTCGGCGCCATTTACTCCTCAAGAAAGAGCCGCTAATGCTATAGAACATGTATTAAAGTTTGGTGGTGATCATTTAAAACCAGTTTCTAGTAAAATGTCTTTAATAGCTCATACTATGTTAGATATTTGGTTTACATTATTTTTACAAACATCTATTATACTTTATATATTTTATAGATTAATACGAGGTTGTTTTATTTGTATATTCTGTAGAAAACAAAATACAACTGGAAAAAAGAAAAAAGAATGATGTTTTGTTTGGAAATCGGAATTGACAAAACAAAAATAATAATTATACTGTCATAATCCATTAAGCTTATATATTGTGTGTCGATATACATGTAGATTTTATAGTTATGCTGAATAGATTGTGTATAATATATAGATTTTATAGTTATGTTTTATAGATTTATATAGTTTTTATAGTTATGTTATAGATATATATGATGTATAGTTATGTTTTATAGATTTATATAATAGTTTTGAAAGTTATGTTATATATATGATACATTATATGTATAGCGTAGGGGTTCTTAATAAACTACTCTTCACGTTACAAGTAGTAGCTTTGTTATATAAAGAAAACATTTATCAACTGTACACTGTAAAAAATATCCATTTTTTATCTGACCGAATTCCATAGTTTAACTCTTTTTGTTTCTGTTAATCCATGTTTGTTTTTGTTTTTATGCATAGTCTCGGTCATCATTACTAAAATCATTAATATAAACAGCATAGTCTCGATTATCCGCTTTTATTGATTTAATTATCAATAGCCGTTAGCGGCATATAGGAATCTAATCCAGCCAACACCGAAGGCTAGCCTTGACATCGAGAGTTTATTATGGTCTGGATAAGTTAATTAATGTCTAATTGATAATTTAGATAACATTTCAGGCCTAAAGAAAGACTTGTAATAAGCAGATTTTGCTCTTGCATAATGCATGTTTAATGGACCCACCAGCAAGTAAATCTTCCGTACTAGATGAACCATAGAAATATACTTTCCATTGAAGTATAACACGATACTGGAATTTCGTATTAAGAAACGTATTTTGACATTTTAATCCCCTCCCCCCTTTTCTTTTTCTTTCTCTAATGGTTTGGTACAGACTAATCAACTTTGGTCCATTTATTTAAAAAAAAAGTATGTATGCATTGAACCCAACAAATAAAGAATATACTTAAAGAGAGGAATGACTAAACGTTGTTTAGTATACAATAAGGGGGGGCTTATGTCGACCTTGCAACTAAAAGCAACTGGCGTTTCGGCAACTGGGAGCAACTGAAAGCAACTGAATGCAACTGAAAAAAAAGTCGACCTGACCGCCTTTTACAACTCAAAGCAACTAGTTGCAGTCAGTTTGCACTTATTCAACTTTCTGCAACTGGGTGCAACTGGCGGCAACTAGTTGCAGTCGACATGAGCGTTCTTGCAACTGGAGTCAACTCGTTTCCATGGAATAACATCACGTGATAAGAGACATGTGTCATGTGGCTTCATAAATAAGCAAATGGAAGCGAACAAAGACACCCACTTTTCGAGTTTTCATGATGTCGACAATAATATACTAATAGAATTGTAGCAAGACCGACCATGCCTTTGGGTTGCTTCTTCTAAGTGATTCGCCATTTTGTTGATCACGTGATGAATAAATTAAGAGTCACGTGTTCAGTGTTATCACCAGGGGCGCAGATCGCCAAAAATTAGTGGTGGGGACAGTCCATGCGCGGGCGACTATTGGTGTAGAGGGGGGGGGGGTTCCTCCCCCGAAATTTTTTGAAAACTAGACGCTCTAAAACGCATTCTGTAGGTATTTTTAGCATCATTTTCTGGCAAACCATTCTAATCCCCGAGGCAGCAAATGATACGAAATCTAATCTAAAGACAAATCTTCAAGCCACCGTTCACGATTTATTCTTTCATGTACACTACAAGAACTAGAAATATTTACACCACTGAGATTGCAGCTCCGCCTCCATTCCTAGTAGTGTTCGAAGACTACGTAAAGTCTTTGAGCAAAATGTGTATATAATTGGATACACAAATGTACAGGCCTACAAATCTTTTAATTTATATAAACTAAAACAAGCCACACACACAGCTAAACATATCAATATTCAATCCCAATTGAAATAAATGTAACATTTTACTGTATAATTCATTGGTGATTAAAAATCCGATGGCAAAGGCGAACTTTCCCACGTTAAAATTCAAGAATGGCGACCACATTGAAATAATAACTTTTCGCTTTTTTTTAAAAGTTAAATCTAGCTGTTTATATCGTTCCCAGTGACAGTAGTGATGTTATGTTAGAAATTACGTGTTTGGAATTTTATTATTTGCTGAACCGTTTAAAGAGGCAATCACTTGTAGCGTGTGCCCTGAAAGAAGCCGATACATTATTACAGCTATACAAGAACCAGAAGAGCAATCCGGATCACTAGTAACGTCCAAATACTTTTGTTCTTGTATCCGGATTTTTCTGTAAAAATTTTTCCGCGATAACTCGGGGTTCAAATTTCTCAAGCTGGTCACTGTGAACATCACACAGTAGCAGATGATTTAATCGCGATTGTTTGGTCGTACTGCGTAACCAAGTCTTTAGGCGTCTTAGGGCACTGAAAGATCTTTCCGCACTACACCAGCTAGCTGGGTTTATCAGAATGGATCGAAGTAATCGTTCAACTTGTGGAAACATCTTCCGAACATCAGGGCTCATTGATTTGAATATTTCATGGAATTCACTGATGTAAGAACCTAAATAGTTTCGCTTAGAAAAGGCAAGTTCATAATCTAAATCAGGAGATAGTTAAGGGTATCATCCAACAATATCCATATCGTATTTACCCGTCAAAAGCATAGCTGTTAGTTTTGCATATTCATTCAGATCGGTCGACGTGAAATATTTATCCAAATTCGAGATTGCACTATCCAAAACTTTGAAAAATTGTAGTCGATATTCAAACTAAATCCTTTAGTTAGGTGATTTATCATCTAGTATACCAGATAAAAACAAAATCTCAGTTATCCTTAACCCTTTAATACCCAGCGTGTAAGATATGCACACCTACATGATATACATATTATTATAATCCCGATGGAATATTTTAATTATTTACTGTTATAATATGAATTATGACTTATTCCCTGTTAAATAAAAATCGGTCACTGGGTGCAGCTGTCCAACTTCAAGGACACTGGCCTCAAGTGCCTGGGACCAACTCTACACTTTCTGAAATGTCAATAAAAGCTCTGGAATGATTTCAATTTCAAAAAATAAACAGTAAGCAAAACATCGGAAATAAGTGGTGGGGACACAGTATATCATGTCCCCACCACTAAAAAATATTGGTGGGGACGCGTCCCGGTGTCCCCACCGGGATCTGCGCCCATGGTTATCACTATCAGTTCCGAGTCGACATAAGCGCTCCGAATTCAGTTGCTCCCAGTTGCTGATATGATCGACATAAGCCCTCTGGCAACTGACTGCAACTAGTTGCTTTGGGTTGCAAAGTCGACATAAGCCCCGCTTTACGAAATACTGGACAAAGCTCCGCAGCTTTTCACTGATATGTAGCATGCTGTTCTTGAATTTCATATAAGACCCGTATTTTGATCATGGTATAAGAAATTCACTTTACCTTGACAAACGATCAAGTGTGTAAGGTTGATATCCCCTTATCGTGTGGTGTATATCCTTTCAATTTTCTGGCTTACAGTGTGCCAGGTAGTCTCGGTCACCCAGAACCTCATTGATTGTGTATATCTGAAATAGACCCGACCGACGCACAAAATAGTGCAATATATGGCGGCCTCTATGAACAACCCTCGCAGACGCTGTCATTGAAGACAACGTCAATTCTATGAGTTGTAGATGTTATTTTTGTGAAAAATCATTGGAAGAAGAGAGAACATCTTGGGACTGTACGAATTATATAGTCTTTATGGGTGCAACGGACACAATGCTGAAGAAACCTATTGTTTCCAATGTTGACCTCATGACACATTGACGTCAATGTCATGACCTGTGATGTGTAGATCACGTGATATGGATATCATGGCTATTGTATTGACTGTGTCTGAGATACTTCTCCGCAGGTAGCGTGTCTCAGATGTTCAGAATGCCTCTCGTGTTCTCGCTCCCTCGCTTCGTCACAGTCTTGACTTCTCGTCTTCTGGCCTCGGAGGTGGGGTTTATGCGCATGTCCACTGACTAGCGTTTCGGCATTTATATTTGGACATCGACTCAAATACGCGGGAATATGTTTTGGGTTCTGGAAAGTTTAATAGTACTCCTAACTCTAACCATTTGTACCTGGTCTTGCGCGAATTGTTGTATTCTGTGCCCGATCTTCAGTCTAATATGTTTCATTCAAAACCGATGGAGGTGATCAACAAAGTTCTCACCGATTTGGGATTAACGCATCTTATGGATGGATTTAAAGGCAGTTCCGTAAGTAGCCTACGACCACAAGTTTTTGTTTGGGTGGTCAAGTTTAAATTTTGTCTCAGAAATTACCTTTTGAGTCAATCAATATTAAGCGAAAACGCACATTTTTAAGGCCCATGTGTAGCCTATTTATTTGGGATTCAAATGGCCTTTTAAATGTTACGCCTAGATATTTTCACAGGTTACCAATTTATATATTAAATATATTAACTTTGTTAATATACCGTAAGTAAACTATTTATTAAATTCATTTCATAACCCGTCCCTAGCCCATGTTTAGGGTGACCCACCATAAATAAATATCTCCACAATTTCACCACAATATTTATATATACACCAAGCCTTAAATCAGTTTCGCACATTTATAGTCACTAAATAAACGGTCATGTTGCACTTAATAAGCTATGATCATTTAACAATTCATAAATAATAGACTGAAAGATGGTTACGAGTGTCAGCCATAACGGGGATCACGTGGCTAAGTGGGTAAGACGCTAGCTCGCTAGCCTGGAGGTCGGGTGTTCGATCCCCTGCATTGGCCGAGAAAGTTCATCCAGATTTTCCGGCGTGGTTCTCCCTTGTCAGTGATGCAGGACGGAGGGGCTGACAAGGAAAGCTGTCTAGTCGTTCGGATGGGACGAAAAACCGAGGTCCCGTGTACACATTGGCGTGCACGTAAAAGATCCCTTGGCAGTTGGAATTTGATATAAGTATAAGAGTAGGCCGTAGTGCCGATGTCCGGGCAAAATTTCCCTCATAGCACACTGTATGGCGTATGCCCGTCTTCATTAGCCCAGGTTAGGAGCAGAACAGTAGGACGTTAAACCCCATTTCATTTCATTTCTGTCAGCCATAACATCCGGGCACTTGTGAGTAAAAATTAGGTTACGTGCCCTTGTTTTGAAATTTATCTCGCTTAACCTGTCTACCGACCATTCTACGTATGATTGACAGGCCGGGATAATCAAAACTACTTTTTTTTTACGAAACATAACAGAAAGCTGGAACAAGAAATCGAATTTAGAAACACGCACGATTGGGCAACTCAACAATTTTTTTTAAGAACCTTGTAAAAGTATCATATTCTTGCCCAACACAAGAATTTCAGAGATATTATTTGTACTAAACCAAAAGATGCCACTCCTAACGGTACAATTAATGATAAAGCAATTTAAAAAATAAAACGAACGTAATTTCTAAAGCTGCTGTAATAACCAATAAGCTAAATGTTACTGCTATTCCGAATCGTCAACAATAGATTTTTACGGCTGTAATAGTTGATAGATGTGTATAGAATTGCACGTGCGATGGCTATTTATAGTATCATAGACTCTACGGCTGAGTATTATTTTACTGCGTAGTAAGCGAGAAATCACTTCGGATCAAGCCACTGAAGCGTGTACATTTGCCGTGTCGAGACTAACTTTCTGTACGGAAAATTTTTGGTGCACGGGTCACCCTAGTTCAGCTCTGAACGTAGGTCTCATTACACTCACCCTGTACGTTCTATTGAATCCTTGTCGACCATAAAAGATGAAACGAAATTTAGGTAATTGAAATATTTGTAAATTTGAGAATCTTCAGCCATTTATTGCTTTGCCTAGTCTAATTACAATAATTTAAATTCAACTTTACAAAGATTTCAATTTTTTTCTCCCAGGTTTACCTAAATTTCGTTTCATCTTATATGGCCGAGTTCGTAAATTTGTGCCTTACCCTTTTAATGAAGTCAGTCATGGCAGTAAGAAGAGTGGGACGTATCTTTTAACAGCGTGTTGTGTCGCTCATATTGGTTCGAGCGAGGTAGGCAAGGTCTTATTTTCTCACTAAGATGTTCAGTTACATTGTTCAGGCGCTCACAGGGACTGGCACGCGACCGTTTAGCAGTAAAAAGTTGCCCAGTAAAATTGACTGGCAAGCCAAATTTTTTCGACAAGGATTCAATAGAAGAGTCCCTGAACGTCCAGGGTGAGTGTAATGAGACCTACGTTCAGAGCTGAACTAGGGTCACCCTAACAACTTAGAGAGAACTTTTTTATTCGCTGGGATATATAGTTGTACAATGGGTTTTATATAACCGGAGGTAATTTCAAACACACAGGTAAGTTTATAATAACCAAGGTAGAGTACATGTAGTTTGTTCATAATCGCAAGTGGGGGTGGGCTGAATGGTTAGCACGCGCGCGCTGTATCATAAAGTCTGTCATTGGGTCAACGGGCGTGGTTTCGATACCCCGGATGTACGTGACAAGGAGTAGGGTCGCCTGTCCAACCTCGTGGGTTTTTTTCCGGGTCCTCCGGTCCTCTACGCGCAAGCAAATTATATAAATACAATTGAACCATGTTAGTCCCGAAATGACCTATTCTGTGTCGAGTGGACGTTAAACTCTCTCTCTCTCTCTCTCTCTCTCTCTCTCTCTCTCTCTCATAATCAAAGAAATCCGTTTAAAATTTACCAAGGTTCAGACAGTGGTCGAAAATACAAGCAAAAACATTGACTTTTCAAGAGAGAACCTTTTCTTTCTTTGGGATATTTAATAGTGCAATGGATTTTATTCAACCGGGGGTGATTTCAAACACATAGGCAAGTTTTTAATAACAATTATTCAGTAGTTTGTTCACAATCGACGAAATCCGTTTAAAATTTACCACGATTCAGACAGTAGGCCTATTATAACAATGTCTGGTTGTGAAACTTAGTTTCTATTCGTCCACATGCCCATCTTCAATCTGTTTCACAGAGGATTACGAAAGTCTGCTAATATCTCTGTAAAAGATGACTACCTTCAACACGTGACGTCATATCACGCGGCGTCATTCATTGGCTCAATGGCGCGTTCATTGTTTACATAAGACGTTACTGGTTCGGGCAGAATGGTGCCGTTTACTCATTTTAATACTCATTTATACTTAATAGGAAAAAAATTTTACCTACAAATACATCAAACGTCTTTATTTATTTTTCTAATACATAAAAAAAGAAATGTGTTAGAATTTAATTTGTCGGAGGAAAAAAGTGAATATTTGTGGCCCATTAAGTCGAATCGATGTTGTGATTATCAGTGATTGTAGCAGCCTAGCGAATATTCACCGCTGATCAGTGTGGATCTCGTCATGTCAATGCAATGGGGACCCATGGAAACCAGTTCGTCCAGGGTCCAGGGCTGCCCAGTCCGCCCATGTTTTTACACACCATAGTTTTATTAATTTACAACCTACAAGCTGTTATAGTCTAATTTAAGTCACAGAATGCTGAATAACAACACTTAAACATAGACGGGGAGATTGCTAAGTCCACTAATACACCCAAGCTAGCTCAAAAATATATATAAACAAATATCCCTGAATAAATTGATAACGACTAGAGAAGCCTAGTCGAAACGTCGCTCAGTAATAAGCAGTAATTGTATTCCATAGAATTGTGACCTGTATACTCCCTGAATAAGTTTTAAAACCTTTAAAAATCAAAACGTGAACCGAGAGTAAAATCCACAAAACGGCTTAATCATTAATCACCAGGAATACGCCGTGTACAATATGAGCGGAAATTCCTACGAGTTTTCTTACCATTCAAACCACTAAAAGCCCTTCCTAGCCACGTCGTCGTGCCTATAAATACACCATTGACAAAGGGAAGTCACTCAGAATAATCCCGAGGAACTTTCTAGTCGACCTCCTGGTTAGTAATCCGGCGCCTTAGGCCTACTCACTGTGCCACCAACATTTATCTGTATATGGTACACAATATCTAAGAATCCGAAGAAAATTCATGAGGTTATATGCAGGCGATCCTGTCACGCACAAATCTGGCTCGAAATCATGACACTTGACTGACATGACAACCTTATGATCTAAACTGCAAACCTTAAACGGGTTCCCAGACCCATCAGCAGTCAAGTCGTCCGTGCTAGATAAAAATCCGGGTCATCAAATACGGCTGACTACTCAGTGCCGAGCAAGGTCTAAAGAAAGTTTTAAAAGCCAATATATGTGAATGCAGAAAGATAACTTTGCGGAAGGTGTTCCAAATTTACCAAATTCTGTTTGCGTTTCTCATCTTATCTTCAAAGATACCTACATAAAAGAGTATTGGCCCACCTTTCAGAAAAATGAGACAAAGCATTGTGCTAAATCCTACTGAAAAAAATCATAAGTAGTTTATTTGTGGGTTAATATTGTTGGTTAATATTGGCTGGTGCAACTATAAAAGGTCATTTAATAGGACTATGTATCGACAAACCACGACTCGTTCATGACGTGTTTATTTAAACTTGATAACGATTTAAACTCATTCTTGTACAAATCTACACAAGTCACTGATACTGATAACATAATATAACGAATGTAAGTATATAACGTAAATAAATTTGGTTTAATTTGAATAATTATATTATGGCTTGGACAGTCTACCTTTTTTAAATTTGGACATGAATGAAATGGGATGTAACATCTTATTTTGTACCAACTGGCCTAATGAAGACAGGGTTTAATCAGGACCAGTTTGGTAGATTTTAAATATTATAATGTACATATACTCTTCAAAAAAAAGTAGGGGATATTCAGAAACAATACAAAATTGCCGAAATGCACTGCTGTTTTTATTAGAGGTAACCAGTGTATGTTAAAGATACATTATGGGAGATTTTAATAGAGAGTTGGCCATTCTTGCTATAACAGTTCAAAAATAGATGATGAAAGAAGAATATATTGAAAATTTCAGTCAAATTACTTTATTCTGAACAAAGTTATCACCATTGTAATTTTTGACTAGAAATAGAAGTCAACTCTCTCTTCACCGTCTCCGAGAATGGCCGATCGTTTGATTGACAGGCGTTAACACCACCTACATAATCTCGATTATCAAGTAACGTTTTCAATGGCTGTGGCACTGGTACCGTTAGTCATTCGGTTTGAGGCGTGGTTGCAATTCAATTCGTATCCCATTTATTTTTACTACAAATTAAAAATAAGACTTTTAATATATAGATAAGAAGCGAAAGTTTGAAAGGAATGGACCAAATCAATGAGGCATAATTATAGCCGACTTCTTGTTAACCTGCGTGTACTCTTGTACTGTAACTGGTGGTCCTACGGATCTCCTGAAGCAGACAAATAAATAGGAAGCAGTGATCCAATGGGGCTGCAATTTAACTGGGGTGATGTTAGCTGCGATGTTTATCAATTTTCATAATTTTTCTGTAAACGCAAGTGACAAAAGAGCGTATAATACCAACATCCAAACTCTCATTTTAACCACAACTAAACATAATATCAAGGTCGTATATATCGAACTTTCAATCAAATTGACTGGCATGCGTTTCTATATATAACTCTATGGGCCTCGTTCAACAGCGGCCTCGCTTCGTACACTCTATCATTTAGCCTCGATCTAAAATTTCCGGGAGTATAACGTCAACGTAACGGTTAATCTCCGCTTACGACGCCATTTAAAAATTTAATCAATCAATGAAATCCTGTTTAAATCCAATTCCAAGCCGAATCCAATTTATAAGATCTAATTTATAATGTCTATGACATCTGAAGCCTAAATAAAGACTTGCAAAAATCAGATTTAGCTCTTGCGTAATGTATGTTTAATAATAGGCCAATTGCCTACACATGAACATAAACAGTTTATATGGGCGGCTTATCTGACGGCCCCATTTCGTTCGCAACAGCGTCAAAAGTGAAAATGGACGTTTTTGATTTTTGTCTTAATAATGAGTAATTGCTCTACCAATCCTCAGACGTTCAGCAATTCGTCGTGGCATGCTCCTAATCAACCGTCCATTCACGATTTTGGGCAATATGACCCACTCCTCTTGCAGTGCCACGGCCAATTCTTGCAGTGTTGTCGGTTGACGTTGACGAACACGTCTCCCGATCAAATTAAACGTAACACACTAAAGCAAAGATAAGCTAAACAGTAAATCTTATGCAAGAACCGATAGGAAAGCAAACATGGATAGATAAACCAGCACGCGGCAGTTTTCATCAACCCTTCCTTGAAGTGTCAAATTTGACAATGAACCCCTCCCACGTGTATGGTGCTATTGCGTGTCGCATGTGCAGCTCAGTGGTTCTGTTGGGGCGATACGTTCTTCAACTGTGAACATACTCTCAAAGCATGTCAAGTGTCCATGACTATTTATCATATCACAACCGGCATAGGTATTTTCATTTCAGTATCCCCTACTTTTTTGAAGAGTAGGCCTATATAAGAATATGCCGTAAAGGGGATTTAATTGTCCTAAATTCATTGTTGATAATATGCTGTTGTGCACGTTATGCCACGTACAAAGTGAACCTCTATATAAGGAATATAACAAAACACCAATTAGTCTTTCTTATTTTCAGAATTCAATCATGGCGTTTAAAGTATTCCTGGCATTCGTTATGATAGTGTGTTCTACAAATGCTGCAAACATTTTAATGATTCCAGTACCATCGCACAGCCATTGTCTGGAAATGGTTGGCATAGCTAATGAATTGGTAAAACGGGGCCATTTTGTTTTTGCTTATGTACCAGTTAAATTTAAAACGCACTGTTTTGATAGTAGCAATGTGACAGTCATTGACTTTCATATGTCCGAAGAAGGATGGAGACGTAACGAGGAATTCGGTGACTTTGTTACCAAGACAGTATTCGGTGGAAGAACGTTGATGAATTCGGAGTTTCCTTCAAAGATGAACAACTTAGCTGAGAGTGTTTGTGAGGGGGCTCTAAGTTCAACTGAAGAATTAAAGAAGTTACAATCCTTACATATAGATATAACTTTGGTCGATGCAATGCCGTTGTGCAACTGTCTTTACTACATACCAAGATTTCTTAAAAGTCCGGTTGTCAGTGTGGCTAGTGCGATATTCGAGGGTGACAGTGGCATGCCTTTTCAGACAAATACACACCCTTTGCTGGCCGTGCCCTACACCAGTGATATGGCATATCCGCAAAGATTTTTAAATCATCTAGCTACTGTAGGTTTTGCTTTCTCGTTAAACGTTATGAATGTTTTCTATCAGACTGATATTGACAAACTTAAAAAATATGTCCCAGCAGACGTCTTTCATATTGATAAGGCTCAATTGATTAGACAATCTGTTTTGTTTTTGGAAAATTCGGACACCATCTTGGAATATCCAAAAGCTACTTTCCCCAATTTTCTGCGTGTTGGTGGGCTTACAACACGCCCAACAAAACCTCTACCCGAAGAGCTGGAAAAATTCATGTCTCAATCAAAAAATGGCGTTGTGGTCGTCTCTTTTGGTAGTTTCCTGAAAAATGCACCACCTTATCTTTTCCAAAAATTGTTGAAAGTTTTTCAAAATCTAAACCATAATGTAATAATGGCATATGATAAAAATGAAAACTATGGAAATGTGAAAACTGTAAAATGGCTGCCACAAAATGACGTCTTGGGTCATCCTAATACTGTTCTATTTATTTCACATTGTGGTAAAAATGGCTTCTTTGAAGGATTTTATCATGGTGTACCTATCATTTGTACACCGCTTCATGCAGATACTTTCTCTACGGCCATTAAAGTCAAATATCATAAAGTCGGAAGTTCGGCAGATATACTTAATGGCGATGCTAATGAAATACTGAAGGTTATAAAATACACATTAAATGATGAAAATGTTAGGAAGAATATGAAGAAAGCTTCTGCTATTTTTCATTCGGCACCATTCACACCACAAGAAAGAGCCGCTAATGGCATAGAACATGTATTAAAGTTTGGTGGTGATCATTTAAAACCAGTTTCTAGTAAAATGTCTTTAATAGCTCATACTATGTTAGATATTTGGTTTACATTATTTTTACTTACATCTATTATACTTTATATATTTTATAGATTAATACGAGGTTGTTTTATTTGTATATTCTGTAGAAAACAAAATACAACTGGAAAAAAGAAAAAAGACTGAAATATTATATTTTGGAATTAAAAATAGTTTTAAATAGACCAAAACCAATGTAGATTGATTCAAGTAGAAGAAATGTTGCACGTTTTGTAAATGTTATAAGTTTGGAATGTTTATTTTTTTTATAGTTTTTATTTTAAGCACTCTGGCAGACCAGAAAGCAGTGAATGATTGTCTTGGTTTAGTTACCGGTACACAAGAATTTATAAGTGTATGAGGCAACAGTCGTTAAAATAATTACATCTGGTTTTAGTGATATCTTTAAGATTAAAACAGCACAGTTGGCACAGTTATACAGTATGTGATTCTATATTCAAATAGCTGTCCAACATTACACGAATATACATTACATACCGGTAATGTAACCCAATCCATAGATTTAATTCAAAAGGAGCCAAATCTAACTCAATATCATCCAGTCTTGGCCATTGCAAACACGACTTATTGGTCAATTTAAATTAACATTGATGTTATTATCTTACTGTGAAAAGTTGGGCTTCTGATACCCAATATTTTAGACAAAAATGAAAATTTTAAAATTAGCACGCGAATCGTGGGCTAGAATGCTTTCGAGTGCCAGATATATCAAGCGACTCAATGAACGAGGCTAAATATCCAATATAGACTGGAATAACCAGACGACAAAGACTGCCATTCAATCCAGACTCTTCATGTATTTCCCCGAACATAACTGATTAGAAATTACAGTAAAAGCAGAAATGATTGAATGTAAAATCAGTTTGTATACATTTATATTACATTATTATGCGCATTGCTACCCATTTCTACGTACCAACGAATTGCGTTTTAGCTCCTGTAATATCAGTAAATTTAGATAATGATTGTTTTGATCCAATTATATGTTTGGATGTAATTTAAGTTGATTAAAACATCCACTACTCTTATTTCTTTTATACATATTTCAAACTGTGACTGAGATAGATTAATGAGTGTCAGTGGCTATGTTTATTTGTGTGTTGGTTATGCCATATGTTCTAGCTATTTTACTATGTGAGGTTGTATATAGAGTAAATATTATACATGCAGAATTCCGAATAAAACATCTGATAGGGACTGCACCATATTGGATAAAAAAAAAGCTTTCACTTGTCCATAATTTTGTCAATTTGTTATGAAATCATTTACAATTTTGATATATATATATTAAATTTTATTGAATATCTTTGTATTTTCGTATTTGCTAATAAACAACTATTTTCTAGAAATTGAAGTTTGATAATTAAACTAGCCAGAACTGACTAGTTCTCAAGAAGGGCCACATTTTCAGTAGGGCGAGAATGGAGCAATGAGAACAAAATGACTAGTCATCACCCTCCCATGCCCTTGTACTTGTTAGAAAGGCATAAGGAAAAAAACTAAAAACTTTTTGGAATATCAATGGAAATGGAATGGGGTTTAACGTCCACTCGACACAAACTAGGTCATTTCGGGACTAACATATGATTTAATTTTATTTCAATAAATTGCTTGGGCGTAGGGGTCTTTAGCAGTGGGAGGAAAGTTTCAAAAAGATATCTTAAATCGTTTATGAGGAATGTGCTGGAAAAAAAAAAATATAAATCCAAGAAATTCCTAAATAGTAAAAGGCACAACAACTGTAATAGGTTGATGTATGTGCAAAGTTTCAAAAAGATCTTTTAAATGGTTTATGAGATATGCTCTGGAAACAAACTTCTACACCAAAAACTTAGGCAAATTTGTTTACATTTAAACACAAAAAATACAAATCCAAGAAATTCTTATAAGCAAAAGGCACAACTAATGTAATGGGTTGATATTTGTACAAAGTTTCAAAAAGATATCTTGAACAGTGTATGACATATGCTCCAGAAACAAAATGTGGACAGACATATGGACAAGGAACATTTCAGTATCCCTCACTACCTTTCTTGGATTAATGGTTTGCATGCAGAGGTAATCATCAAGAGGAGGATACCTGAAAAATTAGACAAGATGGGCTGTGTTGATGGCACTACTCTTTCTCAAACATGGAACAGAATTCACCTTGAGATCTTCGCCACCCAAACCCCCTCATAATATGATTAAGCCACTGGCCCATTTATATATGGTACTTAACTTAATCCACATCTCCTTTGTCTCTCTACTCCTATACTAATAAAGAATAAAATGAAAACAACATCTGATTTTAATATTATCTTAATAAATATCACCATTTCTAAATTAACATAACATAAATAATATCAAATTTTCACAAATGTAGAAATTATGAAAATTAATGGATGGAATTTAATAAGTGTAAACAAATATTTATGAATCAAGAAATTAAAAATTTACTATTTTAAGTTGATATTGTGTCCACTAATTAATCCATAAAGGACAAAAGTGAAGCTTAATCTCTAGTCAAGACTAACAAATGGGTGTTTTGCTTGAAGAAACTTTTAAAATAATGTCAGAAATGCATTGTATATACACAACCAATAAAATGGACAGATTAACAGATCTAAAACTGTATACTGGTAATATTATCATACAAAGTCAACATGCAACTAAATGTTATAAATAAGTGTTAGCTGAATACAATAACACAAATTGATATATAAATTCAAGGTCTGGAAATGTGCAATGTGATTCTGTTTTTATATAGCATGTGGTAAAAATAATAAATGAAGCTTGGACCATCAGCGACATGTTTTAGTCTACCAATTTCCAACTTTCAAAAGAATGACAGATGCAAATGAAAATATCTAATACTGTGTCTAAATTACAAATACAGTACTTATAAATAAACAGTATTCCTCTCTAACAAGTATATTTAGAATAAACAGATGCAAGAGAAGTACATAAGAATAAAATATATCTAAAATTATGATAAAATTAATCTGATCAAAACACAGATCCTATTTCTTTTAATTTTTTATAGTACAAAATTTTGGTTTACTTGTCTGCACTACACTAATGATCTGAAAAAGCTGTTAAATAACCCAAGTTCTCAGCAATAGAAAACAAATCAAAGCAAACTTTGTATTTCCGAATATCCACTTGAAGCACTGACTCTGATTGGTTGGTTGATTGAATGACGGACATCATAGGGTCAAAAGCAGCTCATATGACCCCTGGCTTGACCTCCAACTACAACCGGTCAGATTTTCATATATTAAAGGCCATCAAATGTATAAAAAAAAAACGAAATGTAGATCTGTATTTTAATCACATTGTGATAAAATGTGGAATGTATAAAACAAATATTAAAATATTTTCATTTTTAGAAATTATTTCCAGCAATACTTACAGTGGAACTTTCCATACCGGTCTGTTAATGATCTTAATGATTGGATGTTATTATGAGACAAACTACAATTAACATATCACAAAAGTACAAAATATAACAAAAGAATTAATAAATGCCTGCCGTTGATTCAATGGTCAGAAATAATTCTTCTAACGATTTTTAGGGGACAAAATTCAATAACATAGTGTTGCTGGGCAACAAAGATACTCCACCAGGAGAAGTTTTAAAAAAAATGTTACATCTACATTCTACAAAGTTGCATCACAAATCTAAATTTCAGTAGGGTTGCTGCTTAGGATTAACCATACAATCCCAGCCAGCTTGGACCCCCCCCCCCCCCCCCCCACAAAATCTCTTTCCTATAGCGTGTTTACAAGAATTGTGGACGGAGAGGGTATGACAACAATCCTACTTATCTATGGCTGTATGAAAAGAAGTAGTTTTACACAGATTTTCACTAATTATACAAACTACATCTATCACAGAATCATTGATCAGGTAAGTGGGGAGATCATTTACTTCCCAGATGAGGTTGATGTGCAAGATTTACTCCTTCTGGCTCAAGTTTTGAAAATTTTGTAAAAACCTCTATAATTTGGTAAGATGATGTATATAATTGCCTGATATCAGCACTTTTTACAATTACATTAAATACTATCTATATCAATATTGTTATATCATTATCTATCGACCAAATGGTATAGTACGCTGTGCTGGACTCCATGGAGGACGGAATTCAGAGTCATCTGTAATATGTTTCCGCTGACGCATCAATCTCTCTTTTTCTTCTCTCTTTTCCTGAAAAAAAAAATGAACATGTAAATCATTCTAAAAAAGATCATCAAGTCTTGTTGAAGATACCTAAATGAAAACCCTTTCTCAGTAGTAAGATGAACCAATTAAATGCAATATGCAATTCCAAAGCTTAATATACAGACTTCCTCATTCTGTTTCTTCCTCATTCTCATTATTACATTTTACTTTAATAACTTGAAGACAATAACAAAAAAAAAAAATTCATTTTCATTATTTTCATTTTTCTTTAATAATGTGAGAACAATATCGAAAAATATTCATCCTTTCAATCACAAATGTTCAAATTAACCCAATAATGAAAAAAACTTACTTTATTTTCTAGCCATATTTCATATTTTTCTCTTGCTTCTTCTTCTTTCTGAGCTCGTAACTTTTCTTCTTCATAGAGATCAGGCTTTGTCTTTTTCATATCTTTTGCTTTTACCTTTAAAGATACCTCCTTTTTTTGATTCCTGTATAGAAAAGAATTAAATGTCATCAGTGTTGGTAGTGATCTGAATTTTATCTGAGCAAAAGACCAATGATTGGTTAAAAAGACTAATCTAAACCACTCGTGAAACATAAAGAATAGTAATGCAAAGCATAAATATACAAGTTAGAATGGTGTTGTATGGACAACTTATGACAACTGCAAGGATGGAAATACCTTGAAAACAAAACTTGATCTACTCATGTTCATAATACTGCACTCCGTATACTAAACTTTTTATTACTAAAGTTATGTAAAAACAATTTATTCATACCATGACCGAAAAGCTGATTCTGCAGACTTAGCTCTCATTTTCTTTTTTGCCTTTTCTTCTTCTTCCCTTTCCTTTTCTGTTCTCACCTTGTTATTAATTTCTTTTTTTAATACCACTTGTTTTGTTTTACTCCAAGATTCAAAACTCTTAAATAAAATGGCGAAATAAATGGAATGGATTTTATTACTTTAAAATTTTTTGGAATATAGACAAGTCTAATCTTTCTTCAAAAGTTTTATTATACAGCTTTGTACAAGTAAAAAAATCTCATATAATGAATATGCTCTGGGATCTTACATAAGCTGCAGATGTTAGCCCTGTGATCTTATTACAACACACCTGCATAGACTTCATAGGTATTTTCATATTATATCCTTGAACTGCGTTATACTGTACATCATTAATTTTGCAACAATTAAAATTAATTTTTACCCAGAATATAACATTTCAACTGAATATAAAACAAATTTTATTGAAAGTGGAATATATTCATAATTAATTTTAATGTATGGTATATATGCATATGTGTGAAAACCTTGGCTGCATCTTTTTTCTTAGCTTCTTTTTCTTGTAATTCTTCATCTTTTTTTCTTTGTTCTTTTGATTTTTCTCTGGCTTTCTGTTTTAAGACATCTTTTTTCTTTTCAGCCCAGGCATTAAATGAAGACATTGCTTCAAGTTGCTTTTCTTTCTTTTCCTAGATGCAATTTTATTGATAAATAAAGATGTTTTCTTTTTCTTAATGATAAATCTTAATACTGCTTGGCAAATGATCTGGTCATGGACCTGATATTATATTTTTAAAATTAAAATCTCAATATTTTCTGCATTATAAAGCTCCTCTTCAACAATATATGCCCTAGCAAACAAATAGTGTTCAGTAAAATTGATGATACCATAAATTCACAGGCACTTGAAGGGATTAAAATAAAACTTCTTACTACTCTTTGACTATATAATACTGTTTTATATAGTCAAAGAGTAGTAAGAAGTTTTATTTTAATCCCTTCAAATGCCTGTGCATAAATTTTTACCCAATACTTAGTAAAACTTTAACATTATTGTATTGAATGATAATTTTGTCATCCAAAGTATTTGACTAAAATTGACATTTAGAAAGGGGTCATTCTTACTTGCTGCTCGTGTTCAATTTTTTGTTTTTCGGTTTTCTTTTTTTCTATAATTGTTTCTTTTAATTTTTCTGTTTTTGTTCTATACCATTCTTCAAATATAGCTTGTCTCATGGATTTCGTGTCATTTGGATCAAACTTAATAGGTTCAAATTCCTGTGTTTTATAGCGAGGTTTGGGTTTAATCTTTTGGGTGGTAGTCTGCTTGGTTTGAGTCTTTTCTGTTCTGGAATATTAAAATAACATGGATCATGACTCCAAAGAAATTGAAATATTGTTGCCGTGTTTTTGACAAATTGTTCAGAAGAGTCGAAACATGTACAGCAATTCAGAACCAAGATGTACCATGTTATTCAGTGGAGTTGAAACAAGTATAGCAATTCAGAACCACCTTGTACCAAATTGTTCAAGAGAGATAAAACAAGTACAGAACCATCCCATATCAGGTTAAAACTATTTCTATATAGCCCTTAAAACAACATGCTGATGGATTAAACTGGGTTAAGATAGATTCACTTTTGACCTCTGTCCTGCATCACTGACAAGGGGGAACCACGCCGGAAAATCTGGATGTACTTTCTCAGCCAATGCAGGGATCGAACACCCGACCTCCAGGCTAGCAAGCCAGCGTCTTACCCATTTAGCCACGTGATCCCCTTTTCGGTAATGAAACATTTATAATACATTAAAATCTGATTAAGAATAACAACTCATGAAGTAATTATCAGAAAACCATTAGAATTTGTTTGGTTTTATAAAGTTCTGCCCCATGCTAATGTTTAGTAGACAAAACTTTTAACATCATGGATTTAGCTGTTCAAGTCATAAAAATTCATTGAAAATCAATATACTTGTTCGTCTCAAGATCTTAAACTCTGTGTATCAATCTGAAGTCAATCGGATGATAACTTTTGCCTCTAGAGCGTCACAACTTGACTCACAAGATTTTCCAAAGTGATCAAGGGCTAGAACTCGGGATCATAAATCGCTGAAAATCAATAGGATTCTTCGTCTAATGACCTTAAACACTGTGTATAAATTTAAAGTCAATTGGTTATTAACTTTGACATCTAGAGCGTCCACAAGATTTTTTGAAGTGATCAAGGGACATAACTCTGGCAGTAATTATCGAAAATCGCTGAAAATGAATAGACTTCTTCGTCTCATAACCTTAAACGCTGTGTATAAATTTAAAGTCAATCGAATATTAACTTTGACCTCTAGAGCGTCCACAAGATTTTTCAAAGTGATCAAGGGCCATAACTCTGGCAGTAATTATCAGAAATCTGTCATTACAAATCTGGTACCAATTTGAGTATTATTTAATTTATTAAATGTTATAACAATCAAGTACTAAAGATGCATTATGTAAGATTTAGATAAAGAGCTGGTCGTTCTTGCTATAATAGTTAATGTTACTTACTCTGTTTGTTTATCAGGATCAATATATGTCATACCATTTTGTGCATCTGCTATAACATCAATAGCCATATCAGAATTCTTATGTTCTTCTGTTTGATTTTTATATCTAGAGAAATTGAAATAAAACTGATATTACTGATCAAGGATTGTCAAGAACAAGCAACACAAACACCTAAAACATGGCATTGTTTACAAAATCATCTATGGAGACAATACATCTGCTCATATTATGCCATTTAATGTGATGATGTAATCTGAATGAACTTTTGTTTTGGAACTATCAGGAATACATGCTTCAGAACAAATAGATGGAACAATCTTATTTTGCTAAGTTTAACCCTTTCAGTGCTAGTCATATTCATTTGCCAATTACTATGTAAATCACAAATACGATTTTAGTCTTTGATTTAGATCACATTCCTTTCAACATTTATTCAACTTACTTTCTAGGTTTAGGTTCTACAGAAGAATTAGTAATAAAAGGAGGATTAGGATCAACTTCATATTCTTCACATACTGAACTCTGATCAGCATCTACTTGACGTTTAGAACGTCGTCTTTCTACGGATGGTTGTCTGTCTAACGACGATCTATTCCGGGAATCATATTCATTGAGTTCGTCGAAATTAGAATCATGAGATCTTTCTTTACGGAGACTAGATTTTCTTTCTCTAGGTGTAGGATGATCGACCTGATCCCCTACAAGCATATCCATCAACGATTTGTTTCTTTCCACAGGAGTTTTTCTGTCCTCGTCTGTTGGTGTCTTACGTCCTATACTTCTTCGCTCGTCTGTTAAACCATTTCTCTTATCTGTTGGTGTTTTTCGTCCACCGACTGGTGTTTTTCGTCCATCTACACCTACGGGTGTTCTCCTACCATTTACACCTACTGGTGTTTTTCGACCATCAGTGGGTGTTTTTCGACCATCAGTGGGTGTTTTTCGCCCTTCAACTGGAGTCTTGCGACCAGAAGCAGTTGTTTTGTTCAGTTCTTTATCTTTCGAAAGTCTTCGCTTAGCTCTTGGTGATGGATCATTTATCTCTGCTTCATCTTCTTCATCAAAAAAACTACGACGACTGCCAAAAAGATCCATATTTGGTGGTCTTTTCTTCTTTGGTTCTTCTACTTTTTCACCTTTTCTTGGCCGTGGAGAAGGTTTATTTGTTGGACTATCTAATGGTTCTAGTCTAAGAATAACAGGTTATATTAACAATTAGGATTCAGAGATGACAGAATTTCTAATTTTTCCATGAAATTCATAGAATATTAGATTTTTTTAATAAAATGACAGAATATCAGATTTTTTGATAAATTGATAGAATATAAAAAGATTTTTTGATAAAGTGATAGAATATTAGAATTTTGATAAAATGGTAGAATTTCAAATCTTTTTAAAGAAAAAGCATTTCTTTACTTGCATTTCAAATTTTAAAATTAGACCATCAATTCTGATATTCTTCAATTTAAGCTTCAGATTCTTAAATTTAATCTTCAAAATCTTAAATCTAACATTTAAATTCTTAAATCTAACCTTCAAATGCTTATAAGCTAAATTTCTTAAATAACACCATCAAATTCTTAAATTAAACCTCTGAATTTCAATTCTTTTAATTAAATCACTACATTTCAATTAACCCACTGAATTTAAATGTTAAATTAAATCATTGAATTTCTTAATTTTAAATTCTTAAAATCAAATCACTAAAGTTCAAATTTACCTTGGTGACCTTTCTAATTGTTTTCTTCTACGAGCAGAATCAAGAGTACCACTACTCTCTACTAATGGATCTAATGATGATTCCGGTGATCTACCTAAAACAATATAAACAAAGATCTTAATCATAACAGTTAATACTAAATCAACCTTTCTAATTAGAGTAGGCTAATATCAAAATTAATGGTTTGTTAACTGAATTGTCTGTGTTCTGCATTGTCTTCCTGTCACCCAACATCCACTTGACATAACTCATATTATTTGGCTTGGATGACATCAATCAATAACCAAAATTAGTTAATTAGAAATGAAGAATTAATAATGTCTATCTAATTAAGCATAGATCTTTATTTTGTTTCAATCAAAAATACACTAAAGGAAGGAACAATCTAATAATGAATAGACTGGCCAAATGTGATAGTACTGTTTAATATATTCTATATGCTGTATATTACCTGATATATCACGAGATAGAAAGTCATTAGATAGATTTTTTTTCTGGTAAGATATTGGCTGCCATTCACTATCATTCTCGTTCAGATTAGAAAGGGGGCTTTTACGACTGAAATTCAAAATATATTACCACAAATATGAAAATGATGGATAATTATATCAATCCCAACAAGCACAGAAACATAGAAAGGGACTTGTTCGGCCCCTAATACTCCCACCAACGGCAAAGTAGCCCCTGCTAACTCTAAATGTATTGTCAAAAAATCTCATTGAGAACTCTTTCAAGCAAAATGTCTTTGAAATTCATAATGAAATGAATTTTGAAACTCAATAGGGTTCTTACACATTTACACTGTAAGCCTACCGCAATTCACATGATTTCATAAATTGGAAAGAAAACAATGGAATAACTCTGTAGTTTGCATATTCCTTTTTTTATATACTGTACATCATAATATAAGTTAAATAGCATTTACCAGCATTTTCAATCTTTGTTAAATATTTCTAAAGACTATTCCCCAAACTCAAAATGTCATGAAGTTCATCTTCTTATTGACAAAAGCGCTTCAGATTTTGTTTAAACCAAAAAAAATGGAAACATTGTTTTAGAGTCTGTTACAAGTTGAAGGTTCACATTAAATGAAGAATGTTTTGGCACACAACGAAAGACATAATAATAGCACTACGAAAATATACTATCAAATATTCATTTAATCAGTTCACCTGAGAAATGGACTTTTTCTTTCATCATTTTTGGTTGGTGTGTTTCGACCATTAAGGATGTCATCTGCTGTAAAGCTTGTGGGAGTTTTTCGATCATCTCGAGGCGATTCCTTATTTTTTATATTCAAGTTCGAGTTTTTATAAAATCTGTTTGTTCTAGAATCGTCTCTACCCAGGGTATTCATCAAATTGTCACGATCTTGAAACTTCAATGTAGCTCCTAAATCGGGTTGCCATTCTGCTCTTGGGTCTTGTCTACGTTTTGCTGAATTCGGACGATTTCTATTTCTAAGTGAACTGTTGAAATCTATAAATATAAAAATATAGAATCAAGGTATTAATCAATAGGGCTTTCTTTTAGATAATAGTAAGAAATGATTTTAAAAGGTCATTTCAGGAAAAAATGAAACCCTCACAGCAATGATACTTAATTGTAGTGTAATTATAGTGATATAAATACAACTAGTGAGACAGAGAGATAGAGAGACAGAGAGTGAGAGAGAGGGGGGGGGGGGGGTTTAACATACACTCACACAAACTAGGTCATTTTGTGACTAACATTAACATATTGTTCAATTTTATTTCAATACTTCGCTTGCACGTAGGGGAAACCGGAGGACCTGGAGAAAACCCAAGAGGTTGGACAGATGACCAATTGACACGTACACCCAGGGAATCAACAGTTGACTCAATGACAGACCTTATGATGCAATGCGCACGCCCTAACCATTCAGCCATCCAATCCCCCACAGTCATATAGCGATTGCCAGAAAACCAAATATAACACTCACAGCATGTAAGCTTTCTGTTCAGTTTAGGGTCGTTGCTGAATATCACAGGCACTATGTCTATGACAAGGTTTAATGACCATCAAGGACAATAACCCTAAATTTATTTGTCAGAAATTGTTGAATTTAGATAGAATTCTTTGTTTCACTAATCTGAACAACGCATATAATTTCAATAGAACAGATAAAAACTTTTGTCGTTAAAATGTTCGAAGATTCTACAAAGTGAAATGGAAATTCATTTCACTGATTTAAAATCATTTCCTCACAGACTGGATGAAAACTTTTGTTGTTAAAGTGTTCAGAAGGTGACAAGATTCTAAAAGTTTTTAATAATAGGCAATAACTCTAGATATCTATAAAGATCGGATGATAAATGTAGTCTATTGAGTGTTCACAAGACATTGTGGATGACAGGCGGAGGGCTGCGAGGGCCATACAAAGTATTACAAACACATTTCAAATTCAAAGTGGGCATATAAAAAAAAGTTGTTTACCTAAGCTTCCCACATTATCATCATCTGAATCATCTGATGTTGTCATATCTGTTGTAAGACCATCTTTTCGTCTCTGTGCTAGTTTAGCATTTAGTTCATTATCATAAACATTTCTAACTTTCGGCTGTCGCCTTCGCATCGTTGAATCTACTTCATCCATTTTTCTACAAATTAGAAAATGAGTCAATGAGAACCAGTATCAAGTTCAATTAACAAATTTATATCTAAACTAAATCGGTTTTAAATTATATTTAGTGAAATGTACTTCCCATCCAAAAATTTTCATTAAAGTTCTTTTAAATTGTGTTATAATCCATTTGTATACTCTAAAGTAATGCCCAGTTATTGCAGAACAGTTAAGGGTGTTAAACCCTACTTCATTTAATTTCTTGTAAGTAATTACAAGTTTAATTCTATAAAGTACGTGTATAATTAAAACAGAATTATCTGGAACCAAATATAATGATTGATATAGTGCAACTAACAGAACAATATTGAATTGCAAATTAAAAATACTCCATTCCTTCTTGATTCCAGCTCTAATTCATAATTAATGAAGATTATCTTCGAGTTGATCTGTATAAGACCAATCTGTTGATTCACTGAAACCTGCTTTGATTGATTAAAACTGATCTAGCAAAACTCTTTCCATGCAACATAAGTTATGTTTAATCACGTTTATAAGCATGTTTACATGCTATAATGCTAACCTATTGCATTCCAAAATAATTAAAAAAGCATAAGCTTACAGCTCTGTTCTCTGTAACCTTAAAATAGTGTAAAAATACACTATTCTCTGTACGGTAACCTTAAAATAGTGTAAAATACAATGTAAATTGATTTACATTCAATTTTTTAAATTTTACTGTATACATTATTTAAAATGAATTATGTTCGGTGAATCAGCCATTTGTAATTACTTCTGAAACTATGATGTCCACAGAGTACACAACTTGTGTACCGTTACTGGTGATTTTAAAATGATAATCGTATCTTAAATATTGAATATTATCAGGATCTCATATTTTCTCAGTAACAACATCAATATTGATTAAAATGGTCCAATATTGCATTCCAATTTCGAATATTATGGATAATACTGAACTCCTTCAAGATGATTGATTAAATAAAGGTCTTAGAACTGCAGTTCTGGTTCACCATCTACATAGGGACTGGGTGTGCATGTTTTCACCAATTTTTTGGATGACCACAGTAACAATACACAATAAACTATACAAAACATACAGAATAATCACTTAGATTTTCAACATTATCTAAGTTACTCATAGGCCGTGTTTAAGGATACATTGTCCCAAAAGTATTTATCGGGTGGTTATTTCCAATGATAGTATGGCAAATTTGATATGGAAAGTATAGACACCCAATCTTACTAGAAAAATACTGGATGAACCGAAAAGCACCCATGGAGCAAGCACTGGGCAAAAATGTCAGTGTATCACTAACTGGTAACCAGACTGTTGTCTGCCAGTTGATTGTGTGCTAGTTTGACTGAGGGAGTGGTTGTTATTTCTTGATAAAATGGTTAGGAGGTTTTGGGATTAGGAACATAATTGAGGGGTGTCAACATACAAACTAAGTTGGCGGAAAATAATTAAGGATTTACTTAGGCCTCAATGTGTATGATAAATGGATTGTAAGTAATGAAAAATACATTCTGAAAAATGGACCCTCCCACAATGAATAGAGGTGGCAGACATGGTGTCTTACAACAGTTTATTTATGCATGTAGCTTGAGGTGTGTCTGCAAAAACAAAGTTTTGAGAGAGAGAGAGAGAGAGAGCGAGAGAAAGAGGGTAAATGTCCACTCAACACAAACTAGGTCATTTTAGGACTAACATTAGTAACATATGGTTCAATTTTATTTCAATAATTCGCTAGCACGTTGGTGTCTGTAGTGGGAGGAAACTGGAGGACCCGGCAAACCCATGAGGTTGACTCAATGCTAGACCTTACGATACAATGCTCACACGCTATTTTGGCCATCCAATCTGAACCCCCCACGTTCTGAGAGGGATTTTTGATAGATAGTTTGAATATGTTTTTAGTCCAAATATTTGAAATGAAATGAAATGAAATGGAGTTTAACGTCCTACTGTTCTGTTCTTAACCTGGGCTAATGAAGACAGTCATACGCCATACAGTGTGCTATGAGGGAAATTTTACCCGGGCAGCGGCGCTACGGCCTACTCTTATATCGAATTCCAACTGCCAAGGGATCTTTTACGTGCATGCCAATGTGTACACGGGACCTCGGTTTTTCGTCCCATCCGAACGACTAGACAGCTGTCCTTGTCAGGCACTCCATCCTGCATCACTGACAAGGGGAAACCACGCCGGAAAATCTGAATGAACTTTCTCGGCCAATGCAGGGATCGAACACCCGACCTCCAGGCTAGCGAGCCAGCGTCTAACCCATGTAGCCAGGTGATCCCCCAAATATTTGAAATATATCATTAAATTACACAGTTTGTGCGCAGTAAAATATCTTTAACGGTTTATAGTTTTGTGATTACTTAAACAATAATAATATCAATATTGCCCAATAGGCTACAATTATAATTGATTCAGACTAGTACTAGTAGTAGGCCTACTGTACTGTATTATTGCGATGCTGACGTTGTTTAGCCGTAGTTTAAAGACATCGAATCCTTTGAAGTTATTATAAATGATACCAGTACTACGGGTGTATAAATATGACCAATTAGCTTATTGAGTTGATCTAGGCCTATATTATACTATATATATATATATTTTTTTTTTCTTTTACCCGAGCCTGTTCTGACTTGATATTGAATGATCTTATTTTATTGTTAGTTGTTACGTTCTCTTTCAATCTAATCAGAAATCATGTCTGCAACCTTTCCAACCTACCTCCTTCAAATCATTAAATAAATTCCAACCACCTCAATAAACTCTATATCCAAATCTTCAAAGAAAATCCTCCGAAAGAATAAACTTCTGATATCAAACATTCAATTTTTATCGATCGCCTCCATGTTTACGCGTTACCGAGCAAGTATAACCTCGATTGTCCAGTCCCTATTGAAAAAACAAGAACGGAAAGTGGGTCTTTGAACTTGACAGAAAGATATCTGATAGTATAAAAATAAAATTTAGTAAAAGTATTGAACGAGAATACAATTTTCATACACGTTTCTTTTCTGAAAGAACTGTAGGACCCTAAACCCCATTTCATTTTCATGTTTTTCTAAAACAGTGACATTGGAGACTGTCTTCCAAAACAAATAAATTAGGGGCCGCACCGCCCGAATCTTACCAAAAATTGAACAAGGGAATGAACTCTAATGTCCCTATCTATGATATCCAGTAAACCATTCAGAAAATTGAAAGATTAGCATTTCTCAGACTACAAATTTTGAAATTTAATTTTTCAGGATGTCACGCTTCAAATTTATTACGCCTGAATTTCAAAATAAAATAATACGTTTTTATACGCCCACACTGAAATGTGGTCATATAATTGTCGTCGCCCCTGTCCGTTCATTCCATCGTCCACAATTGCTTGTGGAAGCTTAAGAGGCTAAAGTTAATATCCGATTGACTTTAAATTTATACACAGTGTTTAAGGTCATGAGACGAAGAATTAAGCCTATTGATTTTCAGCGATTTCTAATAATTACTGCCAGAGTTATGGCCCTTGATCACTTTGAAAAATCTTGTGGATGCTCTCGAGGCTAAAGTTAATATCCGATTCACTTTAGATTTATACACAGTAGGCCTAATTAAGGTCATGAGACGAAGAAGCCTATTGATTTTCAACGATATCCGATAATTACTGCCAGAGTTATGGCCCTCGATCACTTTGAAATATCTTGTGGACGTTCTAGATGCAAATTTTAATATCCGATTGAATTTGTTTAAGGTCGTGAGACGAAGACGCCCAGTGATTTTTTAATGATTTACGATAATTACTACCAGTGGACGCTCTAGAGGCTAAAGTTACTATCTGATTGACTTTAAATTTATACACAGTGTTTAAGGTCATGAGACGAAGAAGCCTATTGATTTTCAGCGATTTCTAATAATTACTGCCAGAGTTATGGCCCTTGATCACTTTGAAAAATCTTGTGGATGCTCTCGAGGCTAAAGTTAATATCCGATTCACTTTAGATTTATACACAGTAGGCCTTATTAAGGTCATGAGACGAAGAAGCCTATTGATTTTCAACGATATCCGATAATTACTGCCAGAGTTATGACCCTTGATCACTTTGAAATATCTTGTGGACGCTCTAGATGCAAACGTTAACATCCGATTGAATTTGTTTAAGGTCGTGAGACGAAGAACCCCATTGATTTTTTAATGATTTATGATAATTACTCCATGTTATGGCTCTTGATCACTTTGAAAAATCTTGTGGATGCTCTAGAGACCAAAGTTATCGTCCGATTGACGTAAGATTGAGAAACAGAGTTTAAGGTCTTGAGATGAACAAGTATATTGATTTTCAATGAATTTTGATAACTTGAACAGCTAAATTCATGATATTAAATGTTTCGTACACTAAACATTAGCTGGGGCAAAACTAAAAGTCAAAAAAATTCTAATGATTTTCTGATAATTACTTAATGAGTTGTTACTCTTAACTCTTAATCAGATTTTAGTGTATTATAAATATTTCATTACTGACAATAAAAAATATGCAACAACTCTTGTTAACTGCTTGGACGACTTAGCTGCTGTGGGCGTATGTTTCGTTGCCTGGCAACCTATCTTTCTCCTTGTGTTCAATAGCTAGATATGTTCTGATCATATTCTCAGCCGTGCACATATTTATTTTCAAAACTGAAATTATTAGGTTATGCCACTTTATTAATTTCAATAATTTTAGTTAAAAGTAAGGCTTAAGTTACTTGACAAAAACTAGTAAGACCTGTATAAATGATTTGCCACTCCATAAGAAAAATCATGAAAAAAAAAAATACTTGTCATGCTATATGGTCTACAAATTCCGTTTTTAATGAAAATAATTTTGAACAATTATCTAATTCGCGAAGAGCATGTTACTGTCTATTATAAGTTGTCTTTGAAGTAATCAAATCAAATTCCAGATTTGTTCTGAATTTGGCCTCTGCTAATGTAATTTGTCAAATCAGAAATCCAATCCCAAATTTTTTATCAATCAAATTGCTTATTTCCTTCTGAACATAAGCAGAAAATGCTCATTAGTCAGGGTATTGATGTAATGAGAGTATACAAGTTTAATCAGTCTCAATTTGAGTTATCATTCTCCAAAGCATTAACAATTCAAATCTTTTATCTCTGCTTAAGCCAAGTAGAAAATGACCCGAACATTCTATCTCAATATAAAGTTATTATGTTCCAAATGTGTGATGGAAGGACAGCTGCGTAGCCTCAGCCGAAAATGTTCATCATCGAATCCAGTTAAAACATTCACCAAATATACATCAAATTTGAACAGTTTATCTCACTCGGCAAAAGAGTTATTATGTCCGAAAATTGTGACCAATCACCTTGCTCAACATTGAAACCATATCAAGACATAAAATTAATGAACTTCGACACAAAGTTTGAATATACTATCTTGATTAGAATCACATTTAATGTGTCCCAAAAAGTGTGACGGACAGATAGACAAACTCATTTTAATAGTTCCCTGCTTTCTTCGAAAGGTGGGGGAGAATAATACCATCTTGTACCCTTAATCAACACTGACGAGCTAGGAAATTCTTGGTTGAATTAATATGACACAATTTCTTTTAAGGGGGAATTAATTTAATCTACATTATTTCAAACATGTTTATCATAATAGTTCATATATCAGTAGGTAAAGACATCAACTATTAAACCATGCACCATTACATATTTATTATATTCACTGCAAACATACTTTTTTAATAACCAAACATACTGGGTATACTCATTACATATAGGCATCAATAATTTACAGTGGAAAATTAACTTTGTGATTTATCAAAATAAATGTGTATCAAGTTAATAAAATTCGGTGGTTCACATCATATTCACATCAAGATATGAGATCCAAAAACCTTCTTTTATTTCTATTCTGTATCTTGATATGATGCTACAGAAAAACAATGGCTTGGATAATGAAGACATTTAATCTGGATAATAAATACAATTTTTATGCTTTCCAGAACATAATTAAAAATTTCAACCTGATTACATTATGGACATCTATTATATATATTATATATGGAGCCCTATGTACACTCATCAATAGCTACATGTACATAATTCATTACTTACATAGCACTATTATTACTGTGTTATCAACACACCTATAAGGCATCCTTAATTCATTTGGTCCAGATATCACAACGGCTGGATTTTTTTCTCTAGAATATAAATTTCTTAAAATATTGTCCCTAAACCACTTGCAGACGCAAAGGCTGTTAAAGCATACGCAGCTTGTCTTGTTTCCAATAATAGCTTTGCCTCCTTCAACCAATCAGAAGCGACACGTCTAGGTTCACCTTGGAGTTGATTCATAAATCGGACAGCTTGTAGTAAGTCTCCTTTCTCTAAAAAGTAATCAGCATGGGCTAATATATTAAAAGTGTCCAACTCGCTAATTTCTATAGAGTCACTATCAGATTTAGCATAAACTGAATTAAAAATAAAGAAAGATTGGAAATAAGAAAGAAAATATCTAAATAAGGTGCCACCATTTTCATCAATCATAGCCACTCTTTTACAAATGCGTTTAACTTTGGGGAAGCGCTCCTTTAGACTATCTTCTGTCCACACTCCTCGCATTAATGCCTCTTCCGGTACAGATTGCAGAACAGTTTGTACAAATGGATGTTTCCCGGCTGCCTCAGATATTGCTACAGCTTCCTTAGATAATGGTTGTAATTTTTCTTCTCCTGATAAACCGCCCTCTTTACCCAGTCTAATAACTCCATTCATAGCTATACAAGCCAACCATAACTCTTGGGCGATTCTAGCTGTCTTTTCGTTCTCAGCACGTGCTACAAATATAAAACAAGGGCTTATTTAATTTAATTATCTACAGCATTAAAGTTACAATTTCATATTTTCTAAGAAGGTCAAAACATAATTATTTCTATGTCTTTTGCTCAATAGGTTGTCAACTCACTATTATACGATCATAGGCTATCTTTCTCACACTTAAAAATCTTCACACTGGAAAAAATAACACAATTACCTCCCTTGTTTTCCTATTCCCCACCATGGAATAGCTATCTTCAAACGTTTGAATTTGAAGTTGAAAATTATATTTTTGCCAATTTCTCAACTGGCAATAGTGAATTATAGGATTAATAGGATTATTCTTTAACAAGGTAATACTGTTTCAAGATACCACCTATTTTAGGGCTTTATTTTAATACATTTTAAAAATATAACTTAAAAATATGAAATTGTAACTATAAAAGACAGTGTAATCTGTAAATAAAAGAATTGTTACTTATTTCAAAGTTCAAAAAGTAAGCTAAAGGTGAACTATTTGCAGTGAATATAATTTCAATGAATTCTTAACTGTGAACATAGAGTGCAGAGGCCAACACTATAATTTACATTGGCTTCAACTTTTATGTGTCTTATTAGAAATAATATTTTTTCGTACCAACCAGCCCATTCTTCATGTGGGAGCCACGGTGAGCAAGATGTTGGCTCGCTAAACTGGAAGTCTCCTGTTCGATCCCTGCACTGGCCGGGAAAGATCATCAGAATTTTCGGATGAGACGAAAATCTGAGGTACTGTGTACACATTGGCGTGCATGTAAAATTTGATATAAGAGTAGGCCGTAGCGCCGCACTCTGGGCAAAATTTCCCCCATAGCACACTGTATGGTGTATGCCCGTTTTCATTAACCCAGTCGGAGCAGAACAGTAGGACATTAAACCATATTTCATTGTATTTTTCATTCTTCATGAAGGCCTTTTATGTACTCAGATGTTCTTAATTATAAACAACAGTCTTCACATTAAAACAGAGCATATTTTTGACTTTAGACATACTGCCTTTAATTTTCTTACCATCTACTGCAGTTTCTATGCCTTTTAATCTAGCTATCCATCCAGCTACTTCTGATTGGAAGGTTTGCCTTTCTTCTATTAATCTTGTATGCATCACTCTTTCATATTGTTGCGCTATTTCTCCTTCTTGTATTTTTAATACATCTTTAAGATGATCACTGTGTGCCGCAGCCTGTCTAGATAGATGTTGACGTAACTCTTGTTCAAACTCAACTCGAGCATCTTCTTCCTATAAAGACAATCATTTATTATACAAGATAGCTTGATTCATTAGCAGAAATAGAAGTCTACCCGACACATACCAGGCCACTTTGGGACTAACATATAGTATATATTTTTTTTCGTGTACAAAAACGGAATTGAACCCATGTCTTGCATAGATAACAAGCCTTATGATCTGCAGTGCATGCATTAGAGCACTTGGCCACCCACTATATTAATCAAGCTTTTATAAACAATTCCAAATAAAACAATTATTACCCATTTATCTTTTTCTAAAGAGAATTGATCTCTAAGTCTCTGTCTTTCTAATCCAACTCTAGTTTGTGCTATTTTCTCATCTTCTACACGCTGGATCTCTAAAGCTTTATCTATTCTTTGTGATTCGTGAGCTAATTGTTCAGCCAATTGTTTCTGTAGTTGATCTATACGACGATGTGCATGTGCTATTAAAGAATTCAGTTCATCTTCAGACAACTTTTTACCTGCACAGAAGAAATATGAATGGAATTAAAAAAAAAAATCTCTGAAATAAATTACAAAATCTACAGTATACAATAACTACTGGTAGCTGGTTCATGTCTAAGACAAGAAGGGCTGTTCAAGTAACCCAGGAAAAGATGCATTATAAAACACCTCTTTTCAGAAGTTGTTTTAAACTAACAATTATTTTTAATCTTATGGGTCATTCCATGTCAAGTTGACCAAATTTCGGAAAGTTGGGAACATGACCCTCTCCAAAAAAATTATAAAAAATATATGTTATAGTATATAGGTCCTTAAGTTAACAAATCCAAAATTATACCTCTCTAGGTCAAAAACTCGCCGAGATACAGCCATTTGAAATTAGGGTACTGAAACAGTTCATAAATTCAGTAATTTTTTTCAGGGTTTCGGGTGCTTTAAACTCACATTTATATGGAATGACCCTTATTTGAGTTTATAGGCTTGATAACAACTTGTGAATTCTTGTTGAAACTTCACAGTGAAATAAACCATGGTAATTGTTATTCGATTATCTTTTCTATTCATAGAATGGAAACAAAGAGAACGTCTAAGATTGTATAAGTTATAGCACAGCTATGTCTGTCTTCTGGGGAGTAGAGCAAACTGGGAACAAGTTTAGGATTTTGCAAAAAAAATCCAAATACTGGATGTATTTTACTTGGAACGGTAAATGCCTCATCTCAAAGATGGTCAAAGAATTTACCTTTTTTATCCCCTATTTTAACATCTGGCATGATACTTTCCAATTCTTTCTTAAATTGTTGTCTTCCTTTATCAACTAAATCTTTATATTTAGTCATAACTCTAGCTTCTGATTCTTCTTTTCTAACCTGTCAATTTAAAGAATTCTTTAGTCATTTAAGAAGAAAAGAAATGGATGTGTTCAGGTTTGTATGAATTTGTGACTTGTATATAAAAAGAATTTGACTGTGTTGTGGATGTAGAATGAGGGGATTGAAGGGGGTACAGTGACAGATGGACAATGAAGAACGCCATCATACCATATGGGATCATTAGATCATTACCCTGTGACTGTTAAAATAGTAATAAGCATTGAATTATTGTAATTTATAAAACCATATATAGAGACAACTAACCTGTGTCAATACAGTATTAATATCATTATTAAATTCATTCAGTTTTTGCTGGGCAGTTTTTAAAACTTTATTTTTCTTCAAAATTGCATCTTTTTTACCATCATCTATTGTTTTCTTTAATTTCTCTAAATTCTCCCTGAAAATTAAAATAGCAGTATTCTTAAAGAAAAGAGTAAATAAAAATGGACAAAGAGTGTTTTACAGACAAAAGTCCAACTAAGTTGTTATGTACAGACTCTCAAACAAGTCGTGTTTTATATCAATTTATAGAGAAGTCGATATATTTTCTACCTAGTGACAAAAGCATGATATTTTGTTATTGTGATATAAAGCCTATATGGGAGATAAGAGAAACATAGATAGAGATTAATAGATTAAGAATTTGTTATGTGTCCACTATAAAAGTTAAACCAGGACACGGGAGGAAACTGTTGTGATATAAAATAACATACTTGGCCATATCTGAAAGCCTATTTGCCTCCTGCACAGTACTTTCTCTAATAGAAAATGCATCTGCTACTGCTTCCCATTGTTTATCTTTATCTAATATCTGAAAAAAATATAATAAAATATCATACAATCAATCCAATATTCTACTACAAGGACAAGGGGATAATCTCAATCGTTCCCAGATAATTTTCCAGCAAAAGTTCTCCTGTTCAAATTTATAGAGAATGAAAAATTGTTTAAGGGATTAGCAATTAAAGATGTCTTTTGGTTACAAATGTCTAAATTATTACCTGACTAGTATCATCCATAGCTTTTCTTAAAGCTTGTGTATGAGCTTTGGTAAAATCTACTACTTTTTGCTGGGCTTCAACGGCTGACTTGATAAACTTGGTATTATTCTCTATGAGATTCTCAATGATCACTTCTAAAGCTGTAATAAGTAACAAATATTTATTGTCATTTATAGTACCATTAAATATTGTCAGCTATTTCACTTCTCTAATATACTGCTTACAGATGGTGCATATTGCGACAAATTTTTGCTATCTTATTAAAACATAATATTTCTGTCAATAAAAGACAGATGTAAAAAACTTACCCGCATTTTCTGCAGCTTCATTAGCTTCCTTTTCTTTCAGTTTTCTAGCAACAGCTTCTTTTTGTTTTGCTTTATCATTTATTTCTTCAACACAAAATAATCAATCCTAAGTTAGCATGTACATGAAATCAAAATCAGGCCTCAAATTTAAATCAAAATCAGGCCTCAAATTTAAATCAAAATCAGGCCTCAAATTTAAATCAAAATCGGGCTCAAATTTAAATCAAAATCAGGCCTCAAATTTAAATCAAAAACAATCAAATTTCATTTAAGGTCAGCTGAAAAATGTAGACTTTGTAACTTTGTTGTGTCTATGGAAAATTCCTTCTGTTCTGGTTATGATTATATTCACCTGTATTTAGTAACCATATTTTCACACCAGATAAATCCACATGTTTAAGATACAATACATCTGGTAGTTATGAATGTAAACAACAATGTATTCTAGTTTTTGGTATTTATCTATCTACACCAAATGAAAGGCCAAAGGGTTTTCATTAAAACCCATGACATGGAAGACTTGAGATTCATTAAGTATTATTCTTCATATATGCAATTTATTGGTATTTATAAGAATGAAATAAAATTTGGTCAATGTCCAAGCAGAAATTAAGCTGGGTTTTTTTTATTTACCTTTTTCTTTTGTTTGTTCTTTTGTGGGTTTCGGAGATGGTGAAGGTTTAGACGGTTGTGCTGTCTTCTCAACCTTATGAAACAAAATAAAATCCTTATCTTAATTTATGAAATATACATTAAGGGTATAAATATGCACAAAGGGTATAAATATACACAAAGAGTATAAATACATTCTATGGGTATAAATATACACTGAAGGTATAAATATATACTATGGGTATAAATATACACTCATGAAGGTATAAATACATACTGAATATATAAATATACACTAAGGGTATAAATATGTACTAAAGCTATAAAAACAGCTTGTTTGGTTTTTTTAAAGCGCTAACATAACAAGACCACACACAATGAAAAGTATTTTGTATTTATTATAAACATTTTTGTCCACAATTATTCAAACTGATCAATTTAACTTAAATTTTGGCCATTTAAACTTGAAACTTGTTTCCAAAGATTTTACATCACCCTATCTGTTTTGTACATGCCATTCTTCATAAAAAATTATTTTCATACTTTGATGTGCTTAATTGCATGACAAATATCTTTGCATCAAACAAGTAAATATTTTTTTACTATTCAGAATATGTGAACGATCTGGCTTTATGTGCTTTTGATATTGATCAGTTCATATTTAATTGATAATTCAATATAAATTACCTGGGGGGTCTCAACTTTTTTCTTGGGAACATCATTAGCAATAGGTTCTAATTTTTTACTAGGTCTGAAATTAGAATAATTACAATATGCTATTGTGTTACTGTTACTAGATTTAAATTGATATTCATCATCATAAAATAATCAATTCTCTCTGCCAGTTGTTTGCTTTGATTTGATTTGGTAAAATAACTATATGGAGTCTAAAACCATACATTAGTATCTCTACTTTCCAAAACTTCTATGCACCATTACCTTATCGTTTCTAGGACATCTGATACTACATGCTACTGACTTGTCTTTTGTTGGATTTTGATTAGTAGCAAGTTCATGAAACCAACATCTGATATTTTCACACATTATGCAACCATTAAGTTTTCATTCAAATTTACAACACCCGTGTTGTAATCATGTTTAAATCAGTTTATATTTTATCTAGCAGTTGTACTGCACTGTCTCTATCGGGTTAGCAGATACTTACACAGGGGGTTCTACAGTTTTAAATGATTGAATATCTGGAAAATATGGAAATATGACATCAAACGCATCTTTACTATATGGTACATTGTCTTCTATTAGCTTCTTAAATTCTGTATCATACCAAGCATAGCCTATCACTCCTCCCACACCAACTGTTGTTAAACCAAATAGTTTAAAAAATACTCCACCCCTGCAATAAATAACATTATAATTTATATTCTCATGGACAGGTTTTAAAATCTGGCCATCACACAGATAGTACTTACAGATGAACATCTAGGTTTTCTAAGGTCAGGAATTGTGTTATAAAATACCGGTTGACAGATTCTATGTACATGTACACAAAAATTGTAAAGAGAAATTTTCAAACATGAGCAATAACTCTGTCAATATTCACTGAAATCCTTAAACATTCAACAGCACACATCTTTATGACATCACATTAATCCTTTGCAATGTCAAAAACTTCTCACTGTTTGCTTGTACACAAAAATTGTGAACGGACAAATGGGATTCTTAACAACCTAATTATTAACACCATGTACTTTTACAAGATCAAACTAATATAAATCAGTAATAACCAAAACAGCTCCTAATTATATGGTGGAAATGTTTAATGTTTACACCACTGGCCGAACTAATCTTCGTTCAGGACGTGACAAAACTGTTCCACGCTTTCAGCGCCAGGTGGGCGAGTTTTCATTTTCCGTTAGGGGTGCCAAACTTTGGAATGAACTACCCAGAAACATCTAAACTGAAGATTCATCTGTTTAGTGACTCATATAAATAGAACCATGCGCCCACCATTGTGTAGATATGACTGTACAGCGCTTAGAAGTAACTACTGTTATAATGTAGCGCTTTAAAAATGAAATTATAATAATAATAATAAATAATAAATGTACTTTTTAGGTGTAGGTGGTGGAGGAGGAGGAAGAGGGTTGGTTGGTGTAGCCGATGGTTTAGCTGCTCCTTCTGCAGGTGTTGTTAACTGTCTGTGTGGTCTACTTGACTTTCCATTGTGAACAACCTAAAATTTAGAAATTTGATTTAGAATTATTTTTAAGTCTTAGACACCTTTCAACAAATTAATGAGCTTTGATATTCATAACTCGGGACTGCAATATTTTACAGACCTTTTTTATTTTTGATTTGTGTACAGATTTCATTGAATATCAAGAAAAAGATGGATTTGATGGTTTCAGGGCTGTACTCTGCCTGTCTTTTATGGGATTCATAGTCTGACAGTTCAAACGGGCAGAGTAAAGCACAGTAGTGTCAGTGAGGAAGCCTAGTGTTAGGAAGCCATCTTAGTGCTTTGATGTTTAAGTCTACATGTAAATAGTAAGTAGTAAGCAAGAGGGAGTCTGAGAGAGAGAGAGAGAGAGAGAGAGAGAGAGAGATGGGGTTTAATGTCCACTCGACACACACCAGGTCATTTCAGAACTAACACATGGTTCAATTTTATTTCAGTTATTCGCTTGCTAACTATATGGCCATCCAACCCCCTTGGGAGTCTAAGGAATCCTTACTACATTGTATAGCTTTTATATCAAAATTAAAATGTCTGTAGGAAGCCATCTTAGTATTTTGATATTCAAGTCTAAATAGTAAGTAAGCTAGATAGAATTTTTACTACATTGTATAGCTTTTTTATATCAAAATTAAAACATCTGTAGAATAGTTCATCTGCTGAAAATTTGTGTGTGGCTATGATTTGAAAATTTCATAGGAAGCACCAGTTGGAGAAAAGGGCAGTACCATAGGCCGTAGCGTAGCAAGGCCGAGTGAGGAGCTGCAAGTGCGTGAACGATTTCAATGTCACGTTATGAGATGTGGTCATATACTGAGCCTAAACCATGTTATTGTATTTTATATGGAACTTACTAAATACAATATGACCATTTATTTAGTAATGATAAATGTTATACACTATGGAAAGGCTTTTTATTATAGGTACTAAAGGCTCAATACTACTCTTGTTGTAACTGAATAATATGTCCCAATCTTTATTTTGGTCAACAAATTGCACTATTTTACAATATTCCAATTAATTGATGATACAAATTTCATCATAACACACCTAATTTAAAAAAATTGGAAAAATTCAACTAAATGATTTGAAAATCTTTATTTTGGTCAACAAATTGCACTATTTTACAATATTCCAATTAATTGATGATACAAATTTCATCTTAACACACCTAATTTAAAAAATTGGAAAAATTCAACTAAATGATTTGAAAAGTCTAACGTAAAGCTTTTCAAATGTGACTTGGATTTAAAAATATTTTTGAACCCTCTGGACAAGTCAAATAGGATTTAATGGATAATTTCAGAACAGGTAGGACACTAATTAACACATCTAGTACTTAGAATAAGGCTATTTTCTTATTTTTTGGAGCTGTCAAGCCAGCAAGAGTGTTATTGTCCCTTTAATATACATGTATAATGGCATAATTATTGATATATTTGGAGATTTTTTTTTTTTTTTTTCTTGGAAAACCCTCTAGTTCTGTGGAATGATAGGTGTGGTGAAGATATTTCTTATTTATCGCTTGTCAGCAACACTTTGGAGAGAGAAAGAGAGAGATGGGATTTAACGTCCACTCGACACAAACTAGGTCATTTCGGGACTAACATATGGTTTAATTTTATTTCAATAATTCACTTGCGAGTAGGGGTCTTTAGCAGTGGGAGGAAAACAGAGCACCCAGAGAAGACCCACGAGGCTGGACAGACGACCCTACTCCTTGTCACGTACATGTATAACCTGGGATTCGAAACCACGCCAGTTGACTCAATGACAGGCCTTATGATACAGCGCGCACATGCTAACCATTCTGCCATCCAACCCCCTCCAACACTTTGGAAGTACAATGTTTGACATGGGACGGGGAGAATTTGATTTGGGAATATCTGTTGGGTCGATGCTATCATTTCTTAGAAAATCGAGCATGTCATTATGGGGATACTCGATTGAACATTCGAGAATTTAATTCTCTCAATCCCAAAAATAGTTTGCATGCTCCAATCCAACTGCACAAGAAAATATCTCGACCAACCAATATGAACCATGGCATGACAGATTTGTTGTGCTTAATTACATCATTGATTCTACTCCCAACTCCTGCGTTGTCGGCACTGACAGAACTGAGATTGGACTGAATTCCATGTCACTCAGTTGCAATTCTGTCAAACTGCAATTTCGGACTGACAATCGAGCATCCCTAAGATTAGAAGAGCAGCCTACGTTGCCTATTCTAGAACCAGAGCAGAGCCCAAAACCTGGATCTGGGTATAGCTGTCCTAAGAATTATGACTCCAGATGCCTACTTCATTATTTTTAACATTAATTAGCGTTATTTTTTGTTGTAGAAGAAAACCTCTATTTTACCCGAAATCCTAGCGAAACACGCGAAGTAGATGACTTAAACATCTTTCATAAGTTATTATTCGGGACACACCAAAGTTGCATCGTCCTTCACACAGGAAACTCGAGGAAGGAGACCGGCGAGAGGATTCTGGGTAGAAAATCCGGACATATCCAAGATGTCAGCCTCCATTAGCAGCAAAGTATTCATAAATTGTAATTGTTTTCTTCAAATTCTTTCTCAATTGAAACGATATACAATCACGGTTATTTATGAGGAAAATAATCAATTCAAATCTGAACGTTCTAAGCTACAATTCTAGGAGATTATCACAGCACACAAGTCAGAATAAGTCGCTAAGTCAGCAAGTGGTCACCATTAATAATATTAATAACAGTTGAGTTAGGTCTACAGTTAGTTACACAGTAGGGCCTACTCTTTAATTTAGTACTGTAATTACAATAATAAGTCCAAGGCAAAGCAAGACAATATGGCACGCCAAGCAATAATCACCAACAACTTGCAACTTCCTTACTTAAAGGAGCTCATTATCTCATAATAAATCTTTGGCACTTACAAAATGGACACAAGTGGGTCGCATAAAATATGAATGGATGATTTACATTCAATCATTTCTGTTTTTACAGTAATTTCTAATCAGTTATGTTCGACAATATATGTGAAGAGTCCCAACTGAGTAGCATTCTTTGGAGTCTGATTATTCCAGTCTACATCGGTACTAGTAGGCCTATTCTCTCCTGGGATATGTTTAGCCTCATTCATCGAGTCGCATCATTACAAAAGCATTCTGGCACGCGATTCGTGTACTAATTTTAAAATGTTCACTGTGACTTAAATAATGGGTATCAGACGCCCATCTTTTCGCACTAAGGTAACAACATCTTGTGTTAAAGAGTTAGCTACTCTAATGGCTGTATGTAAGTAAGTTTATCCACAGTTCTCCATATGGGTGCGGTCACTCAGCAGCAATACCAAGTGCCAATGGTAGAAATGATGGCATTGCAATGGCACTAACTGCCCTGCACCACTGCCCTTGCTTACTGGTAAAATACAGTATTTGTCCAGTTTCCAATTTTTTGATGTTATATACAGTTTGGAAACAACCTCCAGAATTTACAGTCCATTTCCTCTATTCAACATTTGCAATAATGACCTGTCCTAAAGATCACTAAATTTCAAGTTAATATACATGTATATCTTCATTGTTGTGTTACAGCAATAAACATGTTCCAAAAATAGCCATTCACTTAAATGAATTTTATTTTGAAACTCAAATTAATATATTTTCTGTGACTTTTTCGAAAAGGATATAACTGCATGCTTATAGAACATTTGCTATAATAAATGTTGGTTGTTGAATTATACAAATTTGCAGTGTATTAAGGGAGTTATGACTAAAGTACAAAAACATACATGTGGTTCTGTCAAATTTCAGAATCACAGTGGACATGTGCATGAAAAACACTGAAAACTTAGAATAAAAATGTGATCTTCAGTAATATTGTACTTTTCAATGAATGTGCAATTTTAAAATCTAAAATATTTTTTATTTATTTGAATTTGAAGTTGATTATTTTCACTTTTTAAAAAGGTTACTGACACTACATTGTAGTGTCTGTAACCCTTAAGGGACCATACAGTGACCCATACTTAAAAAAGCTTCACAAAAGTGTTTTTGTAACAAGTGCTGAAGCGAAAAAAGTATAAATTTTAATGACCAAAATATTCAGCTATTGATACTTAGAATTACAAGGCAGTTTATTTTTCCACCCCGATGAGACACTTTTGTCCCAAATACTTTGTTTTAGCTATTGTAGGTCTCTACGCGCATGGGAAGCACTATGTGTACAAAAGTACTGCAGCACAATAGTAATATATATAATTATGTACGTATGTACTAATAATTATTGTTTTTCGCCTCATAAAATGCCAGAATCGACTGTGCCATATGCGAGTTTCTCTGATACATTTTGATGGGGGTCTTTTGAATTCAGTTACACTGTAATCTCCCACACAGGAAAATTACCTACCATTGATATTTTGATTTGGTTTTCTTAATAGAATCCTCGGTAGATTATCTGTGATCCAAAGCCTTGGTAAAAAATCAGTGTTTTTTATATCTATAAAATAATTCTTCTAATAAAAGATTAATTTGTGTTTTCAGGTGGCAGAAGGCTGTTACAACAATCAAATAGACATGTCTTAACTAGCCCAAAGCTTAATACCATTGCTGACCTACAGAAACTCTTTCACAGAAATTGTTCTCTTCATTCTGGTGTCTCTAATATATTATCATGTGTCAATAAATCTCTGCCAGCTACACCAATCATAAATAATCTTAATTATAGAAGTTTAACAACATTAACCACATTAAGTCAATGTAATATATTAACTAGGTTTGTATAAATTTATCTCACAATAAATGCAAATCTCCAATGTGTTAGACACAACCATGGCATGTTAAGGTGAAAATGTGTACATGTGATCATGCAAAGCATTGCAATCCGAATGACAACTGTTTAAGAAATTGACAATATGTAGGATTAGGCTTGTAGCTTTGACTTGATCTTAAATCACACCAGGAACAAATTGCTACAGATAATGTATTATCAATAAAAAGTCTTTATTTGGTTTAGTTTACATTCTTCATCAGAACAAACCATAATGGAATAGTCCTGGAAAAAGGATAGTTTTTAATTGCATGGTGTTGAATATTGGTAGCCATTTTGGCAATTAAGTTTATCATTAATATACTTTGTGTTACACAGTTCTAGCTACATAAAGTCTGAGCAAGACTCCTGTGATAAAAAATATACTACATACATAATGCCATTTAAAGAACATACATACATAATGTATGCCCTAGATTGTGTTGAGTGGAACTGCTGTGGCTCTGTAAGGTGCTGGATCCTTAAAGTGGAGGTCCTAGTTTTGATCCCAGGTTTGGAAAAGAAAGTTCATTGGGTTTTCTGACACCGTTGCCTCTTGTCAGTGGTGCAGCAATGGTACTGAACAATGTCTAGTCATTCTGATGTGTTGAAAAATTGAGGTCCTGTGAACACATTGGCGTGGATGTAAAAGAGCCCATGTCAGTTGGAAATTGCAATAAGAGTATTAAACCCATTTCATTTCATTTCTCTTTTCATTTTTCAGACCAATACTACAGATTCAGACTCCACAAATAATACCATGTAGAACAAAAATTCGATTTAGCATGAAAAAAGGAAAACCTAAAACTGTGAAAGCAGTAGTGCAAAGATTTTACCGTTTAGATTGGGGTGCATGGATTAGAACCAGATCTGGCAGAGGCAAAAAATTATGGAGAAAAAGTCCAGCAAGAAAGTATCGCTTACGACAACATGTGTTTTGTACAAAGAATCAGAGCAAGTTATTAAGTGCTATGGTTACGAACTATTGGAGGAGACCAAGACATTATGCAGATGACCCATATGCACCATATCATAAACGAACAAACTTTAATGAGACCCCTGTCCAGAAACCTCCATTTCTTCCCTAATTTTGAACATAGCAATATTTAACAATAGACACAGCGTATTTTATTCATTTTGACTGTGAAAGTATTAGAGTGAAAGTATCAGAATATGTATTTAGTTAATACTTTTAATAAAAGTGTTTGTAGAAATATGTGTAACTTTAATATTTACAGAACTTCTGAACATATTCTTATCATATATTTTTCCTGGATGTTTAGGCACAATCCTAGCCTGAAATTTATACCGTTTTTGGGGTTGTTTTTTTTTGAGTCACAGGAAATAAGTTGCATTTTACTAATACTATATATAGGAATGTTATTATATTTTTGATGTGGAAAAGTCCTAGATGGTACAGACATTTCGAAAGAAGCAAAAATATGTTCTATTTTATCGCACTAATTCTTCTATTAGTATCAAATATTTTAATATATATTATCTGATTTGTATTGTTGGATGACAGTTTGCTGCTGTTTAAACAAAAAAATGGGAGCCACGGTGGCTCACAGTAGTTCTCTCTTGTCAGTGGTGCAGGACTGGGGGCCTGGCAAAAGTCAATGTATAGTTCTTCGGATGGGATGGAAATCTGAAATCCTGTGTACACATTGGCATGCATTTAAAAGATCCTTTGGCAGTTGGAATTTGTTATAAGAGTAGGCCACTGTCACTGTATGGCATATGCCTGTCTTCATTAGCCCAGTCGGTGCAAGACGTTAAAGCCCATTTCATTTAACACCATGTTTTTCAAGTCTGGTCCATAAAACAATACAAGCATCCCTTTGGTACAGAAATCAAAGTAACAAAATGATAACATGACAAGTTTTTTGGCCATTTATTCACAGATGTCATTTTTTTCTGCAAAATTGTTTTCCCAGAGTATTTTTGCCTTTCTCACAGTCGAATTCTATGGTAGCTATCACATCAGTGGGCTGGAAGGAAGGCCAAGATGGTTGGACAAAGGATATTGGATCTTTGATTTGAATAAATGCTCCAAGAACCCACAATTAAATGATACATAAATTTAACTTAAAATCCTTATACATTTACAGGGTACAAAATACAAATCATAATCACAAATATAGGTTTAATTGAATTATATTTAGACTATGAATGCATACCCGAAACTGTAAATATGTACAAAGCCATTTTGTTTATCTTATTTTTTATTTATTTATTTTTTGTTGTTAATTATTCAGAGCTTCCTTTTCCTGAACAAACTTTGTTTTATATAGAGGATATTTGTCGTTTTGTCGTGAATAACATATTTTATTTCATCGAGAAGCAAGAAAACTTATATTTTCACGAATGTTCTATTTATTTCATGATTTTACAATCATTTTAGGTAAAAACAACATGGACTCCTGCTAGCCAGTGGAATAACACTTTTATTTCACTGATAAAACGCGGTATTCCACTACTGATCATAAAATAAATATATATACTTTGTACCAAGGTAATATAGGTCTAGACTGTTCCCTTGTCCTTTTTATTAGAATAACATACTGTTAAAGCAAAATAATAGGGAATGACTAGTTGCATAAAAATAATTATCTTTACTGCTAGCCAAAAACTCTCAGCAAGTTTCACAAAAAATCGCTGACAATCCTGGTTTACAAGGCATCGATGGCAAGAACAGTGACTACGAATTTCGTTAGGGTTTCTCCTTTGGAACTAGACGAAGAACAACAACAGCAAGTTTGAAAGAAAAAAAATCTCTGATCTGTGGGGCGTTTACAAGAAATTTGGACGGACGGGACAGACATAAGATGTGTTAAATATCACAGAGATTAATTTATAACAACTATTAATAACAACAAAAAAGTGATACATTTTACGAACGGAAACCAAATAACAACCCTTTGTTCAACTTTGAATATATTATAATAAATTATAATTTTACATTTTGTATCATATTAAAGTTCATAGGGTAGTTTTTTAGCGACAGCTCTCAGAGAAGCTTAACACTTTAATTAGAATTATCACAATCTATCTTTAAAAAAAAGCAGACCTCACAGCATTGTGCCAACAATTAGATAGAGTGACTTTGTAGCAACAGCCAATGGAAAAGCATAACTTCAAATTTCGAGGTAATTTTATATTCTCTTATTTCGAATTATAACAATTACAAAGATGTCTGTAGATGATGGGTGTCAATATTGTCCACTATTTTCTCCCAGATATTCACTAGGTGCCTATACCCATTGTGGTAGTTATGTAGTAATATGGTCTGCATATTGTCTCTTTAACTGATTAATGGTTCCACATATTATATAGAAGTCATATCTCACGCACTCAAACTGAATGAATGATAGGTTTATATATAAAAACAATGATAATTTTCGTAAATTTCATCAAATTCTCTCATGTTTATGAAATGTGTTTGGTGGACCAAATATGGTAATACCGACAGGGTGCGATTTCGAACAAAACTATTAAAAAAACTAAACATGGATCATATTGAATTTGGCACTGGTGGTGAAGGTCATTGTTTCTGGGCCTCAAAAGCTGAGCTTCTGGTTGAACTTGAAGACCATCAATATCCATCATAGATTCGAAGTTTGGGTGTCTGAATGATAAGGCGGGCTTTAAATTATCCGCCTAATTTTCAGCTGCAGGCGAAGATGTTTTTAGTAGGCCTATTACCTTTTGGTAATTCCCGCCTGAGTGGAGATCAAACTTTTGGCTTTTTTTAAATTTTTATCAGACCCAGTTACAGGCGTATACATTACATGTGTTTTAAGTACTACGTTTTGGCAATTCCGGCCTGAGTGGGATGAAACTCGTGACATTGGTGGAAAACAAACCTTTGCCTTCATATCAGTGGCGTTTTAAAGGGACAATAACACTCTTGCTGGCTTGAAAGCTCCAGAAAAAAAATAATATCTCTAAGTACTAGATGTTTAAGTGTCCTACGTACTGTTGTGTAAATTATCCATTACATCCTATTTTACTTGTCCAGAGGGTTCGAAAATATTTTTAAATCGAAGTTTCATTTGAAAAGGTTTACGTTACACGTTTCAAACCATTATGTTGAATTTTTCAAAATTTTTAATAAGGTGTGTTAAGATGAAATTTGTATCATCAATTAATTGAAATATTCTAAAATAGTAGGCTCCTACAATTTGTTGACCAGAATAAAGATTGGGACATATTATTCAGTTACAACAAGAGTGGTATTGAGCATTTAAAAGGTTTATCATGGCGGAGGCTACACTATTTTGAGTGCCCTCTTTCGCGGGGGGGGGGGGGGGGGGGGGGTGTCCGGGCTCTGACCTAATATTATAATTTCAAGACTCATCGAAAAAAGGCCACTATGTTTCACGGTTTTGGGGAAATGGGTCTTCATTATTTTTTTCTAACAAATATAAAAACGTGTACATGGAAAGCGGGCTTTAAATTACTATCCCTCTAAAGATTAAAGAGGCATTATGAGAGATTAGATAAAGACTAAAAGAGTTGACCGTTCTCGCTATAATAGTTAAAACATATATAGACATCTTGATAACGTAGAATATGTTGAAAATTTCAGTCAAATTGCTCCACTCTGAACCGGGATATTGGCTTTTGAATTTTAAGCCAAGCCTCAATCATCATTACTAAATTGGGTACGATAAGAAAAAAACAGTCTCGATTATCCATTTTTGGATTTAATCATCAATTTATCAATGAGCGCTGAGGAGCAGATCGGATTCAAAACCAGTGAACATCCGACACATAATTCGAACAAAACTTGTTTAAATACTTTAAATCTATGTCAAGTTTGTAGGCGAATTTATAAAAAAAACAAAACAATGGTACTGGATTTTAAAAAAAAACCTAAAACTAGGCCTACGTACTTCGGTGAGTGGCAAGATGGCGGGATAGTAATACTTAATAGTATTAATACGTAAAGTCGTCCACACGACATAGTTTACTTTCGGAACACATAAGGCATAAGGTATTCTTAATTAGTTAAATTAGTATATTTTTTTTTGTTTTGAGTTCTGCGTGATCATCCTTTCTCCCTGGTTTTCGTAAATAAATGTAACATCGGTGAACAACAAAATTACAAAACAAACTAAAATCATAATGCCGATCGATCTAACATATAGGCCTAGGCCTATATCAAAACAATGATCATACAATACTTTATTTATTACAAAAACATCGGTGATTCGATCTGAAATCAAATAACATCGGCGATTCGATCTGAAATCAAATAACAAAACAGTCAACGAGTACTAGCTATTTCTTCCATACGATAAAATTGTGTACGAGTCTTATAATTCTTAGATGTGGACGACATAACCAATAGTTGTGGAAGACTCCACAAACGAGTGTGGGTGGACGACTTAAACAGATTTTTCGTGTGGACGACACCCGTTTGCATAATGAGCTATTCACGCCCTGATTGGCGGGATATTTGGATGTAGAAATTTCAACTTCCGGTTGATTCAAGACCGAAAGCGAAAGACCAAGTTATTGGACGAAGTAAAGTTGACATTGATCTGTACGAAAGAGAAGTAATATGGAGAGCGTTAGCTGTTCAGGCCATGGTAAGTTCGGTAATCTGACAGCTCTTCGAGAATTAATGCTACTAATTATATTATATACTCAGATGATCTATCCGATCTGAGTCTTGAGTCGGTGAGTGAGTGAGTATCATCTGATTTAATTTGTTTGGGTTTTTTGTTATGTTGGTTTATTTTTATTTTTAGCTCAGCTTACTACTACTACTACTTAGGCTGGATGATAGTTTAATGTTCAGGGTTAACGAATTATAAAGAACAGGCACAATGTGCAATGTTCCAGGACAAATTCCAAACTACAGGCACAATCTGAACAAACTAACTGTATCCAAATGTCAATTTTTTGAGTTTATATTTTGTAACTAGAAAGAAGAATAACTCTACAACATTATAATAAGGTACTGCTGTCGAGTACAGAGAAGGCTACAGTGTACAATGTAGCTACAAGAACGTAAATAAAATCGTTGAGATATTCCACAGGAATCTGACCTTATATTCGTATATATATGCATACACCATACCAAACTAGACAATATTTTTATAAAAAAAGAACGGGAATGCAATGCCTGTTGACACCTCGATTTTACCTGCTCTCACTTCTGCTGATTATTTTTCATCAATTCGTAATGTCAGGCAATCAAACCTCTGTCGATTCACTCAGATATGTTTTTTCTTCAATCTAGCCGTTTGATTTGCATAAATACTCCCTACAAAACGGTATCATAGCCACTTGTTTCCATTATTTATATTATTTTCGTTCATTGACGTTTGTCATTGAAGCCATGCGCTGACGTCACACAAAAACCTAACCAAACTCTAAAGTCTCATATACTTCCGCCTCAAGATCATGAATATTCAGCAAAACCTGGCAGATAATGTATATTCAAACCCTCTTCTTCGATTCTACACCCAAAAGTCAACAAAAATCGCTGGACAAAAGGGAGAAAATGGAAAGGGAGAAAAACTAAAAATATCTTTGGCCCTTGTTTCAATGGTCTACAGGTCTAGTCACTGGGGATTGATTTTGTGTGACGTCAGCCGAAGCCGAAGCGAGAGCAGGTAAAATCGAGGATTGAACAGGCATTGCATTCTTGTTCTTTTTTTTTATTATATATTGTCTAGTTCGATATGGTGTATGATATACATGTATATACGATTAGAAGGTCAGATTCCTGTGGATATACAGATGTGCATGACCTTAGCTACGAGAGGGTGTCTTTAGTTTTGCCTGGCAAATTTAATTTCGTTATTAATGCATGTAACATCTTAAAAATAAGTTAATTTTATACTATTAAACATACACAGTCCAATCTAGTGAAACAACTTTAGTTTATCTGCAAATATTGTCAATAAAGTGAAACAGGCATTGTTTTTATCAAAATTGATACAGACGTTCATAATTACACAGCATTAGTCACGCACAACTCGTATCAGGTTAGTACTTTGATTGGCTGTTGTACACTTCATACATATTAGTCCTGTCTTTATGACTTAAAGTTGTCAAATTTAAAGTGCAGGAAAAAGCAAGCTATTATCACTTCGATTTAAAAATGGTGGTTTGTACCCATGTCAGGTAGAATTATATGGTTAATTGTGGCAGAAATGTTATAAATAACAAATAACAATAATCAATCGTTGTTTTGAAGAAAAAATTGTCAGGTTTGCTTATTGAAATCTCGATGTGATCTCCATCAGGGTTTGCCAGATGGATCTATATAGTACCTACATGTCCAGGAAAATATTGTGTTAAAAGATTTGCTAGATGTGGTAGCCCTTTTCTGTGTAAACACATGGCATGCCAAACATCCGGACAATTAATTTAGTCCAGTGGGAGCTGAAAATTCAGACGTTAATCCCCATTTCATTGATTTATTACCTGACAATTATACTCTTCACTCTAAAAATCTTTACAATGAATTTTTACTTACCGGTAATTTGTTGTGACTTATGCCTTTTGTGATGGTTTTTTTTCAGATATGCACTGTTTTGTTAAGACAGGTACTAAGCCTGGACCTAATCAAGGCAAAAGCTTTTATGTGTGTCCTCATTCTAAAGAAAAATGTCAATTTGTAAAGACAGCACAGTAAGTTAACTGCATTAGAATTATTGTAACTGGTTGGTGTAATTAATAAATTCCTACACCCTTCTTTATTGATTGATGTAATCATCAATATCGATTATGGGCTCAAGAACTTCCAGAATTAGTTTAATTTTATAAATGTAGGATATTATGGTATCATGAGAACATTACACCAAGATGATTAAATTATATTGTGTGTTTACCGGTATGTCACCCCAGTATTCAATTATTAATGTATATAATATAAGCTAAGATTCTTCTTTTCTTATTTACTACTTGGACTTGTGTGTGTATAAAAATAATGTATGGTTTGTTCTGTTTTGTTTTTTTTTAGTATTGAACCAAAAACCTGTCCTAAACATACTGACTTTATGATATATCTACAAGCTATTCAGAGAGGGAAGCAAACAGGAGAAAAAAAGTAAATATTTATTGTTTAAGCAGTATACTGGTACTAACTTTTATACATTTTAAACTGTACAGAATAAAGATCTTAGCTGGGTTTGTTGCTAATATCTCAACACAAAATCAATGAAAATGAAGATTTTATTTTTGACCCAAATTCTTTTTAACTTGTAAGTGCTATTTACCAGATTTTTTTATATCTTTGTGTGATACGTTTTTTCTTTCTTTGCTTTTTCAGTTATTTTTACCGATGTAAAGGTTTATCAAGTACACAAGATGGTGGCAAATCTTCATGGTGTGGACATTATACACTCAGTGCAGAGGTGGGTATAATTCATTGAATTATTGGCTGTATTGTCATTATTATTTTATATGTTCAAAAGTTCAAGAGTTAATATTGTTGTATTGTGGTAATCAAAGTTTGAGGTCAAATCGGTACTTTACTTTTTCATAGAGTTCTTTCTCTTGTCATCAAACCTTGTATTTGTTCCATGTATCTGAATTTTGAAATTTTGTGCTTTTCAAACTTGTTTTTCCAACTACTATTTATGTACCTTGTACATGTATCAAATTTCAGTCATGTATCAATTATTTGTAGTGTTAAAGCATTATATAGTGACAACTTTTATATAAACTCTAAAGAAGACTCAACTGCTGCTGTTTCATTGCCTAAAGAACTAGCCTGTCTATAATGGCCAAAGCTCTAAGTCATTTCGCAACTAATTATGGTTTTATATAGGGGTCTCTTTAGCAGTAAGTGTAAATTGGGGAATCCAGAGAAAGCCTATGAGTTTATGCATGCAACCATACCCCTTATCATGTACATTTGCAATGTAATGGCCTAAGCCCTGATCTAGGTCATTTCATGACTAACTATGGCACAGTTAATATAGGGGTCTTTGGCAGTAGGTGTAAATCGAAGAATCCAGTAAGGTAAGGCATGCAACCGTGCCCCGTGTCATGTATAGATTTGGAATGAAAACCAAGCCACTTGACTCTGTATGACGATCTTATGGTCGAAAGATCATTAATATTGATACTATTGTTTTCATGCTTTTTGTTTTTCTTTGGTTACAGAATAAGAAATCACCATTGAAAGATTATAACTATCAAGAAAGCGGTAGAGAGAAGGTTGTCAGTCAAAAACATGAAAATCATGTTAAAACTTTGAAACCAGGTGTAGATGTGCCTGTAGTTTCTGTTAGTAAGTCTGATAAATTGCCTCAGAATAATGTGGAAGGCATTTCCAAGAATCATATTGTCGAGATTCCTGAAAATAAGACTGACAATGGTGCAATAGCATGCCAGAAGACAGAATCACATACAGCTCCTTCCAGCTCAAAATCATACGATGAAAAGAATTCAAAAATTTTCACATCAAATGCACCAGCAGATAATTCTAGAAGTTTTTCAGAAATAGCGCAATCTGCATCTAAAGACAAAATGGTGTCTATATTGCCCAAGTCAGTAATTGACTCCAAGTTACCTGATTCTCTTCATTCTAAATCCCCCATGTCATATCGTCAGAAGCCTAAAGAACGTGTAGATGAGGACATTGTTGAGATTGTTAGTTCAGATGACGAAGGTAAGTGAATAACATCATCACTTGTCTGAGTTTTTTGTCCAAACTTGTTTTTTTCTCCTTCTTTGGGGCGGCACTCTTCAATTACGATTGACTTGAAACTAGACATGCTTGTTCCTTGGAGAATTGTGTATTGATTGGTTGACTTTGATGTTTGATATGGTGGCTTTCATACTTGTTAAATGTGCTTGATTGATAGAGTTTACCTTTGCTTAAGCACCTAAGGACTTCTTGCTTGATTCATCAGGCTTGAATGGGAATCTCTTATTCCAATGAACATTTAAGACTTAGTAAACATTAAAATACAGGGCAACAGTATGCATTAACCGAATTAGACAATCTCTAGGAATCAACACAGCAGAACATTGCTCACTCCTTATAATTCTACTCACACAACTAGACTGCAGTTCTGTCAAATTGGAATTTTCCTCACAAAAATCAATTAATAGCTTTTCACCCTTTCATTATTTGGATATTGTTTATATATTCTTTTGAATTTACGTATTATTGGAGTTTTTTTTGTTTGTTTTTTTTAGATGATATATCCTTAGAAGATGCTATACAACAAAGAAGGGAATTACAAATGTATCTCGAAAAACAAAAGGTAAATATAAATAATCTATAATAATTATTTTTCTTACGAATACCAGCCTACAAGACAGATTTATTCTATGATGTATACAGTGATTTTGACCTTTTTCTTTAAAAATATTAATTCAAAGAAAGTAGGTTCTTCATTTAATTTTATTACTTTTTATTTAGGATCCTTTTTTAGACATGCAATTTGAAGCAAAATAGATTTCTGAATATATAGACGTAACTAGTAATTATTCAGTCAATCCTTTCAGTTCAAAATTGACTAAACAGTTCTATTACTTATTAATCTTAATCGTTAGATGGATAAAGATTTTTATCAAATTACTTGAAATCTACTATACTTGCAATTCATTTTTCAAAGATATACAGCTTGGTATGGATACAGTGGTTTTATTTTGTATAATGATGTAGAGAAGAAGGAAACAAATTACTGTTTTCATCTAATTTAGTGTACATTTTTTTTTTTCAGAATATCATCAAATCAGTTAAAATGTCCAGCCTTCCTGATAAAGGTCAAAAACTCATGCTAACGATTCAGAATATTCAGAGTTCAATCAAAAGACTGGATCAACAAATAAATAAAGAAAATCAAAAGATGGCTAAAACAAAAACTACAGGTATGATTAAATTCTTCAGCTTGCCATAGTCTATTTCTACTGGTACCCATGTCAAATTTACATTGAACATGTAGACCCATTTTGTAGAATATTGATGTGAATGCTCTTAAACAAAAGTTATCATCCAATCTATTCAAATTAGTAAAACAAAGAAGCCTACTGAATTTTAACATTGATGTTATTATGTATAAAGATTGTGGACCTATTGGATGGCATATATATGTGGGCATATATTTCGTTGTCTGGCAGTCTGTCTTTGATGATCAAGACTACAATATGTGATATTCCAGACATGCACTTGATTGTAAAATGGTAAGTGTATGGTTGCAGTAATCACTAAGCATAGTGTTGCTATAACTGTATGGGGTGGGTGGGTTATAACAGTCACAAGGTTGTAAAGAAATTTACTAAGATTTTGTTATATCATTTAAGCCATGACACAAGTGAAACCAGCCGGTAGTCAAATGGTTTATATGGTACAACCATCTAAAACTGGTACAGGAACCAACCAGACTGTGTTAGTAGCGCAACCTGGGAAGCCTGGTACAAGTCAAACCGTGTTAGTTACACAACCTGGGAAGCCTGGTACAAGTCAAACATTATTAGTTACACAACCTGGAACCAATCAAACCATGCTTGTTACACAGCCTAATAGACCCGGTGGTACTACTTTACTACCTAATCCAGAACAACTTCCACCTCATATTCTAGCTCAAATGTATGCTGGTAAGAAATTATGAAAATATAGACTTGTTAATAAAGTCATTTAAAGTCTGGAATTGTCTAATGTAATTTCTACAAACTTTAATTAAGGATATTTTAAATCATTGTCAAATCACTGGCACTTCTAACCAATTGCATTTATGACAACAGAACTATACTATAATTAAGCAATAAGTATATTTTAATGAGAGACAAAAATATGTTCACCCCATTCATTTCTTATATATATCATTTTAAATACATGTACTGTATTTACAACTTATTATTAAAGCCAACCCACAAGCTATGACCTTATATGGAGGTAGAATGACAGCTGCTAGATTAAGAGAAGTTACAACTATTACTTCAGATGCTTTAGAGAAACTACACAAGTAATTATAGTATTTCAAATTGTACAAATAAGTCATGTTTGATTCCTTAATATCCATATTTGGGTTTCTTCAATATTGTAGCTACAGTTGCAATCTGATTAAAACACAGATCCAATTTCGTTTCGTTTTTATAGTTCAAAATTTCGATTTTACTTGTCTTTACTACACTTGGATCTGGAAGCGTTGTTATTTAACTCGTGTTCTGCTTAAAATGAGGGGTCAGCCAATCAAATGGACTGTCCAATCGAGCGTTTGACCTTTTTTGCGCAGAACTGTGGGTAGACATTAGCGGCAATAAGCATCAAAACAAAGCAAAAGTAGATAAAAAATACATGACGGTTGCTAATTGGTTAATCGAATGACTGACGTAATCAGGTCAAATGTCGCTTGCTTGGTACCTGACGTCATGAACGTGAACTCCCACTATAACTTGTTAGATCTACATGTAGTGTAGGCCATCGAAACGAAATATAGATCTATATTTTAATTAGATTGCTACATGTATAGAATGATTCTGGGGTTTTTCTCTTATACTTCCATCCTGTACTTCCCAGTCATAGTGACGAATCATGACTGACTATTCGCATGCCTAAAAGGAGCATGTATATAACAAACTCATTTGTACATATAAATATAAAGAATGTGGGGACCCTTCAGGATTTAAATCTTATGAAATTGTATAGCCGTTGTTTACAAAAGTTCTTTAGTGTACATATTTTGCTTGTTTTTTGGTGCTTTTCTGTTTTTAATGAATACTATAACATTTCAAGTCATTTAAAAAGGGTAATGTCAAAAAGTAAAAAAAAAAAATATTTTCGGCATGTGGGATGGGCAAAATGGGACATTTATCATTATGCAAGTATTTGTTTATGGTTATCATTATTTAGGCAATTAGAATCTTGTCCTGATGAAACCGCTGAATCTGAGGATCCTAAAGGTTTAAAGGTCAATCTAATGACACATCAACGACAGGCATTATCATGGTTAACATGGAGAGAAAGACAACATCCAGCTGGAGGAATCTTAGGTTCGGTATTATTATTTGATATGTAAAATACATATAGAACACTGTTTAATGGACTTTTATAATTGACTTATGATTATATAATAGAAATTGTCAAATTCATTGAAGACATAATAAATATTGAAATGCAAATACCTATGCAGGTTGTGATATGATAAATAGTCATGGTCACTTGACATGCTTTGAGAGTATGTTCACAGATCGCCCCAACAGAACCACTGAGCTACACATGCGACACGCAATAGCGCCATACACGTGGGAGGGGTTCATTGTCAAATTTGACACTTCAAGCAAGGGTTGATGAAAACTGCCATGTGCTGGTTTATCTTCCCATGTTTGCTTTCCTATCGGTTCTTGCAAAGATTTACTGTTTAGCTTATCTTTGCATTAGTGTGTTACGTTTAATTTGATTGGGAGACGTGCTCGTCGACGTAAATGTCAACCGACAACACTGCAAGAATTAGCCTTGGCACTGCAAGAGGAGTGGGTCAGATTGCCCCAAATCGTGATTCGACGGTTGATTAGGAGCATGCTGCGACAAATGGCTGAATGTCTGAGGATTGGTGGAGCAATTACTCATTAAGACAAAAATCAAAAACGTTTATTTTCACTTTGACAGTGTATTTCGCTGCGAGTGAAATGGGGCCGTCAGATAAGTCACCCATATGAACTGTTTATGTTCATGTGTAGGCAATTGGCCTGTTATTAACATACACTGGTTACCTCTAATAAAAACAGCAGTGCATTTCCGCAGTTTTGTATTATTTCTGAATATCCCCTACTCTTTTTGAAGAGTATATATCAGACAATTTTTTTGATTTAACAAGATACATCTTACTTGACTTTTAACCAAACTATTGTGCTTATTTCGGTCATGGTTGCTAGTCTGGGTTATCTAGAAGTGTAAATTGACTGGCTATACATATTATCAGTCGATTTTCATGCCATAAAATGAGGTATTTCAGGATCTGTCTGCACGGCAAATTGCTTCTTAAAAACGTATATGTAATATCTTGCAATGCTAAAGACATTTCCTATCAGGTTACATATACATGTAAAATGATCAAGTACTTAAAAACCTTGACAAATTATAACTTTTTATTATTTAGCTGATGATATGGGATTAGGTAAGACGTTGACATCTATCTCACTGATATTAAAACAGAAAGAGATTAGAGAGATGGGAACAACAGAAGAAAAATCTACTTGGTTAAATAGAGATAAACAGTTAGAAAAATGTGAGTTATTAATTTTACTTTTGAAATTCTAAATCATACTCAATTTTCATAATTATCAGGTGCAAAAGTACATCAGATGTATGTGACTGTAAGATAACGGTCTAATATCATATAGAAGCTTTTGATTGGATGCAGACATCCAAAAGGAATTAAAACATAAACAAAAACTCATTCCAACCCCAATGAGAGTAAAGTGGTCTGTCTATTGAGTTATCTCTCTTTGTTAATTCACTACGTTGACTGGGACCTAGGTAGCTTAAACACAAGTACCCTGTATCTTACAACACAATCAATGTCTGTTTGAGTAATCATGTGTAACAGAAGTATGAAGTAAAAATTCAGGACTTGTTTATTGGTCAGCAAGGACAATCGCCCATTATTAAAATGTAATGTGGCTGTGGTTAATGAGCTAATGCTCATTATCATTGCTTTGAAATATAAAATAGAAGATAATTTAAAAGTTTTTTTTATTCCAGTGGGTAAATCTGTCGTCAAATCAAATGCTACATTGGTTATCTGTCCAGCATCACTGATACATCAATGGAATAAAGAAATAGAACGTAGATGTGAACCAGGTTTACTTAAAGTCAATTTATATCATGGTCCTAACAGAGAAAAGAATGTACTCAAGTAATTTATTCAAATATCAACCACTTTGTTGTAGTTAAGCCATATACATTTTCATGATATCAAGTACATTGTTTTGGTAGACGGACTATTAAAACACTGATAGACAGAAGAAATAAAACATAAAAAATATTTTAGCTCAATATAAATTTGATTGTAAAATAATTACTCAAGTAATTTATTCAAATATCAACCACTTTGTTGTAGTTAAGCCATATACATTTTCATGATATCAAGTACATTGTTTTGGTAGACGGACTATTAAAACACTGATAGACAGAAGAAATAAAACATAAAAAATATTTTAGCTCAATATAAATTTGATTGTAAAATAATTACCTACAACAAAGTTTATGAAATGCGTTCAGTTATTACACATATACAGTTCTACCAACTAGTCAACACAATAATTTTATCACAGGGGAAGACACTTGATAATTATGCTATTTTTTATCGATCAATCAAAAACTTCAAAGGGAAGTAACTCACATTTTATTGCAACTAAATCGTCACACTGATCCGCATTGAATATTTGCTTGGCCGCGACAATCACTGATAAGGATGACATTGATGCGGCTTAATGAGCTAGAAATATTAACTTTTTTCCTGCGACAAATTAAAATCTAAAACATTTTTTGTATATATTGGAAAAATAAATAAAGGCGTTTGACGTATTTGTAGGTAAAAATTATTTCCGATTTAGTGTAAATGGGTATTAAATTGACTAAAATACGGCATTCTCTCCGAAGCAGTTATGTCTTATGTAAACAATGCACGCGCCATTCAGCCAATGATTCACACCGCGTGCTGTGACAGCACATGTTAAGGCAGTCATCTATGACAGAGATATTATACGAGACTCGTAATTCTCTGTGAAACAGATTGCTAAATCGTGTGTACAAACTGCTTTTTTGTCATGAACATAAACAATGACGCTAAGACTAGTATGTAAACTGTTTTTTTTTTATTGGTTCCTAGAATCAAGCTACAATCAAGGGCAGATAATTTGAATTCGTGAAAAGCTGGAATGATACAACTGGAGATAACGAGGAAGACCATCCTTGTACTTTCCACTTACTGATTCTCAAATTTTTTTACTGCAGTTTGAGACTTGTAGTAGTTTAATTACTTGGTGAAGATTGAGATATACAAGCAAGGAAGACAGCTTTATCTTTTTAATGTGAATTGTCTTTAATGTTTTATTTGTAGATTAGCGGATAATGATGTGGTATTAACAACATATAATATTATCAGTATAGAAGTTGGTATTGTAAAAGGAGAATCGGCTGAACAACCATTAAAAGATGAAGAGGAAGATACAGAAAAGGTCAGTAATAAATTAGAAGTGGAACCAGGTGTTCCATGAAAAGTTATATTGTAACACTCCAGTGTTAAAGAGGAATTTCATGTAGTATTATTTATTGTGTTAATAACCTTCAACTCAACTATTAGAGAATATCCAAGAACTGGCCCCAAGTTCACAAAGCATTCTCAGACTCAAGTTAAGAATTTACTCAACCTTTAATGACTGTTTATGACAAATATCTTTCTTTCAGAAACACAAAACGTTGCACACAATTTCTTATTGATGTATTTGAGACATTAAAACAACAAAAGTTTTATAAAGGGCTATATTATAGTTAAAATAAGGCAAACAATTTTGAGTAAATTCTTATTTTAAGCTTGGGAATCCTTTGTGAACTTGGGGCCTGGTATCAAAACACTGGTTCTTGTAGGGTGTCACGGTGGCTAAGTGGGTAAGACGCTGGCTATCTAGCTTGGAGGTCGGGTGTTCTATTTCTGCATTGGCCAAGACAGTTCATCCAGATTTTCCGGTGTGGTTCCCTTTTGTCAGTGATGCAGGATGGAGGGCCTGACAAGGACAGCTGTTTAGTCTTTTGGATGGTACGAAAAACCAAGGTCCCGTGTACACATTGGCGTGCACGTAAAAGATCCCTTGACAGTTGGAATTCGATATAAGAGTAGGCTGTAGTGCCACTGTCCGGGCAAAATTTCCCTCATAGCACACTGCATGGCGTATGCCCGTCTTCATTAGCTCAGTTCGGAGCAGAACTGTAGGACGTTTATGGTATCAAAACACAATTCATGAGTGACTGCTGTGCTTTTCATACTGTAAAGCGATGGATTGACAGGTCTGTTTAAATTTTACACACTCCAATACAACTATATACTCAAATTTAAAATTATTTTTTTACCAACTGGTAAAGATCTTCAGATTGCTAACAGCTCTTTAAACCACTAACATCAACAAAGGAAAAATAAGACTTGCATAGTTTATTTAAACATTAAATCAGATATGATCATCTGATCCATACTAGAAGACGTATGTTCAAACCAATTTCTGTCAGTCAAATTGAACTCATTATTTGATAGTATTTTTATTATTGGTATATTCAGATTGTGTTTAATTTACAGGCAGCTGGATCGAGTACCAAACAACCTAATATATTACGAATAGCCTGGGAAAGAATTATTTTAGATGAAGCACACAATATCAAGAATTTTAAGAGTAAAACATCTATGTCAGTTTGTAAATTAAGATCTGGTTTTCGATGGGCTTTAACTGGTACACCTATACAGAATGATCTCTTAGATATGTACTCATTATTAAGGTATGATTAATAATGAAATATGTTTTATGTTTGTATCTGCTGAAGTCAGGGACATATGACAATCTCTATACGATTATATTTAACTCAGGTAGAGAGTTAGCAGACATTTAGTTGCATATTTCTCTTAAAACTATCAACTGTTGAATGCAAAATTGGCTTTATCTGATGTAAAATAAGAAAATGGAAATTAATTACCTGGTAAATCAACAATTTTATTTTTGACCTAAATCAAAGAGACTATGTCATTTTTAACTGAACTTAATAGTTAGTCCAATTCGACATCGGTCAGTGTTTGTCATCTTCTATTACATGTCTTTATAGATTTTTACGCTGTGCTCCATTTGATGAATACAAAGTCTGGAAACGAAATGTTGATACTGCCAAAGGTACGATTAAAAATGTTAACAATCTTTAACATACCAGTATAATACTGTAATTATCCTTAAAAGGAGTGAAATCATTCATTAAGAACTTACAAAATGTGGAAATAGAAATCATATGTTAATCATTTATGCAGTAAAATTATGGTATTTATTACCTTATCATATTGTCTCTTTGTTGTAATTTCAGACATAAAAATTAGTTTTAATTCTTTAATTTTTATTGAATATATTTTAGGTACTACAAGATTAAACACCATTATTCGTACATTATTGTTACGTAGAACTAAACAACAAACAAATAAAGCTGGTAAACTACTAGTAAGTTGATTCTATCATTTTATAGAAAACATCATAACCTGAATCATTACTCTATAAATAAAATGAATGGTATATGTATTTATGCTTTTTAAACATCCAATATGTGTTTAACAGGTTCCATTACCAAAGAAATCTGTGGAGACTTATAAAATAGAATTATCAGAACAAGAGAGGGCTATTTATGATAAATTATTTTCTAAAACAAAGTAAGTTTGTTTTTCTTTTAAGTTGTTTCACTATTATGGCATTTAATATTCTCCTTCAACAACTTATTGAGATTAAGCTATGTGTGACCTGTTTATGCAATCAATCTAAAGGTTCTGTTTTACTGTTGAATATCTACCAAGCAAAGATATATTTCAAAAGTGTTATAAAACGCTTCATACTCTTAATTTATGCAACGGTCAGGTTGATTTCCATAACCTCCATGGACCTTCCATTTTAGAAGATTAAATTACATTTAGCTGCATTATGTCTCTCAAGCTCTTTAAGTTAAATCTGGGGGTGTTTTTATTTCATTTCAGAATATTTGGTCTTCATTTTACTCACATTTTTATTCAATTTTTACATGTAGATCTACTGTCCAAAATTACGTGAAACGACATGAAGAAAAAGAATCTGGTGACTGGTCAGGTCAAACTAAATCCTCATTGGCTGATGAGTTTGCCGACAAGCTGTCAATCAGCCCTAAAGATAAAAATAAAGGAGGAGCTAGTGGTAATGATGGTAATAATAAAGCAACTGGAAGTCAGCTGTTAGTATTGATATTAAGATTAAGACAGAGTTGCTGTCATTTAAGTTTAATGAAACAAGTAAGTACATTGACATTGTTTATTTTAAGGTAGTTTTCGGGTAATTGCCTAAAGTAACTTTTGTTCTTCGTAGACAATGCATTTTGGAGGATCTTTTTGTTTTAACATATGAACCAAGGCCAGTAATGCACGAAATAAATAAAAGTTTTGTGATCTTGTGATCGTATAAATGTTTTGCGGTCTTATAAAGTTCTTTTGATCCTGTAAAGTTCTTGTGATCTTAAAAAGGTCTTGTGATCTCAGAAAGGTCTTGTGATCGTATAAAGTTTTTGTGATTGTATAAAGGTCTTGTGATCTTATGATAGTCTTGTGATCTTATGATAGTCTTGTGATTGATAAAGGTTTTGTGATCGTATAAAGGTCTTGCGATTGTAGAAAGGTATTACCATTAAGGATTGATAGATATCTTAAAATTCCACTTGTAATTCTGCTTGAAAAGACTGATTTTAAAAAACGGACTTCCAGCGTCTTTTTCATGAAATGTAAAGCTAACATATTTTAAGAATTTTAATTCTCTAGTGTTGAAAATGCTGAATTCTTAAAAAAAATTGTTTTCATGGATTCATAAATAAGTCCACTGGTATTTAAAAGTGTTGCAGACATTTTAAATTCATTCATTTATTTGTTCGTTTTATATGTGTTTTGCAGCAATTAGAAGATGAAACGTTAGAAAGTGAAGGCTTATCGAAAGATAATATAGAATTAACTCTAGAAGAACAAATGCAGGGTCTAATGTTAGACTCAGTTAAACCTAAAGAAGAAGAGATTAAAAAAGAACTGACTACCATGTTTGAAATTCATCATTTTAGTTCAAAGGTTAGTTAAAAGTGATGTAAATGTATTAATGCATTTATATCATGCCAAAAATCCAACACAATGTACTGTTGAAGGCAATATGAAATTTTATTTAAAAAGCACAAAAATAAATATATTAGCTCCCATTGTAAGTATTTTAGAGGAATTAGAACTCTGCAGTTCATCATTTTTTTTCGTTGTACCTTTATATAAAGGTATGTTGTACACCAATTTGTGGATTTTGATCATTGTCTTAGTCTATAGTTATGAATGAGATATTAGTATGAAATGATTTATATTTATTGTCTTGTTGAATGTTCTAAATGTTATGTCATATCTACTTAAAGAATTACAATTGTTGGCGGAAGACATCCAGTTCTCTGCTGATGTGTGGCCGAGTATTAGTCGATCATGCGCAGAACATGTAACATATTAGAATGTGATTGTACTGTGTAGCACTTAGCAGTCCTACTATAAGCTTTGTACTCGTCTGTGCCAAACCAATGGCATATAAATTCATCTTTGTTGTAATTTCAGTTAACAGCTGTAGTTGAAAAGATCAAATCTATTCGCAGTGGCAACACGTCGGGTGAGGCCATTAAAAGGTAATGCTTGGTTAAAAGATTATTGTTATCCGTAATGCGGTTTATTTGACAGAAATCATCATTCAGTTTGATCTGAGACTGGTTCAACTATTGAAAAAAAATAAACTTAAAATTTCATGAATTTTACATACATGTAAACATTTTAGTGTCACAGCTATTTGAGATTAGTGTCTGAAGTGGCTAGAAATCTTTCAATTGATTTTAAATTTCAAGAAAAAAAAAATCAGTAGCTTTCCAAATAAGAAAATTAAGACCCATGACATATTGTTTGTTTCTAGTGTTATTGTATCACAATGGACGAAGATGTTAGATATTATTGGATATCATCTGAGTGAGATGGGTATAACATACAGTACTATACAGGGTAATATACCAGCTAAAAAAAGAATGGAATTAGTAGAAGACTTTAATACTAATCCAACAGGTTCAGAGGTAAATCTTAATCAAAATAACTAACTGGTTTGTTTTACTGCTTTCACAAAAGTGACTTTCATCCAGTCGGATCATAGAGAAGGCTTAATATCTTCTTGTGTGGAAAATATGTAAGATCTTGTGTTAGAAAAAGAGAAATGAGGTTTAACGTCCGCTCAACACAAACTAGATTATTTGGGGACTAACATAGGGTACAATATAGCAGTGAGAGGAATTCAGAGGACCTGGAGAAAACCCATGCAGTTAGCAAGTGTTGAATCGAAACCACAGCACTAATTTCAGTTACAGGTCTTATGATCATAAGCAAATGTGTTAGACCACTTAGACACCAAACCCCCCCTTGACACCCCCTTGTATTACCAGAAGATGATAAACTTAATTGATCAGCTATGTCCTCTTTCCACTTCTAAGAAGGTCCTCTGTCCTCTGAGTAAAATGAGCCAGCTGGTATGTAGCCTTGACATATTCTGTAAGATTGTATAGGCTGGACTAAAATATGTTATGAAATTGAATTTAGATCCATCTGAGGGATGTCTCACTGTTTCATAGAATTAACCCAACTAGACCAATTTATTAGATATTCAGTTTTATAAAAATTAGAAAACAAAAGAGAATGAAAAGTGATTGTTATTGTATAAAACACTTGAAAATAAAGATTTTGATTGATCAGTAAAATGGTTGACATGATTTTTGTTAAATTCCTTTCGTCAGTCACTTTTACTTTGTAATTGTAGGTAATGTTGGTATCATTAAGAGCTGGTGGTGTTGGATTAAATCTAATTGGTGGCAGTCATTTGTTTGTTGTTGATATTCATTGGTAAGAAAACCATGTTTCAAATCTATGTTTCAAACCATGTTATATATATATATGATTGTAGATTTTTCTTGGGTTGTTTTTTCTTGTTGTTACTTTGTTTTTATTTTGAGTAAAGGCTGCATCAAAACCGGTCTAGGATTGTACAGTGTAGTGGATGATTATGGCTGGCCCGCGGATCCATTACTATTAGAAGAATTTCCATATATCGTTATTAACTTAAAATAAAAAAAAATAAAATAGATCCAAATATCATGGTTATATTTGGGTAATCTATTTACCCTACATGAGATACAGGGAAGTGTCTCAATCTGGGTAGATTAGAACCTCCAATTATAAACAAATACAAACATTTCATCTTTATTCAGAAAGGTACTTGACAACTTGTATTATTGAACTTTCCTCCTTATTATCAGGAATCCAGCTCTAGAAGACCAGGCCTGTGATAGAATTTATCGTGTTGGACAAACACGAGATGTTGTTATTCACAAGTAAGGATTACAATTTCAGTTATGACATCAAATGTTAAAAATACTTCAATTAAAAATTTTAGGAAATGACTAAATTTTCTTTAGACAAATGTTGTAATGATTGACATATTCATTAAAATAATTTCAGATTTGTATGTAAGGATACTATTGAAGAAAAGATAGTCGACTTACAGAAAAAGAAAACACAATTAGCTGATAATGTTTTAAGTGGGTAAGTCATTGACTGACAATTTAGAGAAACAGAACTAAACAACTAATTGGCGCTCAATTATGATATACAATTTACGTCTTTTGGATGTGGAATACATAGAGTTTGTATCCACTTAAACTCTTTCAGCGGCAGTTGTGGATTCAAACTTCCCAATTTTTTTTACATCAATGTTTTTACACTTGTATCAGGACACAGAATGTTACATTAATAATGGATAAATTACCAGTAACCTATTCATGTAACATAGTATCCTGATGAGTGTTGAGTTCGAATTTCGTAAAAATTGGACTGTAACATCCTGGATTATGGCCCCTGATTGTACAAAACGTCACCTGTTCTCTGTCCATCTCTTGCAAAATGTAGGCGTTTCTTGCGTGGCAACCCCTGGTTTTATATCCTCTTAAATATACATTGACATCAAGAGATTTGTCAATGTTAACAAATGTAAATAATAATTAATAGTATTTTGTTCATTCATACAGTGAAAAAAATTCCAGACGTTGACTTCTCAAAAGCGCTTTTATACAAAGCTTTAGATAAGAAATTTATACTACTTTAAGAATAAAGTTAAAGATGAATTGCACATATGTAGAATAACACAAAATATGAGATTGTATTTCACAGTATATTCTGTTTATTTTATAGATCTGGTGCTACCAGTCAGAAGTTGTCTATGAATGACTTGAAAATGATGTTTGGAGTATAAAATGTATCTAGTCAATACCAGAGGTTGCTCTAGACTTTTAGAAGCTGGGTGAAAAAATGGAACTCTAATAAAAAAACTGTTTTGTTTGAAAAATTTGCTTTTCACAATAAACATTTGTTTGCTTGATAATTCAAGCAGTAGTAGACCGTACTGACAACAATGGATGTGTTTTCCCATACATTCAATTTTCTCTCAATTGATGTATTTCTTGAATAGTTCATTTCTATCTTTCACTTTCTAGTACAAATGTAGTTATTTGTCACAACCTGCAATTACCAGGATGTTGCACTATGTAAAGATTTGTAGGATAAACAAGACTAACTGACATACTGTATCAATACAAACAATGAAGTCAATTGTTGTTTATGAAGTAACACTTTCATATCATTTTGCATAATTACATTTAATTTTTCGTGATGATGGGAGTCAAATGAAATAAGAGACTTTGAAGGATGGATTTTGTAGCATATAAATAAAAACCCTCAAAAGTTTTTTTTTTCAGGCATTTGATTGAAGTTATGGGGTTCTCTGGAGACAACCTCTAGTCAAGATATTGTGTTTCATGTATTATTACAGTGCTATGTATATATATATTTTTTAATAAATTGTGCTATTAATATATTTCCTATAAACTTTTATTTTATATGATTATCTAAAGTTGTAACATATTTTATATGTTTTATTATATTAAACAGCATAGAATGCTGCTATCATAAGTTATTATCGTTTTATGAAGAAAGTTTTTCATTTGTCAACCATTTTTGATATCATCTCTTTACCATAGGAATTTTCATTTTTTAAATCTTTGTATTGGGATTCGCAGTGGTTTAGTGAGCAAGAGTAAGACATGTTGGCCGAGAAAGTTCATCGGGATTTACCAGCGTGGTTCCCCCTTGTCAGTGCTGCTGTGCAAAAGGTTGTTTGGATGGGATGGAAAACTGAGGTCCAGTGTACACATTGTCGGGCATGTAAAAGAACCCTTGAATTTTATAGAAGAGTAGGCCGATCTTTGGGCAAAATTTCTCTCATAGCACACTATTGTGTATGTCCGTCTTTATTAGCCCAGTAGGATGTTAAACTCCATTTCATTTTATTTCCTTTAGTTTCACAATTATTGCACCATTATGGTGCAAATATTAGCTATCCCACCCTGCTTGTAAAGTAACATATGAACAATGTCTTTGAGTTATGCATTGACTAACCAATACCTGTTTTTCTCATGCATTAACATTTCCTTCTTTGGGGTAGATATAACAAACAATGTTATTTTATTTATTGACAACAATTTATTTTTTTAACAAAAACAATATAATGTACGATTTAGATAATAAAAATAGATTTTTAAAATATCAAATACTTAAAATGTTATTTAATGCAGAAAAGCGCACTGACAACAAGAGAACATTAATCAAATGGATAAAACAATTGTACAAAGGTTGCCAGTCAATGAATAATAGGCCAACCAGCAGCAAAGCAGTTATGAGCTAAAACAACTCAGAAAAATTTCAATTGATCTGATCATAATTGAAGCCTCTTAGGTCCTAACAAGGGTAACAACTCTAGAAGTTATTATCGATAACCACTGAAAATCAGTATGGCCTTTTCTTTCTCTGGGATAGACAACCAATTCAAATCTCAGAATATGTTATTAATTGCAGCCCAAAAAGAACCTAACAAGATTTCGTAAACATCAAGCATAGTAGGAGATTATTGAAAATGTTGAAAATCAATTCGATTCTTCGATGAGATAAACAACCCATATAAATTTTAAAATATAGTAACTGGAATGTGAACGGTGGACCAATAGACATGGGCGACGGCAATACAGGACCTAATACAAAATTTAAAAAATATATTGCACAAATTTAAATATCTATAGCCTTACATTTTGACTATCATCCTTTGATGCAACACTTTGTATTAGATTAACTGTCTGTAAGTCACATGTATTAAATTAATCGTTGTGCTGGTTTCTAAATGTAATGTGACTCAGTGATAAATTAAATTCATTTGACTCTTAAAGCGAGAATTTCAAATTTTCTAAAAGTCAAAACATAATTATTTCTATGTCTTTTGCTCAATAGGTTATCAAATCACTATTATACGATCATGGGCGTTATTTCCCACCCTTAAAAATGTATGACACAGGAATAACAACACAATTACCTCCCCTGTTTTGCTATTGACAACTAAACTCAACATGGTTAGAATTGCCTTATTTATGCCATATAAATTAATTCTCATCCAATTTCATATCAATTATTTTTGAGCATTACTTTAAAGTCTAAATTCATTATTTACTACATTGTACTTGCCATTCAAAGCATAAAGAAAAATATGCCTGCTCACACCTGAAATACAGGTCAAAAAGTAAATTTAACAGTGCAGTTCTAACTAGTTTTGAGCTTTATCCAATTTGTAAATGCACATAAACACATATAAACCTTAAATTCATTTTTAAAAATAAAGCACCAATATATATTGAGCAAACTTAAATGTTAAATATACAAAAATAAATCATTGAAACAAAAAAAACATTTGAAATACATGTACCATTACATAAGATTAATTTAAAATAAGTCTTCCATACAAATAAACCTTCCATACATATGTGTATTAAAGCTTTCTAATAAGAGATCAAAGTTAAAAATAATATATATTCAACATTTATAAAATCTTTTAAACACAACAATAATTATCTTGAAACAACCAATACTTCTTCCCTTTTTACCCCTTAAAGGAGCTAAAATCTCTATGATTTAGGTCAAAATAAAGTATCTAATTGGGTGTAAGTTTGATTAGTGATGAGATACAATTAAAATTTTGTTTCAAAAGATTAAACGAAGGTCGACTTGTTTGGTAATTTTGAAAGACATGTTAGCAGCAATAAATACGAAGTATATATGGATTTAACAACTTTAATAACCACATTTTCTAATACATACAGGTAACATTCTCAATCTGATGATAAGTCATTCCTCAAAACAAATAATACAAAACTTCCAGTGTAATCAACAATGTTATTTTTAACCCAAATAAAAAGAGGTCTAGCCATTTTAAATACACATGTTTAAATATACAGTAACCTTATATTCACAATTATTTTCAAATAAGGGAAATATGAATTCCATAAAATACACACACTATATGTATTCAAATGAAATAACAATTTGAGTTTACTGATATCGGAGACAGATAAATATCTCAATATTAAAATTAAGAGCTATATATTAGTAGATCTTGAACACAAACTATGCTCTTAACATTACTGACATATTAATCCTTGATGTGTAGGAAATGCACGATTGTGATGCCAAATTGACATAATTGCCACCCCAAATTCGTCTTATTGAAAGAACTGAATTCTGGAACATTCAATTGAGCATCCCCTATACAGCTGTTTGAGTAAAACCTCTGTAGTAACCTTTAGTGACTAAAATCTATCAAGATTATCATGTATAGACTAGCTACAGACAATCATAGTCCTTAGTTATCTGTTAAACACATGCAGCCGTAAATTAAAACATATGAAGAAGTATTTCTATTCACACTTGGTATTGTGAATATAATCAGTCACAACCCCTCCTTCCTCTGGGTAATGATGTTATCAAAATATGTCTGTCATTTAATAAGGCAATATGGTGTAATCAGCAGTAAATATTAAACAAATGCCTACTGGCAGTCAATAAACACCAGACACAAAAAAGTCTTAAAAAGATACGGATTAACAGATAACAGATAGACAGGGAGGATACAATAAGAGTTGGCATATAAAAGTTTAACCTCAAAGGTACAAAGAACATGAACCAAAATGTTATAAAATCCACTCAACAATTACTCATTCTTTCTGTGGACAGTTCAATCCCAACTTGGACAAAACAGCAACATGATCTGATGCTGATAAACTTCTGGAAAAAAACACAACAATGAATTTAACATACTTTCATCCTCTCCAAGTTCAATTGCCAATCCATATTATCTAAATTAGAGAGAGAGAGAGAGAGAGAGAGAAATGAAGTTAACATGACTTTCATCCTCTCCAAGTTCAAATGACCAATCCATATTATCTAAATTAGAGAGAGAGAGAAATGGGGTTTAACGTCCACTCCACACAAACCAGGTCATTTTGGGACTAACAGATGGTTCAATTTTTTTATTTTAATCATTAGCTTGCGTGTAGGGATCTTTAGCAGTGGGAGGAAACCAGACGACCCGGAGAAAACCCACGATGCTGGACATCGACCCTACTCCTTTTCACATACAACCGAGGAATTGAAACCCCGCCAGTTGACTCAATGACAGACCTTATGATACAGTGCGCACATGCTAACCATTCGGCCATCCAACCCCCTATCTAAATTAGAAACTAATCAAATATCTATTTAGGTATCCCACACAAGGTTTGATAAACTCCTTGAAAACCATGCAAAATATTTGAATACTTGGAAAATGCACATGTATAGTCAAATCAAACATTATTTTATTATTGGCCAATCATTACATGGCTGCAAATATTCTCACTGCATCAAATTTGTACAAAGATTTTCAGTGAGTGTTCAACTATGAACAAGAGAGAGAGAGAAATGGGGTTTAACGTCCACTCGACACAAACTAGGTCATTTCGGGACTAACATATGGTTTAATTTTATTTCAATAATTCGCTTTCGTGTAGGGGTCTTTAGCAGTGGGAGGAAACCGGAGGACCAGGAGAAAACCCACAAGGTTGGACAGGCGACCCTACTCCTTGTCACGTACAACCGGGGTTTCGAAACCATGCCAATTGACTCAATGACAGGCCGTATGATACAGCACGCACATACTACTCGGCCATCCAACCCCCCAACTATGAACAAATGACTTTTACTAATAGAAAGATGTACCACAAACAGATCTAAGCTATCATTTTATATGTCTAATGTTTACAAGTCTGTTAAAATACATAGTAATTTAGACAGTAGTCATTAAGTAGGTGTTATTCATCACTGTTGGTTGAGTTTGTGTAGTATTCAATACTGATTATAGGTATTGGAATTAATCAAGCTTTTATACTAGAATTTTCACCTGTTTAAAAGTAAATTGCATCAGTTTTACAGTGCAATTAGTGATAAGTACAACTTTATACATGAAACTGTTTATAAGTGAATGATAGTTTTATAGGGTAATCTGTATCAAGTCAAGTAATTGATAAGAAACTTACCCCCAGGTATCAGTATCAAGTAATTCAATATCTAATATTTTAGTATTTTCTTGCTTCCGATGAAATATATAGTCAATCTGAAACACAAATGTAGAGGAAATGAACAGCATTTTCATAATCACTTTTATAGATGTGCATTGAAAAATATTATGACAATTACCAAGTTTACACTGAAAAGAGTCGCTAGTAACTATAGTAGTGCTTGTCTCTGGTTACAACCATTTTCATTTCATTATTTCGTGTACATGTACTTCATTAATACAATTCCCACAGAGTAGCTGACCCGTGTACATACTGGCATGACAAATTTCAACTTTATCAACGAATCTATTTTTATGTAGACAAATTAATGATGTCTCTGATGTCTAAATGAAGTAGAAGGTGCTGTTACACCATCTGGGATCCTTTTATACCCTTACTGATCATTAAAGAGAATTTTATAAGGAACCTATCACCCCTTATGATAATACCATAAGGTTAGCCATGTAAATCATTAAAAGGCCACAGGCTTACCCGTTTCAGAAGTCGATTTTCTTTTATAGATTTAAATGTTTTTCCTGAATCATTATCACCATGTATATATGTCCATATATCAACTAGTTGTGGCTGGCTTTGTAAATATCTGAAATTGATATTATTTTGGTAATTAAATATATTTTTGGTACAATCAGAATTTTGCAAGTGTTATTGCGGTGAAACACATAACCAATGCAATTTATATCAAAAATGACAAAGTTGAATTCTTACCATTTTCTAAAATTAAGGGTGCAGAATAAAGTTTGATCTTTTAAAAATGCTTTTAAAAATAAATACCATTTAATTTGATATGTTGTTACTTCAAAAAGAGAAGATGTTTGTAGCATTTCAAAGCTACATATTGTATTTTAATAAATGACAAATTAATTTAATCCAAATAAAATATAGACAATAATCAAATTTTAAAGTACCCTGTACCTTATAGATTTTTCCTCTGGTTCTGCATTAAAATCACCCAGTAATATAGATGGTCCAGTAAATTTCGACATATATTTCCATATTTGTTCTACAGACTTTTCCCTAGCTTCATGGCTTAATGATAGATGAGTATTAAATACATGAACCTTCAAAATAAATCAGAACAGAAAAATTAACAGTTGCACAACAACAATGCCCAATTCCTCTCAAATTTGACAATTCAAATTGCATTCTATGGTTTAAAATTCGCTGACATTGTTTGGGTGTTGTCATGGATGTAACAAATATAAGCACACACAAATGCATCGCATTGAATGCTCATGTTTTCTCACTATATATAGTTTATTTTGGGCTCCAATCATAACTCAAACATATTTATTTATTTACTAATTACAGATTTTGCTCAGAAATTTAATGCAAACAGAATATAATTGATAGAGCATAATTAATTTCACAAAGATGTCCTACGTATCAGTGACTTTAAAGTCAAAGCGAAATACATAGTGAACCTATTTTCAAAATGCTATACAGTTCTTTCAGAACAATGTGCACAATACAAACTCTTAAATCAAAATTTCATGAGGATTTCCATTTACCTACATGAAATAACCATAGAACATGGGACAAAATTCATGGCCACTCACATAAGCCATGTGGTATCAGGTGTTCCAGAAAGGGCAAATTTATCGTGAAACGTAAGTAACTTATTACCAAACGATTAACATTTTTATTTAACCTTTAACATTTAGAAATAGTAGGTTATGTTTTGAATAGTTATCAATAGACGTATCTTAATAACACTGGTCTGTTTTAACATAATAACAAATAATATTTGTAACTCACACTTCCAACACCCGGAACATTTATTTCTACATGTAAACAAATTCTCTGATGACGATCTGCACTGTTGCTCATATTTCTACAAAATAAAAGTAAATATATTTATGTTTTTACTTCAACAATATTTACAACATAACTATTGCTTACAAATAAAATGGGTATACTGGAATACCTTTGTCATTTTAACTGAAGACACCACTTGCCAGATAATGATATCAGTGTTATAAACACTGTTGTTTATTTTGTTGTTCTGAGTGGTGTTACCTTTAACAATACAGTTTATTGATAGGGTAAACACTCATTACTTTAATTATCTCATACTGTGATTCAATTATCAATTAACGACCTGTAATAGGTCACATTCAACACATGTATTTCTTGCTCACATTCATTTCTTATTTTACAGTATTTTATTGAACAATTTTTTTCATGTGAATACAAAAGATAAACATCTTTAGCTACCAGTGATTTTTTAGTAATATACAGTATTGGAGAATATATTGAAGTACCGGTAGATACCTGTATAGCAATATATAATCATGATTAATTATTTCATATTTAGTCATTATAGCCAGTCCTTCTTCTGTTCTTCCATTATATAAACTATTATCCATAAACATAGCGGGTTGATAAACAAACTATAATACAATAAGATAAACATAGCATGTTGATAAACAAACTATAATACAATAAGATAAACATAGCATGTTGATAAACAAACTATAATACAATAAGATAAACATAGCAGGTTGATAAACAAACTATAATACAATAAGATAAACATAGCATGTTGATAAACAAACTATAATACAATAAGATAAACATAGCAGGTTGATAAACTATAATACAATAAATGGCTTGTTGATAAACAAATCATAATTCAATACTTACATATCCTGTCTTATAATTAACTTTTTTAACACTGTACATGTATAAATATTAACAGGTTTCATGCATGAGGCAGAATAGGCCTCTGCTTACAATTACTAGAACAATTAAGAATAATCTGATGGTTATAAATAGATTCTAGTTCTAACAATGATTTTTTGCCAGCACAAGCAGAATAAGTGCCAATTAATTGTTAACCAGGATCAAATGAATTCCTACTCTGACATAAACACCTACCTGGTAACTAGGCAATATAGATGTAAAGTAATCAATCTGATTAGGACCAAGTTCTCCACCTTTCCCTTCTTCAAATCTAACTTCTTGTAAACCAATCACATCAGCATTACTTTCAGATAATATCTGGAATATATATTCTATTAATTACAACAGTAAGAGATTCTATCATCGTACATGGTGTCTTTTCCCTTTTGTTACACAGTGTGCACAAGGAACTAAACTCTGATGGATGTGAATGTACAAATAAATATAGAGCACAATATGATTTCACTCTTAAAATTAATAATGAGCACCTATACCCCAATTTAATTATTCCTGAAAATGTTGTCAAAATCTGTACAGATCACAAACTTTATAGTGTGAGTATGCAATGATGATGACCATATTTACATGGGGGAGAAATTTTCTAAAACAAATTCATGTCTATCTTATTAATTCTTATATAAAAACATCTAACACCATTCCCATAAAGTCTCTCAAATTCATCTCAAATGAAAATAGCAATTGTTTAAATTATTTTATGTGGAATTCACATAAATATACCTAAATCTAACACCATTCACATGAAAATAGCAATTAGCTGAAATATTTTATGCAGAAAATAATGAAGAATTTAGTTACATAAATAATACCTTTCCAGCTCTTTGTATTCTTTTTACATAGTCATCACTGTCATCAGTTAATGGATGAAAAAACCAAATATTAAAAGATATAATGGATATATCACAACACCCTTTTCCAGGAATTTCTGTCTGTTTGGAGCACGTCCATAACGAGTATAAAAAATCTTTCCATGTTTTAATACTGATTGATTTATCATGATCAACATAAAAACCACCACTACTTTTCTCAGGGAAAAGCAGCTCAATGGGTTTTCTAGAAATGTCATGCATCATAGCATTGGGTCTCATACAGCTATCAGAAACACCACGAATTTCAATCATATGTCCATAAACAACAGCCTCAAATTCTCTCCCAGAATCATCTGTATAAAGGATCACCTCTGGTTCCTTATAGGAATCATCGTTATTATTATCTTCTGGTGTAACTTGATTATCTGGTGTAGGACTAAGGTTTTCATCATTTAATTCTGAATCAGAGTCTGCATCTGACAACCTTTCTTTATTTGTCTGTATAAGTTTTTTTGTATTTCGTATCACTTCAAGTTTTTCTTGTGTTGTGAGATCTTTGAGACTGTCTTTTTTACCACAGTTTTCTTCTGTTAAATCAGATTTTTCAAATACTTCCTCTCCAATTTTATTCTCTTTTATCTTGTGTGTCTCTTTCGATTCATCATTTTCGTGTTCAACTGGTTTTTCAATTTTTCTCATTTTGATGGTTACACTTGACACATCAGTTTTCAACGTCACTTCCTCATGTAGTTCTTTCTTAATTGGCCTTTCTTCTGTTTTGGTAGAAATTTGATCATCTAATACTTGATCTGGATCAAGATATAAATCTGGATTAACTGGATTAACTTGATCTTTTAATACTTCAAGATGGAGTTTTTTTCTGGTTGATTTTTTAACAATTGGTTTGTCACTTTCTGCTTCATCATCTTCTGAAGTTGATGTTTGAGTCAATTCACTAGTATGTAAAATTTGTTCTGTTGAGAGAGTTGAATTAGACATGTCACTCTTCTGTCTATTTTTTACTGAATTTTTAGATTCCAAATCATCTACAAAATGTACACAAGTTGAAGTTCTATTCAAAGGGTGATAATAAATTCTATGAAAAGTATGACTAAAAATATAGAATTTTAAATTCCATGAATTACTGACAGTTATTTGATGATACTGAGAAAAATGTTCTGTTCTCCATTCTATACTAAAAGTAAAAAATGATCCAAACGTAACCGGCACTGATATAGTACTTGTTTTTTTATTTCGTCCATATGGAACAGATATTAAAGCATAAAGAGGAGCATGTCCACTTCGTGAATACTGTATTATCTGAAAAACACAAATAGATTTAAATAATATAGGGAATCCAAGACAGTAAAACAACAACAACAAGACCTACAAGTATTTCAGTTCAACATGATTTAAAATAATACATGACTAAGCCCAGTAAAAAAATTAATCATAACCCTTACAAATCATGCAATTTATAAAGACACATCAGATCTATCCAACACAATACTTTATTTTGAGGTAATTCAAAAAGGTTTAATTCCTTTAGTTTAAAAAATGATTCCATGACCCCAAACTTATCAGAGAATAACTTTTAATTGACCATTTAATGCTGCACTGGAACATAACTACAAACAGCATGGTTCAATAGGCAGATTGCAACATACCGTTGTTTACAGCCTTAATATACATACATTATGCAAGAGCTAAATCTGCCTATTGCAGGTCTTTCTTTAGGCCTGAAATGTTATCTAAATTATTAATTAGACATTAATTAACTTATCCAGACCATAATCAACTCTCGATGTCATCGCTAGCCTGCGATATTTACTGGATTGGAATCTGATTTGCTGCTTAACGCTCATTGATGATTTAATCCAATATTGGATAATCGAGACTAAGTTTTTTATCATACCGAATTTAGTAATGATGATAGAGGCTAGGCCCAAAATTCGAAAGTGGACCAATTTGACTGAAATTTTCAGGAAATTCCCTTTACATTATCTAGTTTTTAACTATTATAGTGAGAACTGCCAGCTATTTATCCCCTTTGAGGATTTACATGAAATCCCTGACCAAATCAAAATTTTCATGAAATTCATACATGTAGTTTGACAATCTAATTGTAACATATAATGGTCTCGACATTACACCGGTGTCGTAAATCAACATTATAGATATGTAAAAAAAAACCAGTAGATTTAATACTGGATAATATAAATAACTTTAACTAGATGTTCAATCTCTTTCTGTATTCTAATAAAAGATAGATAATTATGACAATGTGACATCCCTAATCCAGTAAATCAATTTGTATTGTTTGTTGAAATTAGGTGGTAGTCCTGTTTCCTGTTTCTACACTTTCCATTAGACAACTGCTCGATCGTGTTCCTGCTAGTCATATCAATAATGCATTGTTTAATTTGATTCCTGAAGCTTTCTTTGTTATCCATCCATTGTTAGAATATAGAAATCAGTATAGGTCTAACCTTTTTTTTAACATCTGAAACTCTATATATTAAAACACCTTCTACTTCCATCTGTCGTATATAACCAGAATTATCTAAAAACTTCATTACATACTGAAATATTAGTTTAAAATACTGTGAATTATGATTACAACATACTCTATAAATAAAATGAGATTTAATTAACATCCTACTGTTCTGCACCGACTGGGCTACTGAAGACGGGTATACGCCATACAGTGTACTAAGAGGGAAATTTTGCCTGGACAGCGTTGCTATGCCCTACTCTTACTTCAAATTCTAACTGTCGCAATGGTTATTTTACGTGCATGAGCATGCCTATGTGTACACTTGGCCTCAGTTGTCACATCTGAGGGAAATTTTACCCAGACAGCGGCACTATATGACCTACTCTTATTTCAAATTCTAACTGTCAAAGGTTCTTTTACGTGCATGAGCACACTAATGTGTAGGCCTACACTTGGCCTAAGTTGTCACATCCGACAGACTAGACACCGTTCCTTGCCAGGCACTTTTTTGTCGTGCATCACTGACAAGGCCGGGGAAACAACGCTGAAATATCCTGTGGAACTTTCTCTGCCAACACCTGGATTGAACCTCAGACCTCCAGTGGTTAGTGAGCCAGTGTCCGAAATTTCAATGACACAGACAAGTGTTCTAGTGACAATTCGCGAAAAGTTTTAAAAAAGAAATGTTGTAGATATCATTTCCAACCTCTGGATTCGTGCCTGTTTAATCTACTTACTCTATAAGCTGTATTGGTATCTTTACTAAACATAGATAATTTAGTTACTTCTTTCTTCCATACTTCACCATATACTAAATTCTCATAATCTAAAAGAAATAAGTGTTCAAATAACAATGTCAATTTCTAAGATTATTTGGGCAAAATTTACAATCTAATTTTTCTGAAAAGGAATCTTTTAATTGCAGTTGTTTTGAAGAAGAATATGTTAGTTTTTGCTCTACGATAATGACGCTGCATGTGAATAACTACACCAGATGTAGAACTATTTTACCTCATCATGGGAGCCGCAGTGGCTCAGTGAGAAAGGAGCTGGCTCACTATACCACGAAGTCCCGGGTTGAATCTCATTGTTGGTCAAGAAGCTTAATCAGGATTTTGTGATGTGGTGTTTTGCTTTGTCAGTGGTGTATACAGGATGGAGCTGTTAATAGGCTATGGCAATGAATTATGTGTAGTCCTTTGGACGGGACAAACAGCTGAGATTTTGGCAAGCATGAAAAAGAACCCTTGACAGTTGGAATTCAAAGTAAGAGAAAGCCCCATACATGTACTGCATGCTGTAGACCTATATAGGCCTATGCCCGTCTTTGCCTTAATTGTGCTTGATATGCAGCAGTGCAGACTGGCAGAAGATGTTATAAATACCACATTTCATTCAAGACATGGAAGTCAGGAGAGGATATCTTATCTATGATAAAACTTCTTTGATTAATATACATACATGTATATAACATTTTCAATAAAATTGTTTTTAAAAAAAAACCTGTAGCCTACCTGGTTCTTCTACATTCTGATCATTCGGATGTAAATTGGCATTGACATAAATATAAGACTTGCTTTCCAAATTTATTAAAATCCAAAACCAGAAAAATAACAGACAAGAATATTCCATAGCAGAATATGTCTATGGGGCAAAATGGCTGTATGTTGAATATGTCAGATAAACTTATTTCAAGATTAAACATGTCTCCTCCACTTTATGTTGATGCCAACCTTTCCTGCTTTTTTCTCAGACGTAAACATGCCCGGGTGATCGAGAGTAAAGCCGGGCATTAGGAATAGGATTGACTGGATAACCTGTTCTAAATTACCCTCGTCTTGATCGAGGGACATTTCGTACCAAAACTAATAATTTTATAGCGTGATCTGTTTGTTTTTAAAAACAATATGACCCCTGGTTTAAACCCACAGTCCTGTTACGGGAAACAACTACAAGAATTGTACACACGCATATATATTGACCTTTCTTACAGAGCTCGGTAAAGTCTAAAGTTAAGGTAAACTTCGTCATACGTCGTGAGATGTTTACAAATTTATTGGGTTATCATGATTGTTGACGAGATTGTGGGTTAAGGTTAGCGCTATAATCTAGCCCTGTTACCGCTAGCTACGAGAACGTAGTTAAAAACGTTGAGATATACTGATGCGAAACACGGTCCACGGAGGGTTGAGAGATTAAGGTTTGTTATCTATGTTACTGTGAGCACTAGCTCTGTTTACACCCGTCTATGTGAACAAATCTGCAGTGGTTAATAACTTTTAGACCTTCCCGAGCTAATATCAAATCGTTGGAAAAGGCGTTTTACAATTTAATTAAGGCGAGATACATGCCGTCTAAATTAAAAGCTGGCTAAGTGGGTAAGGCACTGGCTTGCTAGCCTGGAGGTCGGGTGTTCGATCCCTGCATTGGCCGAGAAAGTTCATCTCGATTTTCCGGCGTGGTTTCCCCTTGTCAGTGACGCAGAACGGAGGGCCTGACAAGGACAGCTGCCTAGTCGTTCGGATGGGACGAAAAACCGAGGTCCCGTGTACACATTGGCGTGCACGTAAAAGATCCCTTGGCAGTTGGAATTCGATATAAGAGTAGGCCGTAGCGCCGCTGCCCGGGCAAAATTTCCCTCATAGCACACTGTATGGCGTATGCCCGTCTTCAATTAGCCCAGGTTAGGTGCAGAAGAGTAGGACGTTAAACCCCATTTCATTTCATTTCATTTCTAAATTAAAAGCAAACACAACCATGGCACTGACAGAAAAACAAGTAAATGGTCGAATGAGAGAGAGAGAGAGAGAGTTTAACGTCCACTCGACACAAACTAGGTCATTTCGGGACTAACATATGGTTTAATTTTATTTCAATAATTCGCTTGTGCATAGGGGTCTTTAGCAGTGGGAGGAAACCGGAGGACCCGGAGAAAACCCACGAGGTTGGACAGGCGACCCTTCTCCTAGTCACGTACAACCGGGGATTCGAAACCACGCCAGTCGACTCAATGACAGACTTTATGATACAGCGCGCGCACGCTAACCATTCAGCCATCCACCCCCCCCCCCCCAAATACGAAAGAGAGAGAGAGAGAGCTCGGGGTTTAACGTCCACTCGACACAAACTAGGTCATTTTGGGACTAACACATGGTTCAATTTTTTATTTCAATAATTCGCTTGTAGGGGTCTTTAGCAGTGGAAGGAATCCGGAGGACCCGGAAAAACCCACGAAGTTGGACAGGCGACCCTACTCCTTGTCACGTACAACCGGGGAATCGAAACCCCGCCAATTGACTCAATGACAGACCGCGTGATACAGCGCACGTGTTAACCATTCGGCCATCCAACCGCCCTGGTCGAATACAGGTAAATGGGAAAAATTTGGGGTTAAGTATGATATATGGAAGACAGATTCTAATTATCTAGTCGTCACCTTCCGGCCGGGGTTCCGTCCGTCAACAAATAATGGTTTGTGAAGCATACATTGTGGTCATGAGAGGACGAGCCCTATATTTTCCGAATTCATTGACTTTTCATTCCGGAGTTATAAATGCCCCTTTTCCGAAAACACCGTAAACGCGATAGACGGATATTTTTAATAATTTGGTGTGTAGCATTGTGGTCATGAGATGGCGAACCCCGTCGATTTTTAGCGTTTCTGTGACCTTTCGTTCCGGAGTTATCGATCCCCATTTGTCGAAAACCTTGTGAACGCGATAGAGGCTGTAGTTTTTAACGGATTTCTTTCAAATTTGATGGGAAGCATTGGGGTCGTTCGAGAGGAGGAACCCTATCGATATTAAGCGTTCTGCGACTTACCGTTCCGCCCTTTTGTAAACGCGTTAAGGCTACAGTTTTAACATATTTTTGTAAAATATGGTGTGAAGCATTGGGGTCATGAGAGGATGAACCCTATCGATATTCAGTGTTCCGCGACTTTCCGTTCCGGAGTTATGCCCCTTTTCGATAAGCCTTGTGGACGCGATAAAGGCTATAGTATTTATTGGATTTTTTTTATATTTGAATTAAAAGCATCGGGGTTATCGATGCCTATCGATATTCATAATCCACAGCCTAGGTTTCTGTTCCGGAGTTACCCCCCCCCCCCCCCCCAACTCCACCCCTTTACCGGGCGATAGACAATATAAGGTTTTAACATATACTATTCAAAAAAAAGTAGGGGATATTTGATTTTTAAGTGTTATTAAAGTCACCTAATGAAACTGACGAAGAAACAAATGACAAAATGAAATGAAGTTCACATTCATCGATTTATTCCAAATGATCGTTAGACTAAGTAAGGCACAGACTGACCATTATAAGGGTAAAATGATACCCGGGGTCAAACAGCAAAGTTACCACAGCATCACAACCAAGTCAGTAACGGGTAAATCCTCCTCTGTTTGCCAAACAAGCATTGATCCGACGTGGCATACTCCTAATGAGACGTCTAAGGTCATTTTGGTCCAGATTGTCCCATTCCTGTTGCAACGCAGCAGCAAGTTCTTGGACATTGGCAGGACGTTGTTGACGTTGACGTAACCTCTGTCCAAGCATGTCCCAGACATGCTCGATGGGGGAGAGGTCGGGACTCAGTGCTGGCCAAGGTAATGTGGTGATGTTCTGTTGTTGGAGGTAACCTGTAACGATCCTGGCCCTGTGACATCTTGCGTTGTCATCCTGGAAGATGAAACGGCGGCCATGACGTCGTGCGAACGGCACAACATGGACTGCCAAGATGTTGTCCCGGTAGTACTGGCCTGTAACACGCCCTGCAACAACATGTAAAGCCGTTCTTCCAGCAACAGTGATGCCTCCCCACACCATAACAGAACCACCCCCAAATCGATCATGTCTGATGACGTTAACGTCTTGGAAGCGCTCGTTTCGACGACGCCACACCCTCCTACGTCTGTCCAAAAAATCAACAGTGAACCTTGACTCATCTGAAAACATCACATTGCTCCAGCGTCGATTATCCCAGTGTTGACGATCCCTACACCAACGACGTCTTGCCTGAATATGATGATCTCTCAAACAAGGGATCACGCGAGGACGTCGGGCGCGAAGGTGACCCCTATGCAGTCGATTCCGAATCGTCTGGCCACTCACTCTCACACCAGTGTCTGTTTGAAGACGAGCGCTGATCTGATTTGCTGTGATGACACGATTTCTCAAGGCCAAGGTACGGATAAATCGATCCTGGGCTTGAGTTGTCGCCCTTGGTCGACCTGAGCGTGGTCTGTCCTGTACAGATTGTGTATCACGGTATCTGGACCATAGCCTGCTTATGACAGACTGAGAAACATTCATCGTCCGCGCCACAACCGCCTGTGTTGTGCCGATCTGTAGCATGCCAAGGGCACGTAACCTTTCATTTTGGGTAAGCCGACGCATATCAAAATTTGTTTTCTGGTCACTAAAACAATTAAACCGATGTTTCCACCCTGGAATTCAATGCCACAATGACTGTAACATTCAAAGTCAGAGTCGTGCAAATCTTGGGTTGGACCCCCATGATGATCCGAAGCATCACCTGCATTCCATGCGGTAGCTATTGGTGCGTTTGGGCGTCACATGTAACTGGAAATGTTTCTTCTGTTAGGTTCTATAGTGACTTTTTTCGTAGTCATTTGCATATTTTAGTATTATGCCCCCAAAATCAAATATCCCCTACTTTTTTTGAATAGTATATATATATTGGTTGGAAGCAGTGGTATCGTAAGAGTATGAACCCTAAAGATTACATTTCTTCAAGGATCCTAGATCCTTATCAACATCCAAGTTTTCCACAAAACTGCTGCGTGGGCGTATTATTTAATTTGTACTCGTCCAGAATACAGGGCCTACCTCACAATGCACCGAATTCACGTACGTCTGGTTCTGTTTTATTGAACACGCTAATTTTACCGATAAATATGTTAAAAATCATGGCATAATGTTTTGATTAGACTAATTATTGAAATAAGTTTGCACAATATGTTAGTCCCGAAATTGTCTGCTTACTAATCGCGATCTACACCGTTGTATTATTGATCGAAACGCAATGAAAACGCACCACTGATTTGACTGGAAATGCTGGCGTGACATACAATACAGCTGAATCGTGTTTTGTGGCATTATTGTAAGCTGGACATTTACTGATGGAAGAAAGTTTATCCACTCGCTGTTGCTTTAATCAGTTATAGGGCTATATATAGGGACCCCTGGAGAGTCGACGCCCCATATAGTCCCAATATAGAGTTCAGTTGGTGAGCTGTAGAGACTGCTGGCCATTCAAGTACTGTCACGTTCTTTTAGTTTAAGAAGGTCACGAAGATACAGACTGAATGCGCAAGAGTTGAAACTTGTATAGATCTTGGTGACGTTGTGCCAGAATTGGTCCAATGCATAGTGGTTAAAGGCGGTCTGGTCGCCAATTAAAACGTAGTCGGTGACGAACAGTGCCAGCACTGAATCTTTGCGAACCCCGCACAGTAGCAATATAGTACGGGAAGCTGACAGAATGTTGGCGGACAATGTGCCGATCCGGATCTCAGAACGGTAGTGTTATTATATTTAAAAAAAACCTTCGGGCGACGGCATGTCCTCTAATGGCGCGGTCTTGGTGTTAGTGTGTCCAACTTAGCAATTGTTTGCGATTTGAACAGAACCAGGACATTTTTCATGAATACGAAGCACTGGGCATATTGGGGTCTCGGGGGCATATCTTGGGTGGAACTTGTATTTTACCCGAGTCTCTGCAGTGGCGCTTTACACATAGAACACCTGCGCCAGGGCCCCCAAGCAGGATCTTTCATTCCCAAACGTGTTTATAATTCTGCGGTTGAAATTATCTAATCCACTCAATACCTAAGCCACACGATGGTCTAGAAAGTTGATTATTGGGTTGTCATGTGAAATGTTTAAATAATAATTTGAAGCCAGAGGAAAGACATGCGATAGACAAATTTAGCTGTTACATAATGTATATTTTAAGTGTATCTCTCAAACGAGATTTACAATAATCCATTTATAAAAGTGGTACTTTTCATTACGTCTCAGTCTAGAAAAAGAACCAAAAAATGTGTATGCCTATTTCTAATGGAGTTTATTTTATTAAGATGACAATACAACAATTAAGAATTACAAAAATAACATAAATAACAACACAGTTGTTACATTTGGTTCAAAAAAACTTGAATACTTGAAAGTTGT